GGGGGGGGAGGGGGGAAAGGGGATGCTTACCGTCCATGTCGGCGATGACGGGGGGGCCGTTGATGGGATCGAGGTTGCAGATCATGTCGGCTTGCTCTTTCATGTCGTGCAGCTGGGCGATGGCCAGGTCGGGCTGGCCGAGGCGGGAGGCGGTGGTGCCGGCGCCGGTCTGTGGGGGAGTGTTAGTGTTTATACTTGGTTTTTTTCCCAACACAATGGGATGATGGTGATGGTTCTTACCATGTACAGCCCCTCGAAACCAACGGACATGGCCACGCGGGCCGAGAAGCCGTCGAACACGCCCGGGCACACGACGATGCGGTCGGAGCCGTCGAAAATCATGCGGCGCAGCCGGGTCGAGGCGGGGAGGCAGCCGGTGTCGATGTCGCTGTCGTCGTCGGAAACGAGGTCCGGGGTGCTGCGCGGCGGGGAGACGACGAGGGGCCCGGTCTTCATGAGACGGCCCTCAAGCTGGTCATGGTCGTCGTCGTCGTCAGAACCAGTGGTCCGCTCCGCATCAGCTGGAAGATCTTTTGCTGGAAGCGGCGCCGAATGATGTCCAGGAACGCGGCTTGGCGCTGCAGAAGGGGCTCCAGCAGGCTCTGCATTGCGGTGGTGGGTCTTGATGCGCTTGGTGGGGACGGGGGAGCTGTCTTCGGGGTGCTTGCGGGAGAACTTCTCACGAAGGCGTTCGTCGTCGGAGGGGCAGGATGCGAGAATGGAGGGCGACATTGGAAAGGGAGGAGAGTTGATTTATCGTGTTCTTGTTCTGGTGTGGGTCTGCAGTGCGATGGTCTGTTTCTTAGTGCCCGCTGCTTGTATATTTATCGCAGGTTGAGGCTGTGTGCTGTGCACGCATTCGAGTGCTAGAGAGGCGTATGAGAGCATTGGTAAGCGTATCACGGTGATGCCAAGCATGGCAGCAGCAGAAGGGTGCTTGTCGAAAGCTTAGCATTGCTGAAGAGTGCTTACGGGGTCAGCTCGTCAGCTCTTTAACCTGTGGAGAAGCATGTTGCTTGTGGCGCATCAGCTCACCACTCGCTTCAATGCCCATTTTGGGCCCAGGGCAAGGGCAAGGGCAAGGGCAAGGAACGTACAAATATAGCTTTCCGGTTTTAGCTCGTGGCGCGGGGGACGGCCGAAGGATGCGCCCAATGAGAATCGACGGGTATTGCAGGAGTGCTTGCCACGGGGATCACGCACCACGATGGGCAGAAAGGACATGTTCTGAAACGTGACTAGTTCATTATCTACACAATAGAGAAACCCAAAGCCGTGCGCCATTCTATTCCCAAGATGCGTTTCATTGGCCGTCTTTGATCTGGGCAGCCTGTGCCTTGGCAACCCCCTCAAACCGCTCTAGATAGCTGCAGTACTCGGCAAGCGACCTGGATATCTCTGGGGGCAGCTTCGCAGTGCTTTCGACCATTCCTCCGCCCTCAAAAAGATTGTCGAAAGCCCCTTTGGGAAGCACTTCGAAGGTGATGGGCCCCGGCGGCTGGCGGAGAGCGGAGTGATGCTCCGGGGTGGTAAAGGCCGCGACTCTCTTGTCTGCTGTGGACTCGTTCTATCTCGTTTAGTGGAAGGTCCCTGTACAAGAGTAGTAGTCGCTTACGCATGGTTGTTCTGATTTCTTCTTCTTGTTGTCCACGTCGGCCGCTCGGATGGGCGAAGCGGGGCGCTTGTTGCGGCGGCTGGGATCCGATTCCATTGGGGTGCCTCCTTGTTGATTTGGACGGTCTTGCGACGAGCGGTTGGGTGGAGTGGGCATGTTTTCAGGTGAGAGGGCCATGCGGCGCGACTACCCTCACGCCACCCGGCGATACGTTTCCCCACAGCCTCGCCGCGATTGTTGGCGTATTTGGAGACCAACAACAGGCGGCAATGCAGCTATTCTGCCTGGTTGAAAATAGGGCCCAGGCAGCCGTCTAAATTTGGGCCCCCAACTGTGAGCTGTGCCCTGCCGTGCACGCCATTGCCGCATCCGGCCTGGCGTACGGCGAGGGAGCGGGGGCCAAAAGCTTGCCCGAATGGGATCGAGTCAGCTTACAGCCGTCTGAATCCAGCATCATCATGTCGCGTAATGCTTCGCCCAGAGACGAGATGCGCGCCGCCAGCGTCGCCGGCCAGCCTGCCTGGTAACTCATCTTTAACGGCAGCTTAGAACCCTCCAGCACAGCAATGTGAGCAACCCAAACAGCCGCAACCCAAAGATGGATTCCGTTGCAATGTCCCTCTCGAGCCTGCGCTCCTATTTCACCTCGTGGTTCTCGTCCATGCCAGTGTGCAGCCCACCAGCACTGCAGACCTCTCCGCAGCCCATCATGTCTACCCTCGCCTCGTGCCTCCACAGGGGCTTCGACTCGTCCGCCGTCGTCATACCCGGCAAGAACTTCGACACCAACATCTCGCATCGCGACCTCGCCCGCCGTGTCAGGGAGTTCCAACTCAACCTCGCCGCAATCGGCATCACCCACGGCTCCCGCGTGGCCTTCAGCCTGCCCAACTCACTGGAGCTGATCGTGGCCTTCTTCGCCTCGACGTGCATGCGCGCCGTCGCCGCGCCCCTCAACTTCGACTACAAGCAGTCCGAATTCGAGTTCTACCTCCAGGATCTAGACGCCGCCGTCCTCATCGTCCCCTTCGGCTCGCTCGACGCGAACACCGAAGCGGTCAAGGCGGCGCGCGCGCGCGGCGTCCGCGTCGCCGAAGTGAGCTTCAACGGCGGCGAGATCGTCTTCAGCGCCCCGACCCGCACCACCGCCGGCGGCGTGAGCCGGCTCAACCAGCTCGAGGCCCAGCCCGACGACGTCGCCCTGATCCTGCACACGAGCGGCACCACCGGGCGGCCCAAGGCGGTGCCGCTCACACACCGCAACCTCACCGCCTCGATCAAGAACATCCACCACACCTACCGGCTCACGCCGCGCGACCGCGGCCTCGTCGTCATGCCGCTGTTCCACATCCACGGCCTCGTCGCCGGCACGCTCGCGCCGCTCGCCGCCGGCGGCTCCGTCGTCGTGCCCCCGCGCTTCTCCGCCTCCGACTTCTGGCCCCACTTCGTCGCCCACGCCGCCAACTGGTACACGGCCGTGCCCACCATCCACCAGATCCTGCTCAAGCACCCGCTGCCCTCGCCGCCGCCCCGCAACATCCGCTTCGTCCGCAGCTGCTCCAGCCCGCTGCCGCCCACCGTCCTCGCCCAGCTCGAGCGCGCGCTGCGCACCGTCGTGCTCGAGGCCTACGCCATGACCGAGGCCGCCCACCAGATGTGCTCGAACCCGCTGCCGAGCGCCGGCCAGGGCCCGCGCCTCCCCGGCTCCGTCGGCCAGCCCCAGGGCGGCGTGCAGCTGCGCATCAAGGACGATTCCGGCGCCGACGTGGCCGCTGGCGAGGTCGGCGAGGTGTGCGTCCGCGGCGAGAACGTCACGAGCGGCTACCTCGTCCCCGATGGCGACGACGCCGAAGCGGCGCGCGCGGCGCTCGACGCCGCGACCTTCACGGCGGACGGCTTCCTGCGCACGGGCGACCAGGGCGTGCTGGACGCGGCGGGCTACCTGCGGCTGACGGGGCGCATCAAGGAGCTGATCAACAAGGGGGGCGAGAAGATCAGCCCCATCGAGCTGGACAACCTCCTGCTGCAGCACCCGGCCGTGGGCGAGGCGGTGAGCTTCGCCGTCGACGACGCGCTGTACGGCCAGGACGTGGGCGTGGCGGTCGTGCTGAAGAAGGGGGAGAGGCTGGGTGAGGATGAGGTCAGGGCGTTCTTCCGCGAGAGGGCGGCGCGGTTCAAGGTGCCGAAGAAGGTGTGTTTTTCTTTTTCTTTTTCCGTTTCGAGTTTCGGGTTTGCTGACTGTTGTTTTCTTGTCGACAGGTCTACTTCACTGAGACGATGCCGAAGACGGCGACGGGGAAGATTCAGCGCAGGCAGGTCGCCGCGGCCATGACGAGGATGGAGGCTCTCAACGTGCCGACGGCTCCGATCGTCCACCAGCAGATCAAGGAACAGGTCAACAAGGACCAGCCGATGATGCAGGTGTGCCAGGCTGCGCTTGTTCGTTGTTGATGATGGGATTTTGATTGGCGTTTTGCATGGATGAGTTGGGACGGGGAAGATGATGGAGTTTGGAGGAGTTTGAGGGGTTTGATTTTTCAGGGTTTCACGCGAGGAACGCCGTTTTCTTCTAGAATTTCGATAACGACCAATCTGAGCTTTCCGCACAGCGCAGTTCCAGCACAAGTTGTGCTCCGCTCTTCATACTCGTAGAACGGTGTAGTATTGGAGTGCTATCATGCTTGATGAGACTAACGTGTCTGTGCCTGGCAATGTCGTCCTACTTGTCGCCTACATGCGTCGCTACCCCTACCTAAAAAAAAGAAAGTGAAGTGACCTACCCCGCGCTGCTAACCAGCCATGGTTGACTACTCATTTTCTGCCATGGTGCATTATTCGACCAGGCAGAAGTTTGCGTTCGCAGAGATGACCCAATCAGGTTTAGTCCCACCTTGCATGTGTAGTCTCAGCTAGCTGTGAAGCCCCTTCGAAGCCAATCAAATGAGAATTTAATATACCCAACCTCTTTCATCCAGTCAGATCGTTTCGCTGGACTGATGCTCTTTCTACCTTGCAGCCGCTCGCTGATCATCGTCCACGTGTAATTGTCTATTCATTGAGGATACCCCTATACCCATGCAACGTGAAAGGCCAAGAAAAAAAAACATGTCGGGCGCGAAACCGCGCCGCAATGAGAAATTACTAGGCTACCTGCAACATGTGCATGGCATGCAGATGGTAGCTATTGATAGCGCGCCCGCCCCCAAAATAGCCGTGGCGCAGCTCCAGCCGCAGCCGCAGCCTTGCATCCCCACCAGATGCGACGCGTTTCAGACGGTCAAAGCCAAATCCATTCCAGAAACGCTCTGTCTAATTTCTGCATTACCAGCGGGTGGAACGGCCAATCTCAGCTTCCAGCCAGATTCGCTGTAGTCGGTACAGCTGTGCCTCAGCCAGGCACGCATTGCTGACCGTTTGTGATAATAGAGTGAAACCAGATCCTTCGGCCGTCAGCACGCAAAAGAAAGCGAGCAGTGCGAGATGCAGATCGCGTCAGCCCGCTGTTCGCTTGTAAGCGCTGAACAAGCTTGGGGGCGCAATGCTTAGTTGGGGGCTGACTTGTTACCCGGAGATGCCACAACCCCCGCAGTACTTATATCAACCTGTGGCCGTCCAGCTTTCTTCTGCACTCAACAACCACACTCCAATCCACTTCAACAAGGAAGCAACATCTCCGCTTCGTCCTCTTCGAAACATCCATCTGCAATCGACCACCTCCTCCGCAAACACCGCAAAACACAACACCGCCAAAATGCTCGTCTGGAAGCTCATCAAGAAGATCAAGGGCGACAAGAACGGCCAGCAGCAGAAGTAGGACCATCACGTCTGCGAGGTACGACCCGGCGTACATTCGCACCTCTTGTGTCGAGCTTCTCATTGACTGTCGCATCCAGCTCCATCAGCCAACGATCCTCTCTCTCATCAATTCGACCCTACAGATCGCAATCCCCGCCCTCTTCCAGCATCGAGCTTTCTGTCTGTCCACAGGGTATTTTCACATCACGGGATGATTTCGTCAATGGGACTCGGGGGAGTTATATCTAGTTGTTTGAATTGATTTCCTTTCGGAGTAGACCTTGTTTTTTATCATGTCATGCGGCTGTGGGAATGATTTCTAAAATGGACTTTGGTTGAATCGTTATGGCTGGAAGTTTCATCAACCATCTAGATTTCAAAGAATGAATTTTGACGGCTTGTCCAATCCTTGGTCTCCTTTTAGGCTGCAGTGATATTTTGCTGAACATTCTCTCTCGCCGCTATATGGCTTACGCATAATGAGTCAATATTTCGTAACAATGGTATGTATGTATGTATGTACATACTATTACATATTCTGTGTCAGCCGGTCAATGCCGAATATAGCTGCTCCGAAGCATTGGAGGCTCTAAACATGTTGAGCTCACCGAGTCGCTTCGGGCTGTGGCCTCCGCCTTTTTTTTTCTTTCCGTTTTGCCTTCGCCAGGTAGATCGTTTTATATATTTCTTTGGATGTGTGCACCTCCCGCAGGTATGACATTGCTTCAGTTCAGTGTATTTACTGATTGTTTGCACTTACCCGACTACAGCTCAAGTTTCGGCAATCGTTGACCATACATTCAAACAGAACGCTCTCTTCAAATTCCTAAGAATAAGCAAATGTCTATCATCATAATTCTATCATCTTCGTGTGTTATCCGCAGAACAATAGTAAACCAATTTCAGAGCATGTACCGATCCACCACGTCAACACATCCCAGACGCATAAGCCATCGACATACGAGATGCTCTCCCCTCACACCAGACAACACAATCAAACCCTCAATCCGTCACAGCACTCCTTCCCTCCCTCTCTCCCTCTCCCTCCAACCCTCCAGCACCTCTCCTCCTCCTCCCCCGACGATCATCAAGCCCTCGGCTTGACGCACCCCACCCCCACCAGCGCCACCCCAACCACCACCTCCGGCACCCACGCCAAACAAAGATACAACACCCAACTCCCCCGCAACGGATCCCACACACTCGTCGCCCCACCATCCCCGCCATCCCACTCCCCCACCGTCGCCGCCACCCCCACCGTGTACGCCACCCTCGCCACCAACGCCGGCACCCCCACCCCCAACACAACCCCATACGCCACCCCCCACCACCTGCCCCCCTGCATCCCCTGCGTCCCCATCCCCCGCGCCCGCCCCCACCCCATCACCGCCGCCACGAACGTCAGCGCCACCGCCAATGCCGCCAACCCCGCGGCGCCCCGCATGTACGTCTCCCCGGAGGAGAGCTGGTCGGCGGTGGGCGGCGTGCTGGAGGTCGGGCTGGAGAAGACGCGCAGGCCGCCAGTGACGCCGAGGCCGAGGGAGAGGAGGATGGAGAGGTGGGTGAGGCGGGCGAGGATGGTGCTGTGGCGGGGGGCGGTTGGTGGTGGGAGGGGTTTGTTGAGGTTGAGGTCGGTGGAGGTGGTGGTGGAGCTGCTGGGGTAGCTGTGCGTGGGGGGGTAGGGGGATGGGGAGTAGCTGGGCGGGGGGTGGGAAGGGAAGGCGGTGCGGTTGACGAGCTCGAGGGGGCGGAGGCGGCTGGCGCGGCGGTCGTTGGGGGTGTTGCGGGTGCTGCTGGATGCCGCGTGCTTGAGGTTGATGATGTCGGCGACGGCCATGACGAGTGGGGTGAGGACGACGGTGCTGAGGATGGCGGCGGGGGTGTAGAGCGAGGTGTTGTTGTTGAGTTGGACGTCGATGGTCATGCCGGCGCCGACGAATTTGACTGCGGGGAGGGGAGGTGGTTTAGTGGCTGTGGCTGGTGGATTGAGGGTGTCTGTCTGTCGTCTTACCGAGGATGAATGTTAGGAGGTAGTAGAAGGACTTCATGCGCCAACGCTGGAGAAACAGCGTGAAGAGCGTGCCCGCCAGGAGCGGAAGGTAGACGGCAAGTGTGGCGACATTGATCCAGCCGCGTTCGTTGAGGTGGCCCATGATTGAGGCGGTTGAGCGATGGAGTGGGCTCCTCGTAATTCAGCGAAGGATGGGGTTGGTGTTTGAGGGAACAAGAGGGCGTTTTTCTCGCGCCAAGCAGCGTAGCCTCTGCATTGTATACGGCTCGGGCGATGGGTCCTTGCAGTGCTTGGAGGCAGCGCAAGACACGGTGTTTCGTCAGAATAGGCAATGCGTGACAGTCGCGAGTGTTGGGTAACGGCCCCCAATGGAGCCGATTGCTTCGTGATGTGGCGCGGATGATCACCCGTCAGCTTACATGGCTCGCTTGGGTTGCCCCTTTCAGCCTCGACGTCGCCCGTTTGGGAATCCATCCCCATCATCCCCATCATCACCGTCATCATCAAAGCCTTTTGCTGTGATGCATGACACAACAAGTGTCTCACAATTCCTTCGTGGCTGGCCGTGCGCTTCTATTTTGGACGGCTGCGCTATCTACATGTTCATGAAAACTCCCGCCACTCTCGCTGCCAGACAGGACGCAACACACCGCCCATCATGTTTGTCGCAAGCATGGCTTCGATGCATACTGAGACCGACAACCAGAGCAGCTTGCGAAGCTCGGTTGCCTCATCCGTCGACCCCGAGAAGAGGAATTCCTACCTGGCGGCTTTTGCAGACTACGTGTCATCGACCTTTTCCACGGAAAACTTGCCACGCTACGAGGAGAGCGGCGACGACACGAACAGCTTGGCGAAATGCTCATTAACAGGCGGCGGCAGTGATGTGGCAAATGGAGCTTGTGAGGGTCCCCCTCAGGCTGATCTGAACGACAGAGAAAAGAATACCAACGAGGACGACGGCGACGGAACGACAAAAACTCGCCGGGTAGCCATCGGCATTGCTCTCGCGCTGACCATGTTCGTGGTATGTGTCCCCCAGCTCCCTTCATTGATTCACCACTGACTTCCAATCTGCCAGGTTTCTCTCGACTCCACCATCATCTGTATCTCCCACCTCAGCCCTGTTCCTACACGCTTGTTGCTTACCGGTTTGCAGCTACAATCATCCCACATCTCATTGAAGTATGGGGAGACATGTCCGAGTTCTCGTGGTACGGATCCGCGTACCTGCTGCCCATCCCCGCATTACAACCAGTCTTCGGAAAGGTGTATCCTTACATGAATACCAAATACGGCTTCCTCGCTGGCTTGTTTTTCTTCGAAAGTGAGTAAGCCCTACGGTCTGTACCCGGACCAGATTCTGACTCTTGACAATAGTTGGATCCCTGATCTGCGCTCTGGCAAACTCCTCTAGCATGTTCATTGCAGGACGCGCGGTGGCTGGAACAGCGGGCGCGCTGATGGCGCCTGGTGTCATGCTCATCATCGCCGATGTGATTCCCAAGGAGAAGCGCCCATTGTTCACCGGACTCATCGCATCCGCTGCTGGTGAGACCCTTGCAGATTCTACGACGAAAGAGCTACTCGTACTGACTGTGCATCAGGCATTGCCTCGTGTCTCGGTCCCATCATTGGGGGTATTCTCACATCTCACTCGTCCTGGCGCTGGTGCTTCTACATGAACCTACCCATCGGCGGTTTCACCGTCGCCGCAATGACCATTCTCTACAAGCCGCGTCCGCGGGACCCCAACGTTTCGACATTCTGGGAGAAAGTCAAGTCTCTGGATCTCCCGGGCAGCGCGCTGATCGCCGGATCGGTGACTTGTCTTCTCCTTGCCTTCACTTTTGCCGGGGAGGGCGCCTGGTCTGACCCGATCGTCATCGGCTTGCTGATTGCATTCGCCATGCTCCTCATTGCCTTGGTCGTGGAGCAGTGTCTGGTCCCAGACAACAGGGCGCTGATTCCGCGCAGCATCATACGCAAGAGAGGTATCATCATCTGCTCCATCTTCGGATTCCTGACCGAAATCGGATCCGCCAGCGAGGTCTATTTCCTTCCTTTCTACTTTCAGGTACGATGACTCCCCTCCAGTCCATCTCACGCCGTAGTCGTTGACAATGTGCACCACAGGGCGTCAAAGGCAGCACAGCCGAAGGCAGCGGCATCGACCTCCTCGCGTACCTGCTCGCCCAGACAGTCGGCGGAATCATGACTGGCATCGCCATCAACCGCTTCAAGCTGTTCAACCCGTCAATGCTCTTCGGCGCCGTCGCTTTTTCTGTCGGCTCCGGCATGCTGCACACGCTGTCGGCGTCCACCCCGTCGAGCGAGTGGATCGGCTACCAGATTCTCGCCGCCTTCGGCACCGGCTGCTGCCAATTCATCGCCATGGGCATCGCGCAACAGGAGTTGGACAGGCACGAGGAGTCGATCGGGCTCGCGGTCGTGTATATGATCAAGATGCTTGGAAGGTGAGATTTCTACCGTACCTGGGTGGCTACACCGGCGCAATACGCTAACGACTTCTTTCGTCAGTTCCGTCGCCGTGTCGCTTTGCAGCACCATCTTCTACCAGGAGCTGCAAGACAGTCTTGAGGATTCGGGCCTTTCGCAGTCTGCCATCAACGGCATCATGAGCAACCTCGTTTTGAAGAGCGGTAGCGGAGGGTCAGGCGATCCTTCCACGCGCGTTGCCGTTGTCAAGGCCGTGGCCAAGGGAGTCCAGACCGCCTTCATCATTCCCATCGTGTCCGGTGTTCTGTCCTTCTGCGTTGCGCTGTTTCACAAGTGGAAGAAGATTGGACCCGCCGACAAGGCGGCTGAAGACGTCAAGACTGAGACGGAAAGGGAATGATTACTGACTGCCTCGGAAACACTTAGACTTGCCAATATACCACCAGCATCCATTTCATAGATTGTTCTGTTAGCGTTTGATATGTTTTTAGGAAGATTACGCATCTCCATAGACGATACCTGTTATACATCTTTCTCAACGCTCCATCCACTTAGCCCGAATTGAACTTTTTGCGAATCCACTCGGTAGCTGCAAATGTGATATTGACATGGAAATGGTGGTCACAAGTAAGCAAATTGGCGACTCAATGTATATTAAACTAATCAGGAACAAATCAAATAATTATGTTTAATAGGACCCTGGTAAGACGTGCTACATCTCTTCCGCCCAAGATGTCGACCCAGACTGGCTCTCTGGCTCTATCATGTAGGAATCGCAATCCATTGGACAGTTGCGGCAGAAATGGCACTTCCATCCAATGCGTATATTTTCCATGAGAACGCCTCCTTTGTCACATCCCAGATGGAAGTACCAAAGTAGTAGTTCCTTGACGATCCACTGATGTCGAAGGAACTGAATCCGACGAGAAGTTTGGGAGGTTTTGAGAACTTGCCTTTTGGAAAGCTGCACCAACCCTCTTTGCCATGGTCCTGCTCCTTCGAGTCGCGAGAGTAGGCATAACTGCCCATCGCGCAGGCTGAGTCTGGGCTCATTGCAATCCATGAAATGGACGCTTGAGTAAGCGCCGAACTCGTGGAGCCAACATTGATCCTGAAAACGTCCTGCTTGATCTCCGTGGCTGACACGTCAACGCGCTTGCCATTGCTGATCGGGAGATCAAGCCCAGATATCCATATCAGTATTTTTGGAGACTTCGGGAAAGACTTCGAAAACTTGATTTCCCTGGAAATCGAACCGTGGGCCTCAATCTGACCACCTTGGATTCCGGGGCAATCCGGACGAACGCCGATCCATGTGACTTCAGCACTGTAGCTGCTTAGCGTATTACTCAACATTGAAGAGGTAGAGATAGGTTTAATTACTCATAGAGGACAGAATCTGACCATTGGTCCACACCGATACTAAACTTGTCGTTTGTCATGCAGTCCACGGATGTGGAGAAGTGCATATTTGCGCAGTTCCAGGTATCCATCTTCTGAAAGCCAGTCAGAATTACCGGAAGCGGCCTGTCAGGGCACGTGTTATTGTACGACAATATCGCTGACGTGCGTGGCACTGGAGTGCTCGCGTCGTGAATCTTGTACATGTCCCAGACTCCGCCTGGTGGTGCCTCAGACTCAGCCTCTGTTCCGACGGTGTCGCCCATGTTGGTGATGTTCACAGTGGTCGGTGCCGCCGCATTGCTCCAGATGGGTGCAAGTCGGTAAATGCCCCGTCCCGACGTTGGATCCAGTGAAGCCAGTCCCCAGAAGCCCTGGATATATCCGCTTTCCATCAAGGGGTCATAATGGGCCATCTTCAGACTTTCAAATTCAACGCCGTCGCGACGAGACTTCCCGTTGGTTGGTTCCTTCCAGCCAGCTGGCTGCGCAACAAGGGTAGAACCTCGATTGGTTGAGAGGCGTACAGCAGTGATGCAAATTGCTACCTCGGGGCCAGGCCGACCGGTTTCGATGGAGCATCCCACAATGTGTTCATTGGTACCCAGGTTCAGCTTCAGCTTGAAGATTTTGTCACTCAGGGAGAGGGTCCCAAACACGGTTACGACACCGTTTGCGTATCTGAGACTGAGGGCAGAAACCACGCCTCCCCTCATGTGCACAGTTGTTTCGGTGAGTGCCCAGTCGGGCTTGAGGTAGTCCAGACTGCAAAACGGATGTCCGGCGCTGTCTACAGCGCCACACGGAACAGCCATGCGAAACTGCTTTGCGATGTCGGGATGCTCCACGCTAAGCTCTTTCACCTTTGCGCGCTCGTTCTGGGACAAGTCTTCTTCGATGCCAGAGTAAAGCTTTGCTCGTGTGTCATGTGGGTAGTCTTCCGGTGCTGCCTCAGCTGTAGGCACGACCCTCGGCAGATACTCGCTGAACACCAGGGGGTCCTCCACTTGGTCATCGCGCGTGTCGTCTGTAGCAATGGCTGGGTTCTTGCGGATCTCATCCACTTCTTTCAGGATCTTGAGCAGCTGGTTCGTGCACTCCCTTTTGGCTTTGGCGATTCCTTTCCACGAGGCATCAAACCTCCGCTTGCGATCCGCGGAGAGTGGTTCGTCCTTGAGGAACTGCATGACCCCAGACTTGATCTGTGTGGTCTGTGTCGAAAGCCTCCGCTCGATGTTCTTGAATTCTATGAAAGCATCCAGCAACACGTTCGCATAGAAAGCAGTGTGGTCGTAGTTGAGCGCAGGTCTCAGGGCTTGCGAACCACTGAGACTGTCGTATTTTGTGAGAGTGGCGAAGATTCTCTCTGGCTGATCAGCGGCCAGCGTGGGAAAATTGCTTGCCTCATCTCGGAGCGATTGTAGACTGGACTGCTGATCATCGAGCGTGATGGTGCCTCCGCCGACATTTGAAGCCTCCACGGTGATCTGGGAGAGCTCCATCGCTGTGCGCATCGCCGTGTCGATGGTACCTGTGAGCGGCTTGAACTTGCCGCTACTGATCTCGAAGGAGGCGGAGAGACTGAAATAACCATGATTTAGCTGATCGCATCGCCACCAAGCGGACGGGTTGCAAACGAACCAATCTGAGACTTCCGAGATCCTCTTCTTATCCTTCAACCGTACGGAAATGAGAGCATCGAGCTGCCCTCCTTCCAGGAAACCTGGACGCGTATCAGAACAAGATGTTTAATCGTTCAGTGGGAACCCTGACCCGAGATGAAGCAATCCCCGAAATTGTTGTGACTGTGTCCGTTAGCCAGAGCCTGGGTACTTGCAAAAGTAGCAGCCGGGCGATCTTGTCGGGTCACTACTCTGATACTGAGGTAGTAGTTGAGATCTGCTTCGTGGAAGTGACGGGTATCGATAGGAAGACCGGCTCCGGATCCGTTTCGGCTCTGGCGTATGATGGGAGCGGCGGCGGATATGTTCATCTCTGTAATGACCTCACTACCCAGTGAATGTCAGCTGCGCTCCAACATTTCTTGTTCGAGAATACAACTTGCCTGAGGCTATCGACAAATCGAGAAGTGTAAGTCACGATGGGAGCCTTGCGGTCCTGGCTAATGACTGGGATAGATTTACCGCCACCATTCGTGGCGTTCAGTACAGCCCTGGGTTGGTTCCATTGCGACGACGTCGGTGTTGCACTCGTGAGCATACTGGCTTCCGAACCGCATTCGTATGCATCGACCCGTGTTTCTTGTGGAAACATGTCTGGAGAATGAACCTCGGCCAGAGATGCATCGGCGCGGAGCCTTTCGATGGAAACTGCATTCTCGTCCTGGATTTCCTGGGTAAAGGAGTTGAATCTTCGTGGTGTCAGTGCGGTTCTTGACAATCAACGGAAGGGGAGAAACCCTTGACCTAAAATGGGGACAGATGTCAGACATGAGAAACAGCCATGATACAGAGGTCGGACTCACCCAATTGCATGCAATCATCGTATGGCGCTATGAGGTACGACATGATGGGCAAGAACCTGCGTCGCGAAGCAAAGATGAAACGAGGAACGCAGAGAAATGGGAGCAGAACATAGCACTTATACCAGGGAAATAGGTGGAAAATTTGCTTGCTGATACCAAGGTTGTTTGCTTTGAACACGCGTTGGTATGTACATACCTAAGCGAAGTGTCTCATGTTTGTACTACATGCACTCCATACGACAGGCGAAAAACCGATCAAATCCATTGGCATGTACGTTACGGAGCCACCGATGTGTGCGGCCGAGCACAAGGTCTGGATTTTGATGCGAGTTTGAAACTGGGACATTTCCTTTCGCGAAATGGATTCAGCTGGACATGTTACCATGTAGGAAAAAAGTGATGCCTTGTCGAGGCTCAAACGGCTGGAAGATTCAGACTTTCTGTGGCGCGACCTTGCAGCAAACAAGGCGGCTACAGAGCATGCATACTAAATGCAGTATGGGACTTGCATCGGCTAGTGTTGCTGCGGCCCCATGTCGTCCTGTCCCTAGACCCCACAGGTTACACGGCAAACGGAGATGAAACACATGGACCATCGACCACAGCCCTTGCATCGAATCGATACTATTGAGATACATCCGTCGAGATAACGATAGCTAAGACGTGCGGCGACCTGGTCATTGCTGTTGACCATTGCCCCCACTCAAATGCATCCCCTGATCTCAAATTGCATCTTGCAATAGTATGACCCCATTGCATCATCCGTAACAAACGACCCGAAAAGCCAGGGTGCATGCTGTGTGACATTGAGAGCGCCAACATTTCTGATCGTAGAGTGTTCCGTACCCCAAATATTCGGTACTCGACGGCCATTATAGCTTCAGGTACACACTACAATGCACTGAGAAATAGGATTGAGTTCAAAGATAGGAGACTAAAGCCACCGTGCTGGATTTAAAGGAATTGGCGAAATGGTGAGAAGAATTGAGTGGAGCAGTGAAACTGTTCATCATCGGCTCTGCAGCTATATTCACACGTCCAGTGAATGTTGCCTGGCCAAAGTTGACTTGTCCCTTGGGTGAAGCTTGCTGCATCTAAACTCAGGGGACTCAAGTGCCGTACCTGGTTGATTGTTCCAACCGCCGGTGATGCGACCGGCAGCTACCCCCCGTCGTGGGTGCCGCCAAGCCTGCGCTGGAATATATTGGCTCCGCATGGAGCAATACTGGAAGGGTGTAGCCAATCACGGGCCGACCGCGTGTGGCTTCGGATTTCCTACACCACTGCTATCATGTGAATGTGCAGTGTCACGTCGCCTCGCGAAACTTTCGGCCCCCCATAGCAGGAACATATTTCTCTTGTCGGTGTGCGGCGAAGATTGTCTAGCAGATTCGCAACTGGCCTGTTCGAAGATGCTTATGGCCAAGCCACTGTTGCAGTCGAAGCCCTTCAAGTTGCTTGTCAAATCTTCATTGTCGCCCCTCTGGCTCATGTAAGATAGGCGACGCGTTCGACGGCTTCTCGACTGATCATGTCTCAGCTACGCCTGCATTGTCTTCATCAATCCTTCCTGGTGTCCTCGGCGGCATGCACCGCTCTCGCGATCTCGCCGAGGGCGCAAAGCGGGTTGCTTGCCCAGCCCGATGGTGACGGCTTCAGGCGCGCGGTGACGGGTGCGAGGCGGACGCGTGTTCGGGAACGCATGATCGGGAAGCGCTGCTCATACATGTTCGGCACGGTGGGACAGTCGAGGCTGGCATGTCGGATGGAAGGGGAGTCTGGTCGGTCGGGGAGAGGTCGGGGAGAGGTCGGGTCTGTCAACGGAGAGGATGAGCGATAGGTTGGAGCAGTCGCCACGAGCTGCTCCGTGATGATCCTCCTCCGGGGCCTACCGCGGCTGCCACGCGAGCGAGGCGCTTGGGGAATTAAGGGAAGGCGCACGCTCTTCCACGTGGCAGCGGTAGCGCGGCAGTTTCTGCTCTCGGACGTTGGTTGGTGGCACCGTCGGTTTTGGCTTCTAGGCGCCGCTCTAGCCGGCCCTCTCCGGAGCCTTCTACGCTGGTTCCACGGGCCGTGCAATTTCCACATCCGGGGCGAGATTCTGCATGGTGTGATTGCCTGAAGCGCTTTGGGTGCGCGGCACCCTGTGTCGCCGGCGGTTGCGAATCCGTGTGGCGGAAGAATACGGGATCTGAGATACCGGATCAAGGGGAACGGCTAAGCAAGCCTTGGGTATGTCGAGAGCAGCCAGAGGTGCGGCACCGCCACGACCGCACTACCAGGAGACGGCTAGCGGAATTGGCCCGGACCGCCGCCACATTCCGTTTCGGGCAGTTTTTCGCAACGGTCCCGACATGGCTTGTGTTGCGACGGCCTGTCCGCCTGCCTACGAACAAACATGTGCCTATGGCCTGTGTGCTGCCCGTCACGCAGATGTCCTTCACCGTGGCGGATGCTTTTCCTGGTCGGTGGCTGTTTCTGGACACTGAGCTCAGATAGTTCCTGTCGGCCCGAGCGTGTGCGGAGCCGGACGTCTGTGGGTCCACGTGGATCTTAGACTGCATGCATCGCACGGACCTACCCTGAGCCGTGATGTTGACTCGGGAGAGTAGGCTTTGTCACTGCGACCAGCCGTTGCCACCTTGCGCCACGAGTAAATAAGCTGCCCAGACCCTTCATCAAAGCGATCAACCCGCTGACTTTAAAGCCTTCACCAAACCGCTCCCGACGACAACCAGCTGCCAGACGTTCCAAACCACAGTTCTGCCATTGGAATCCCATTTGGAGGTACGCACATCCCAGACAGCCTTGGCAACCCCTTTCAGTCCCTGACCATGGACATTGTTTAGAAACTGTGCCGAGTTGCCCCAATAAATCCCATCTGCGATTACCGACAAGTCATACCCGCACCATGGTGAGTGCTCACGCAAAGAACCTCGCGAGTCCCGCGTCTAACCACCATCTACGCAGGGCGAATGCTCCGAATACTGCATGGCAGTCCTCTGTCCGCCTGCAACAGTCGTGCTCAAGCGCGACTTCGGCAACGACGCTCTTATCAACATCGGCCTCTGCTGCCTTGGCTGGATCCCGGGAGTCATTCGTAAGTTTTGCTGTTGCCACAAAGTAGACGACCCTGCTGACCTCTCATCTACAGACGCCTACTACATCATATCGCACACCGTCGACATGGACGCAATAGCACTAAAGAACCATAGATGATTGTTGGAGAAGGGTGCGAGGGATGCCCCAATGTACAGTTATTCTTCAAGGGGTATTCGGACACTGGTGTTTTAGACATAAGAGGTTCTAATAGACGGGATAGAGGACGGATGCCGCGATGGTCGTAGCATGGAGTTACGCGTTTTGTAGCCCTCTTTTGAGAGGCTTCTTTTTCTACACCACAGGGTGCATTCAGGGGGAAGGTCCTCGTGTCACTTCCCAATAATTCAACAACAGCTCCCAATCCATAATTGATTGCCAACAGACGTCTTTTGCGGTGGTGAAACAGAAACGACAGGTCATTGAACTAGGAGGGCCGTCCTCCACAAACCCCTGGATAACTGGCAAGAGATGGGGGGCCGAGGCTAAGACTTCTCTCACGACATCGACGCCCAACGCAGTAATTGAAGCAAATAGCCGGTCATAGTAATGGACTCCAACAGTCTTCCCTTGTAGGCGGTCGAAGCAGATGTCTAGATGCAGACGCATTTCTTGTGATGGCAAAAACATGCCCAGATACGTGGTTCCACCACCCAGGTAAGCATCCGTAATGCCGTCATCAGCCAAAGACAGGTGCTTCGAGAGCGTTAGTCAATCAACCAGAAGCAGTCCAGTGAGCAAAGGCTCAGCCCCAGCGACCAGGGATCTCGATACAACTGCAGCAAAGCCCCGCCATGTACAGCATCCGCATCTTTCCTCACCCAACAACCCCGCTCACGAGTCACACGCCCGGCCGGCCGGGCCCCTCGCAACACTCCACCCACCCAGTACCTACCCCACAACAATATCCCCCTCCACCCTCCCATCCCGACTGCTCGCCCCCACCTCAACCCCATACCTCCCCCCCTCCACCCTCCACTCCCCCGCCCTCACATCCCAAACGCTCAGGTCCCTCCTCCGCAACACAAACACCACCTCCCGCTCTTCCCCCGCCGGCACCCACACCCTCTCGAACCCGCGCAGCTGCCGCGCCGGCACGTCCGCGCCCACGCCCGCCGGGTACGTCAGGTACAGCTGCGCGACCTCGTGGCCGTCGACGGCGCGGGGCCCGGTGTTGGAGACGGTGACGGAGACGCGGGCGGCGGGGTGCCAGAGGGAGGCGCGGCCGCCGGGGAGGAGGGGGCCGGTTGCGTAGGGGGCGGCGGAGAGGGTGGTGGAGGAGGAGGCGTTGGTGGTGGTGGTGGTGGTGATTGTGAGGGCGGTGTAGGTGAAGGTGGTGTAGGAGAGGCCGAAGCCGAATTCGTGGCTGGGGTTGTGTCAGTTGTGGTGAGGGAGGGGGGGTGGCGTCGGCGACGACTTACCGTGGGGTGATGTTGTATTTGTCAAAGTATTTGTAGTCGAGGTAGTTGCCTTCGGTGAAGGTGATGACTTCGTCGGCGGAGATCTGGGTGTTGGGGTCGTAGTCGCTTTCGTTCTTGGCGATGGTGTGGACCAGGCGGCCGGAGGGGTTGACCTTGCCGTAGAGCACGTCCACGATGGCGTTTCCGGATTCTTGGCCGAGGGCGCCGCCGTAGAGGACGGCGGTGACGTTTTCGTGGGTGATGAATCGATCGACGAGACGGGGGCCCGTGGTGTTGATTACGACGACGGTGTTGTTGCAGTTGGCTGCAACGGCGTTTACGAGGCTGCAGGAAGGTCAGTGTGGAGAGCGGGGTGGAGGGTGAGCTGGTGGCCATGACACACCTGTCTTGATCAGTGTTGTAGAGCTCGTCCCGGTCGCCGCCCTCGCCGGAGTAAGCGTTCAGAAAGACAAGGCACACGTCCTGGTTGTAAGAGTAGCCTTCGGTTGTCTGAGTGGCCGCAGTCGAGTCTGTGCTTGCGGATCCGGCATTGGGCCCCGCGCCAATGCCACCAGTAGCTCCGCTGGAGATGACGCTGTCGTTGAGCATGACGCGGAGCATGGCTCCATCCTCTCTCGCCTTCTCAACAAAGGCGTGTTCAGGGGTGATCAAATACGCAAAGGAGCCTTGGCCGCTTCCGCCAATCTGCGCCATGTGGCCTTGGAAGACGGAGTCGGATCCCTGGACTGACATTTCAGTGTTGGGTCCAATCTGCGCGGATCCCGCATGGACACCGAACAGGGCAATCTTCTTGGGACTCCTGAGAGGCAGGGCACTGTTCGTGTTCTTCAGCAGGACGAGAGAGGCAGCTGCATACTCGCGGGCAAGCTCGCCATGATTCTTGCGCGTGTCGACATAGTCACCGTCCGAGGCGAGGTCCGGGAAGCTTGCAAGATCCTGTCCGTGCTTGTACCAGCCGATGATGGTGCGGATCACCATGTCGTCTAGACGAGCTTCGGTGAAGGACCCGTTCTGCATACCGGCAGCGATGCTCGAGTTGGTCCAGTAGGTAGACGAGCCGCGGTCAAGACCCGCATTGGCCGAGTGGATCCCGGTCTTCTGGCCGCCGACGTCGGCATAGACCAGGCCGGGGAAGCCGAGCTCGGTCTTGAGGTAGTAGGCGAGCAGTTCCTGGTTCTCGCAGGAGAAGGTGCCGTTGACGCGGTTCATGGCACACATGACTCCGCCCAGGCCGTTCTTGACGGCGTCCATGAAACCCCAGAGGTACGTCTCGTGGAGGGCTTTGTTGTCGACGACGGCCGAGTACGCGTTCTCGGCGGCGCCGGCGGCTGCGTTGAGGGAGCCCGCACCTTCGCGATTCGTCTCCTGCTCGTTCAGCAACACGTGCTTGCCGGCGGGGATGACTCCCGCGTCGCTGATCCCCTTGGTGGCCTGGCCGAACATGATGCCATTGAGGTATGCGTCTGGGCCGTACGTCTCGCCATTGCGTCCTCCCCATGGCGAGCGGCCGAGTGGCTGGGCAGTGGGCGCGTTGGCGAGGTTGATTCCCTTGTTCCACATCTCGGAACCGAGCCCGTAGCTTTGGTTGTAGACCAGCTCTTTGTCCCATGTCATGGCCATGGCAAGTGGAGCTGGCCAGGTGGTGACCCAGTAGTAGTCAAGGACAGATGCAGAGCCATCACTGGTGCTCAAACCCGGGAAGCTGCCAGCACTGCCTTCGGTGATGATGTCGATTTTTTCCGAATTCGACAGTGTAGCGACGAATTGCTTCGACCTTTCAAACGCCTCCTGCCATTCGCCAAGATGGACTGGGTATGCGTCAGCACAAAGCTTGTGGGTTGATATGCATCCGACATACTGGTTCCTGAAGAGAGCAGTTGGGCTGAGTAGTTCGTGGAATACGTCCATGCCGTCGCGTTACTGAAAAGAAGGGAAAGGCTGGAAGCCAAAAGGAGACAGCGGGCTACCATGGTGGTCAGCTTGGGAAGAGATACAAGTCTTGTTGCCTGATGGTACATACCCCTATCAGCTCTACCTCAGTCTTTTACTTATGGACGACCGAGCGGATAGTGGTACGCGTCCGCAGCCGTTTTCAGTGCCTCCAGGTAGACTGTCCATGACTCCTTGTGAGCTGTTCGGCTTCGGCCGATTGCGCAGCCTCGAGCCGTACACGGGAGCTTATTGCGAAGCTTATTGTTTCTTATCACTGGAAGCCGACAGGGGTTGGCTCCCTCGACCATTACGAGAGGCCGCAATCTGATTGCACAGTGGGTCCGGTTGTCCTGACAATAGAGCCATGCCTAAACAGACAGCTGGCTATGCAAACCTGATGACCCACAGAGACGCGTATACACCATGGATCCGAGAATCACCCGCGTCCTATCGTGCCGTCCAACTCTTTCGGGAAGGTCTAAAACGAAACGGACTCGGGCCGGGGCAGGAGTTCAAACGGTCCGAGGAGATCGGCAGACCCAAACATCAGTTCGGGCATGCATGACGCTGATCTGGGAGAAAGTCGTCAACAGCACTGTCGTCAGCCGTTACGAGTCGCTCCATTGTCGAATCACGCCTTCGCCCGTAGAATTGAGCCTTCTGACTTAAGTACGCGTCGACGTCTTCCAAGTGCGACTTCGGAGAGCTCTCCATTTACACTCCCCAACCTCTGCAACAAACCTCTGCCTGAAAACCCGCTTCAAGCTGCAAGCATCAAAGTCATAGGAATGAGTACACTTTAGTCCGATTTTGTCTCGATATATGCTGCTTCTTATCTCGTCCAGTCTCTTGCAAAAGACCTACTCTTTTCGTGTCATCTTCTGGTCAATCTTATCGACAGCTCAAACAATGGCAGTGGCAACGAAGCCAATTGCAATCAAGTGCTCCAGATGCAGGCCGAATACTCGGTCGAGCTGCGACAGGCTGATTATCACCATGACCACCAGGACACGATGCGGGCTTTCAACACTGGCCAGATGACACTTTCGCCTTTCTCTCTCGCTACGGAACTTTGCTCGTCGATCATCGGTTCAGCTGACACATCGGGATGGAAATTAGTCCAACAGTGGAGAACATGACATCTTGCGGCACAGCACGGCAACCACACTGAAACGGTGCACCATGCGTCGGCGACGGCTGATGAATCAGGACCGGCGGACCTCGCAGAGGCTAGAACAGGAAGCCATCTCCACGTCGAACCCATCCTCAGCGCACATATAAAACCGCTCCGATCCGCCCGCCGCCCCGATCATCCGCCCGCTTTCTCCCTCCCTCCCTCCCTCCTAAACCACAATGGCCGACGACGACAACGACGACACCCCCCACGCCGGGTGCGACAGCGGCATCGAGGACGGCGACGACGACGACCTCGCCAGCGAGACGACCAGCGTGCACTCCAGCATCTACCGCTACCGGTTCGAAAACGGGCGCCGCTACCACGCCTACCGCGACGGCGAATACTGGGGCCCCAACGACGAAAAGGCCCAGGACCACCTCGACATCGCGCACAACCTGTGGCTCAAGACGCTCGACGGCAAACTCTTCCTCGCCCCGCTCCCCGCCGAGATCGGGAAGGTGCTCGACGTCGGGTGCGGCACGGGGATCTGGGCCATGTGCGGCGTCACCCTCCCTCCCCAGTCCTTCCCTCCCCCTTCGCAATCGTCCGCACCCGAAAAGCAAAACTGACAACCCCGCCCGGGCAGCGACCTCGCCGACGCCCACCCCACCGCCGACGTCACCGGCACGGACCTCTCGCCCACCCAGCCGTCGTGGGTGCCGCCCAACTGCCGCTTCGAGGTCGACGACGCCGCCGACACGCCGTGGACGTGGCGGTCGGGCACCTTCGACTTCATCCACGTGCGGTCGCTGTTCGGCTGCGTCGGCGACTGGCGCGCCTTCTACGCCGAGGCGCGGCGGTGTCTCAAGCCGGGAGGTTACATCGAGCACGTGGAGATGGGGAGGAGGTTTAAAGGGGCGGGGGAGGATGGCAGTGGGTTGCCGGCGGATAGCGCGTTGGCGCAGTTGGATGGGTTGGGGGAGGAGGCGTGTAGGCGGATCGGGAAGCCCGGGGATGTGGTGTATCGGATGAAGGGGTGGTTGGAGGAGGGCGGCGGGTGGGAGGATGTGACGCAGGTGGAGTATCGGTGGCCGACGGGGCCGTGGGCGAGGGATGCGCGGATGAAGGAGTTGGGGCGGTGGAGCAGGTTGCATTTGCTGGAGGGGGTGGAGAACTGGACGCTGGCGATGCTGACGCGCGTGTTGGGGTACTCGTTTGAGGAGGCGCAGGTGTGGATCGCGAAGATCAAGGCGGATGTGAGGGATCCGGCGGTGAGGGCGTATCATGACATGTATGTGTGCTATGCGCGGAAGCCGGAGGAGGGTGGGTCGTGATATGTGGGATGTTTGGTGCGTTTGCTGTGGGCTTCATTGATTGCGAGACTGGCATGGGCTAGCTGCTTGGTGTGCTTGGTTCGTCGTGGTTCTTGTATATATATCGACATTAAGAGACTGGTTCACTGGATGACTACCTACGTCTTCACCAGAACCTCTGCGGACCGACGGGGATGCTATAACGCTCCTCCAACTCGCGTGCATCCGCCTCCTGGAACTCGGCAATCCCCCCGGCCACTCCGTACTCGTCCACCCGCCAGTTACCCTCGGTCACGTTGTTATACATGTTCTCGAGCACCGCCAGCAGCTGCGTCCCATGCGGCTTGCCGTACTTCTCCACCCCATCCATGCGCCACACGCCCGGCGTCGACCCGTCCGGCCGGCGCGCCAGCTCGAACGGGAACCGCACCAGCACCGCGTCCTCGAACGGCGCTGGGTCCTGGGTCCAGCAGAGGTCCAGGTAGAAGCCGCACGGCGCGCCGCCCGGCAGCAGGTTGTACGGCCAGCCCGCGGCATCATCGTGCGGAACAGGCTGCTGGGAAACATCATGCTCGACGACGAACAGCCGGATGGGCTTCACGAAATGCGGGCCCTCGTCGTCGAAGGCGACGTCGCGGTAGGGCTGGGCGACGAACTCGTCCAGCGTGGGCAGGCGCACGCCGGGGGCGAGGTAGACGAAGCGCGGGCGGCGGGCGCGCAGCAGCAGCTCGCGCGCGAAGCCCGTCGCCGGCACGCCCGCCGCGTCCAGGCTGGCGGCGTCGACGAGCCCGTGCTGGTTGTCGGCGTCGGCGGCGGCGGCGGCGTCGATGGCGTAGCCCGGCATGCGCGTCTCGATGGCCTTGATGAGATCGGCCCAGATGTCGAGCGTTTCTTCGAGGTCGACTTTCGAGTAGGGCGCCTCGACCCACGGCCGGGCGTAGTCGACGACGGGCTTGCGCGCGCCGCTGGCGGGGTCGATTCGCGGCTGGCTGCTGCCGTTGGGGGCGGCGGCGGGGGCGTCGTCTTCGAAGAAGCTGAACGGCAGGGCGACGATCTTGCGGTGCTCGATCATGTCGATGTAGATGCTCAGGACGGATTCGAGCTTCAGCCACTCCGGTTCGTCCTCGTCCAGCTTCATGTCCTCGATGCTGAAGTTCATGTGGACGGTGTGGTCGGTCTGGTCGTAGCTGTTGCGCTGGATGAGCCTTCGAACGCGGACACGGGGCTGAGGAATACTCACACAAGTCCGTCGGGGTTGGAGCCGAGCTCGGCGTGGGTGTTGTAGAGCGTCAGGAAGCGGTCGCCCTGTCCGAATCCCTGGGTGAACCAGAGCATGCTGGGGGCATGCAGTCCGTGCAGGTATCTGAAGAAGCTGATCCCCGAGTCGCGGGGGATCGCGTATGCGCGCTGCAGGAACTCGACGATGGACGGGTGGAGTCTGGAGCGTACGGCCTCGGCCTCGTCGGCGTGGTATTCCCACCAGCTAGGCAGCGGGAGCCGTTCCCTGGGCGCCGGCATGCCGTAGGATCTCCAGGCGTAGCTGACGATGGCGTTGTGCAGGGCGGCGCAGCGCTCAAAATCCAGCCCATCCACGTCTTCCCGGGGCGGGCGGTCTGGGCTCACCCGCCATCGAGCTACAGATGCAAAGTGGGAAGCCATTGGAGTCGATAATGGGCATTTCTTGGGGGTGGCGGGGCGAGTTTAAATAGCTCGTGCATGCTGCAGGCACCCGGCCCCACAAGGTTGTGCCTCTGTAATTAATTGCGGCACAGCACTTATCTACGTAATTAGGCTCCAACCACCCCAGAGTGGGGACGTTGGGTCACTCGTCATCACTCTGCCTGCCACTGTGCCTCATGAATCGCAAGCCCCCGAGTAGCAATTTCCGGATCCTGAGGGTAGGAATCGTGTTTAGTGAATGCAAACTCCTCGTGCCAAGAGGGAAAACTCACCGCAATAGTCTGTGGAATTGCCACAATATCCAGATGTGCTGCAGCTGTGAACGAGACCTGTCAGCTGCATCAGACCGTCGAGTGCTCACTCAAGCTCACCAGATCCCAAATTGCGTTCCGGTACAGGTTTTGTTGCCCGCAAACAGCGGCCCACACGACCCGTCCAAGCTCTTCCCGCCAATGTCAGGGTCGCACGCTCCGGACATGCAGTTTCCTGGGCCTTTGGAGGTCAGCACTGTCGCATATGAGCCGCCTCTTCTTTTTCACCTACCGCACCAATCATCCCCCGACCCACAGTACCCGCTCGTGCTGCAACAGCTGCGGCTTCGGTCAGCATCGACTTCCAAGACGCCCAAGGCTTGATCAACATACTCGCCAAACCCGGAGCCAGTGCAGCTGATCGTCTGGTTGCACGTTCCGTCGGTGCTGATGAGCTCGGTCGAGTTGGAACATGCGCCGGACACGCAAACGTTGGCGCTGCAGTAAGCTGCCCCGTCGCCGCAATACCCGTTCACCGAGCACTGCAACAATCCAAGTCAGTCGGGCCGCATGTGTTGAAGAGTGCTGGGAGTGCAGTGGCTTACGCAGTCGCCGAAGCCCGAGTCTTCACAGTCGGCATTGTTGTAGTTTGGTCCACACGTGCCGTCCGTACTCGTCGCGCCCTTTGTTATCGGCGCCACGCATATGGCGTAATCCAGCCAAAGGTTGGTGCAGTCGTCGTTGAGCTAGAGGACCAGTAAGCGACGTGCTGACCATAGGACACAGAATGAATGCCTACTTGGTCGTTGAGGTCTTTGACATCTTGGAGCGTGATGCCGCTTCAGACAAATCAGCCAGGTTCTTTACGTGCTGGCGTCATACTCACAACCGCAGCGCGATAGTCTGACACGTATCTCCCGTCTTTACGCTGTAGTAGAGCCCACAGGCCGCGGCTGCACCCGGTTCTGTGGGCAGCGCAGGAGTCGCTATCCTCCACACTCAGTAAATGGCACCCGTCGGAGAGCTGAAAGAAACCTGCCTGTAGTGTAGTACTGTCCTGTGCTTGTGGGTGCGAATATCGATGCAGTTGGTGTATATCTGCCCTGCGCAGGCCTGGTTTGGTCAGCGGTTTCTGCACGCCATTCATCCAGTGGAAGCCAGCGCACCCTTTGCAAAGCGCCTGAGGCCCGAGATTGTCGCAGCTTCCTGCGAGCTTGGGATTCCACTGCAGCAGCATCGGTATCGTCACATTCTGATTGGCGTCGGAATAATTCGCGGCGAGATCAGTGCTGCCGGCTTCGTCAGCATACTCGTTCAATCACACAAATTGCAGCACCTCCTACCAGGTTACACCACCATAGATCGTATCCAGCTCGCACGGCAGCGGCAGGCACACTGTTGTGTTGCTAAACTGGCAGTTGTAGTCTCCAGTAACCTGCCGTGCATCTCCGGTGCTGACATTGTAGTTCCTTGTAAGAATCTCGCATGGCAGCGAAGGGTCTGTGGGCTGGACGAGCTGGCCAGTGCACGTTGCGTTGGCTTGGTCAGTCGAGGATGTTGTCGTCGTCGTTGTGGCAGAGGCCGTAGCTATGGTATTAGAAACCAACGTCGGCGCCGAAGTCGTCAATGCCATGGTTGTGGAGCAGTTGGTTTGCAACAGATCAAACTGCTCCAGCAGGTAATCCGTGTGATTCGAAGACACGAGGAACGGATCCTCGAGCCGTTTTCTCCACATCAGCAAGAAGCATTCGCTGCAGTACTGTACAAATTCTGGTCAGCTTTCTTTGCATGGAATGCGGCGGAGCTTTCAAGATTTACCAGCTCCTTGTCGTATAGATTCGTCACGGCCATCATGTCAGACGTCATGTCGGCAGTGGAGAAGTCAGGATCGCTGCACTCGGCGGGTATGTTCGTCTCGTCTTCCTGATAGCATGCCGCCGGATCCCATCTTTCATTTCACCAGTCAGCCGTGTTTGCCGTTGAAAGAGCTGTAGTGGTGCTTACCTGATGTAATCGCTGCCGACCCATGACTGAGACTCGAAAAAACACCAGTTCTCAGCCGTGTCCTGGAGGCAGGCAAGCTGGTAGCCCCCGATGTACCTCAGTGGCATGTACTTGGGATCCAGCACAAGGCCGTTGTGAGCGACCTGTTGGCCGGAGCAATCGCTTTCAACTGCCGAAAGCCACTTTTCCAACGACGTCGAGCAGTCTGCCGTGCACATGGTCGTGACATTCTCCTGAGACCAGTACTCGAGGTCGACTCCCTGGGCTGCTTGTACAGTGTTGAGGAGATCGCAGCTCAGTGTCGCGTTTCTGCCCAGGTCAGCCGGAGAACAGACAGAAGGTAGGCGTCTCGCAGTACATACAACGCCTGCATGCACTGGCTGTCTACCCCAAACGAGGAGCTGAGATCCGTAGCATTGTAGTTGTCGAAAATGGTGAAGTCTGCCGTGACAGCCGCCAGAAGCAGCTGTCCGGTGAGCAGAGTCCAGCCGGAACCCATGGAGAAAAGCAGTTGGGCAAAACACAGGCGCAACAGCTCCCCATCCACGCTGCGGCAGCGCCCGTATAAAGCACTACTGGGGCGAGTTTAACACCGAGAAATGCTCGGAGAAGGGGTCACCCTTCGGTTGCAGTCTACAAATTGTGATATTGAAATGGCATGACAGTGAATCCTTCCGCCAAACGCTTGGCCCCCACCGACCGTACCGAACCCGCCCCCACCGTCACCGGAAGCAACGGCAAAGCCGTTTGAGGCAGGTGGCATTGCTTATAGACGCCACACCCGAAGCGCACCCGAGCTGTAAGGCACCGGAGCGGGCGCTTGCCCTGCATGTGGCGAGGCGGAGATGAGGTTCCCGCACCACACTCCACGCACAACACCCACTTCAGTACCATCGCGCCGACAGAAGGATCATGGGGGCTTCGTTTTGCCTGATATTCTCGCCTGCTAAGTCCGCTCTCTCGGTCCGACGGACTTTCTCGCGTATTCGCGTTTTGAGCGAATTGCGCAGCGTGGTCATAAAAGCCCGGGGCTTTCTTGCTGACTGGTTGAATGGATGCCGGCACCACCCTGTTGCACGATGAAGTTGCTCCAACTTGTTGCGGCTCTCGCAGCTGCGGGCAGCGTCCAGGCTCTTGCTTCGACGACCAACGGCACGGCCCAGAAAAACTCGACCATCTACAAAGCCGCCTACGCAAAGTATAACCCGCTAACACCCGTTTTCCAGAATGTCAGCGGCGTCACTGTCAACCCGCTCATCAAAGTCCTCCAAGTCAGCAACAACGGAACGTCCTTGGGCAAGAGACAGACCGGGGACAACGGCTTGCCCGAAGGGACCTGTGCTCCCGGAACTCCCTGCAGTAACGGAGCCTGTTGCAGCAGCGTACGTGCCTCACCTAAGCTTTTCCCGTGCAGGCCTATACTGAGAGTACGACAGACCGGTATTTGCGGATACAGCCCGGACGAGTGCGGTGACGATGTCTGCCTGAGCAACTGCGATGCCAAGGCAGAGTGCGGACAGTACTCCGAAGGGGGCACCGTGACTTGCCCATTAAATGTTTGCGTAAGTCTGCGCCGACACTCTCAAGCGACTTGTACTGATCAGAACTGCAACAGTGCTCGTAAGGTTCCCTGTCCACACCTTACGCGAAACAAAGGAAGCTGAACATGTCCAGATACTATGGTTTCTGTGGAACTGGTGATGTTTGTATTCGTACGCTGACCACTGCTGCCACACGACTGACGGCTCGACAGGAATTCTGCACCACCTCTGGGGAGCATCCATGCCAGGATGGCTACGGCAGCTGCGGAGAGGTGGCTGAACCTTCATGCTCAGGAAGCAGCGCTGCCGCCATAAGTATCGGCTACTACGAGGCATGGAGCTCCACACGCCAGTGCGACAGCAGGGATCCAGAAGACTTGGACCTCACGGGGCTCACACACCTCAATTTTGGTGAGAAAGTCAACAGCTCTCCTACCCGGCGACGAGCTTACGAAACCAGCGTTTGTGTACTTTGACCCGACCACGTTCGAGATGACGCCCATGACCGCAACCGATGTTCCCCTGTACACTCGCTTCACTGGCCTGAAGTCGAACAACCCGTATGAAGGCTTTCCCCTAGCGATTCCTCTACAGATTGTCTGACCCGTGTGCTCAGGTCACTCAAGACGTGGGTGTCGGTTGGAGGATGGGCGTTTAATGTATTGCCCCTTTACCACTGCACGTAGCCGTGGCGTACTGACGGCTGAAGGATGAAACCAATACCCCCAACACGCGCACGGCTTTCAGCGACATGGCTTCAAGTGCAGCAAACCGCAAAGCCTTCATTGACTCCTTGGTCAAGTTCATGCAGACCTACGGCTTCGACGGAGTGGACCTGGACTGGGAGTATCCTGGTGCCGATGACCGCGGCGGGATCGAAGCGGATACGGCAAACTTCGTCACCCTCTTACAGGAGATGCGTGAGACATGGGGATCGACCTATGGTATGTTTTCTGGAAGCGGCCTGGTTTTATGAATGTTCCGCTCGCTGACTTCGCATAGGCATCAGTGCGACGATTCCTTCGTCGTACTGGTACATGCGCTGGTTCGACGTCGCGGCCATGCAGGACTACCTCGACTGGTTCAACTTCATGAGCTACGACATCCACGGTGTCTGGGACAGCACGAACGACGTGACCGGTCCATATGTACGTTCGACGCTGCGAGGTTGAAAGGATCGTGCTGGTGCTGACAGTCTCACAGGTTCGCCCTCATACAAACATTACCGAGATAGAAGCCGGCCTCGCTCTGCTGTGGAGAGCGGGCGTTAATCCGGATCAAGTTGTTCTCGGCCTCGGCTGGTACGGTCGTTCGTTCACCCTGACCGACCCCACATGTACCACCCCCGGCTGCGCCTTCACTGAAGGTGGCAAGGCCGGAGAATGCACAAACTCAGCAGGAACGCTGTCGAATGCGGGTAAGAATTCTGTGGTAACACATGATGCGTGCTGTTGACCTTGGGCAGAAATCAATCGAATCATCGAGGAGAACGGGCTCACCCCTATCTCCATCGAGGAAGCTGCTGTCAAATACATCACCTGGGATTCTGATCAATGGGTCAGCTACGATGATGGCCCCACCCTGCAGATGAAGATGCAGAGAGCAAACGAGCTTGTAAGCCCTTCAATCGGTAGCGCTCCGTGATTGATGCTGACCGACTAGTGTCTTGGTGGTACCATGATTTGGTGTAAGGACAGATCAAGTGTCTTGTAACTTCCCGGCTAACCCTTGTGTAGCCGTCGATCAAGATGACGCGAATGGCACCAGTGCCAACGACATGGTACGTCCGCTCTTCAGGAAGGCAAAGATGCGGTACTGATGGAGGTTTCAGCTCGGTATTGGTGCGAGCAGTGGCTACCCCTCTGAACTCACTGCCAGTATTCGTGAGAAGATGGCCGACGCCGATTCCGTTGCAGACATATCGAACTCTTGCTATTGGTCTCTATGCGGGTGAGTGGAACAATCGAAGACGTACATATGGATGTATACTAATCGGTATTGCAGTGGGGAGTGTGTCTCGGTGAGCAGCTTCGTTTGTTGCTCTTTGCCTCGAAGTACTGACTGTGTAGGGATTCTTCCAAGTCACCCAAGCCCGGGGCCAGGTAGCAGGGGTTTCCACAAGCACCATCTGCGCCGATGACTCGTTCCAGAACCTTTGCTGCGCCCCCGGTACCACTATGGGCACCTGCGCCTGGGAAGGCTGGGGCGGCGCTGGCATGGCTTGCGGCACCCCGGCTTGCAACGATAGCTCCGCAGTTGCCGTCGCCGGAAACAGTAAGCTTGTGTGTCTACCCGCAACTTGAGCAGCCGCTGACTATCTAGCCAACCACCTGGATGATGTCCCTGAGCTTCAGATATACGACGATCAGACATGCAACGGCGGAACCCAACTTTTCTGCTGTGTCGGCTTCAAGCCTTCGACAATCGCAAGCGCCTCAAATCTGAACTTACTCGGTCAGGCATCCACATCTGCTCTTCGGCGGCGCGGAACATCTAGTGGGGCTGGACTTAGTACGGGTGTTTGCTTGACGGCAGGAACTGGGATAGCCATCGCCTACGCGGCCGCCGGTACGGACTCCCCTTCCCCAACATGCTCTCTTTACTCACGTCTGTGTCGTGTAGCTTTCTTGTCCGGTGGCCTTATCACAGTCACTGCTACGCCGCTGCTCACGGGAGCCTTGGGCAGCTTGGCAGTGGGATGCATGGCCACTCTTGCAGCGGAAGGAGCTCTGGGGAACATGTCTCCCTCACTCGGGCTCGGGCTCGATATTGTTGGATATGCCATTTCCGTCATCGCCTTCAGCTCCGGCAGGACGCTGCGCAGCGGAGCGAGCGGTTCAAACAAGAGGCCGGCAGCAGCCCCAGCCAAGAACCCCAGCAAGCCCAAGAAGCCCAAGGTGGACGCGAATGGCAATCAGCTTTTCGGCGTCTACACGAAGAAGACTTATGATCCCAAGGACGACGATTGCTCGGTGAGTGTTCAATGCCTTTGGCTACCCATATCGCCTTCTTTGACTGACTTTGCTAGGTTACATACACGGTATCTCCTCCCATTTGGACTATCTTCCGCAAGCATTGGCTGACTCGTCTTCAAGTGTAACTACGGACTCGGATGGGATGAGGTAATAAGAGATGCCTACTTCTGCTGTGCACTTCGCTGACGCTCGATCAAGATTTGCGATAACCAGAAATGGGCCATTGACAAAGGCCTCGGCGGAAAAACAGTCTACGGCGTCGCAGGTAGGCCTTCACATTTCACTCGATCTACTGTCGTCTTGCTCACAAATGAACTTTTCGTAGACACTGGTGCTAGAAATGCCCGAGGGGCCAAGTTCTCCAAAGACGACTGGTCCAGTTTGTTCAGAGCCGACTTTTACCGCACGTTGGCTGTCCAACACCAAAACGGCGAAAACACTGCACGGTGTCAAGTGTAAGCAGATTGTGTCTTCTGAGAATTTGAGCAAGTGGTGACCGAAAGCAACAGTGATGAGTTCCCAATGGCATCGCTCGACGAGGGCTTGAAGCCGCAAAAGCAAATTGTTCGGCTTGTCAACGGAAGGGCAAATGGTCTACAAGGTAATTGATGGGCTTTTCTGTATGGTTATTGTGGCATTTGCTGATTGTATCATAGGAAACGATTGGTGGATGTGGCAGTTGGCTTCCTACCAGCCCTGTAGTGCTCTTCGAAAGGCAAAGGGAAAGCCTAAGCCGCCTGTGACCTGGCGCTTTGGGAGCCCTCCTCAAGACGACAATCGAAACGATGCATCATCTGGTGGTAGCCATTTCATTCAGAAATATGGGGTAAGTCTTGAGAGCCAGAGCCGTGAGTACGAGCTGACGATATTGCTTAGTTTGACTCTCAAACAGCCAATTCGGAATGCTGGGGTGAGTACCAAACACCATTTCAGGAACATTTGAGAGAAATCGTTTACTAAGCGGTGCAGCTACCTATGACGACCCCCTCAGTCATACCCATGCTACTGTTTTGGACCACGGCTTCCGAGCTCTTCCAAACGATCCGTAAGTCCATGACCCTCCAATCGCGCACATTAACGAGAGCTAAGAGAACGAACAAGCATGTTCGTCGACTACAACTGGCCCGCCCAAGACTACTGGAACACGCGTACGCAAGTGACCAAGCCCATGGGTGGTCTCGTGGATGCCTACCAGCTTGCCACAGACGTCGCGAGTGCAAACTGGCTCAAGCGTGACGAGGTGCCTGGAATGACGGGCAGCACCGCCAACGGCACTCTCGCGGATCTTGAGATCGTCGAGGTGGATATGGACGGCATGCGGCTCGAGGACCTTCAGCTGAACCCAGACGTCTTCACCGAACTGCACCTCAACGAGGCCGAGCTTGCCGAGCTCGGCATGAACAAGGAGGACATTGTCCTACTGAAACGCGAGACGGAGCCCGTCCCGCCGCTCATTCAGCCCAGGCCGAACGCCGCGGATGTGACCACTGCTGCCTCGGCGCCGACGCCTGTTGTGGAACTGTCGCAAACTGGTGCCATTGCGTCGAACTCGGCGCCTGCACCGACGGGGCAGATTTGGCGGATGAGGTATGTGGGGGAGTAGGGGTAGATAGACAGGTAGAGGAGATGGCGGCGTGTATTCGTATCCGTGTGCACTGAACGGTTCGATTCTATACACGGACATCGGCGTATTGGGCCGTAGTTTCCTATTCAAGCAGAGAGATTCCATAATAAAATCTTCAGTGTCTCGATCTATTTCTCTTAATTTGTATCATACCGGTTAAAGTCATCCCTTCCTAACCATGGCTCTAAAGAACTTACTCTTCCTTGCATTTACACTCGCTTGTTCCTATATTTCTACCACTTAGAGTGTCCCTACTAACGTAACCTCTTAGTGCTTGCCGACTACTTTTACGTTTACTAAATTGCTCGGTGCCGAGCCCCTTTATATATATGCAGGCAAAAGTCTACATCGACACCCAACCTGGCTTCCACTTAAAGGCTGGGATAACAGACTTATAGCATTTAGTAGTGGAGAGCATAGCACCTATATAGATTCTTTATACCTTATATAGGTAGTAGCTGGCGGCTTCGCAGCCGTTGATACTAATAGCGGCTATACATCAGGCGCCGCAGCTGCCGAGAACCTAAATTGGGCTTTAACCAGCCCCGATAATGTCAACCTTTAATTTCTCGAAGACGACGCGTCTCGGGCCCTCTATGACATGCCCGTCATTGGCAAGGCAGTGACTGATGATTGCTTTAATACTGCGCCCAAATTATCCTACTTCACCGGCTGCTCTGGTGGCGGTCGTCAAGGACTCAATGTCACGGATCAGGTTCCTGCCTTAGATCCTCTATACTTAGTAGGATCCCGGTCCTCCAGATCACGGTCCCCATATCATCATACTCTGCTTTTAGGCATCCCGATTCCCCTTCCTTCACGGATCGTGATCTCGCCACTCATAATGGCTTAAGGCTACCCGGACGGCTACGACGGCATTAAAGACAGCGTCATCTCATCCATCGATAACTGCACCTTCCAGGCCCACAGTGTCGTCGGCCAGAACTTCTCCTGCAACAGAACCACCAGGAGCCTCACCGAGGCCGGCGCCACCATCGGCCTTCGCAGCTCATCCGGAACCAGCGGCTAGTTCGGCCTCAGCAAAGACGCCGACCTCACCTTCACCTCCATCACGACCCAGTGCGACGACACCAACGCCAGCTGCCCCACCACCCCCTCCGAGCTTCCAAGCAGTTGGACCAAGCACATCCTCGCCAAGGCTCCCAACTACTTCGCCGCCGCCAACAAAACCGACGCCACCGCCTTATACGATCCTTTCCCTTGGTATCCCAGAAAGATGCCAAGCTGAATCAGATCCTCCATTACCACGAACGACATCTCCCTCGTCACCAATCTCAGAGTTTCCCAACCTGTTTTGAGCAAAAGGGTTCTCGATCAAGTGCTCGGAGGAACGGGAGTTATTGTATTCAAACACACTCTCGTCGACAAAATCAGTTCCATTTGCTTCCCGGCCCTCGGTGCTGGTATTCCGTTTGATTTGTAGAAACGGTCGTACCGGACGCTGCAGTGTTGGATGCTCTTTATCGGTCAAGTCCAGCGTGGCGAGCAATTCGCCGGACCCGGTTAGAGGGATGTCGTTTACTGCATGAGACCATGTTCCGACACCCACTCCTTCGTGAGCAAGACGTTGAAGTTGCAACGTTTCGTTCGAGTACCACTCGAGATGGGCGCCGTAGTCCAGTCCGTAACGTTTTCGAACCCACAGCGCAACCGGCTCCAGAACGAATGAGGCAATCACCACGAGGACCCCGACGACAAGGATAAATAGAAGAGCGAAAAGGCTGAACGACGTGTGTTCCGAGCTCATGATCTTCTGTTGACGTTCATGTCAGTCCCAAACACTTTAAGGCAAGTAAAGAGGAGGGGGGTCGGACTTGGCTGCTGCACATCATTCTTTCCTCCCTGTTGTCTGGCTCTTTGACGAATGGCCTGATTGCACTGTCCGTATGCCCGGCTGCGGCATCTACGAATCTTTCTTGTATCATGGCGAGTGAGATTGCAAACCAATGCTGCACATCCAGCTGCCACTGACCATCTGGAAGAGGGCTCTGGACGCCATAACCAACTGTTTGTTTCGATCTCAGAGCCTGTGAGCCCAAGATAGATACCACTTGAGTCAGCGATATGTCCGGCTGGAGAGTGATCTTGTGCAACCAGCTTATCAGGTTGGCTGATTTATTTCCACCCGCAAGCTTCCCTAAATTTGCGTTCATGTCCAAATTTCCGCTTAGAGGTGAGCAGCGACTCCCGTCTGGTAGGTTGGGATTACACAGCTGCTCCTGTTTCGCACATGCCAAAGGAGATGCGGGCTCGTCTTGAGCATAAAAGGGAACATTATATGGCTCCTCGAATGGGCCGGTGGTCTCGGTGGTAGCTCTATACCAGTCGTCGGTTGTCTTCTGGGTGAATAAAATGCCGCCGGCGGAGAGATATATTATCGACACATCCGCGTCTGGCCGTCGGAGCGCGGGGACCAACTCCGAATCGAGGTAGTGAACAGATCCGTTGGTATAACTCACCTCCTGAGTACTTGGACACCAATGTTATTCAAGCCATGCAAAAGTTCTTCATGGTGAAAAACTACTTACCCGATGGCGTAGTCCACTGGATAAGTTCCGGCGTGTTGGAGGCTAGAGTTCCATACAGCTTCGTTTGGGTAAGTATAGTTGAAATAGCTTGAGGAGGAGGATCCATAGTTGTAAGTCGTGTATGACCGGTCGCTCGATGCATTCCATATGGTTTTATACCCCTCTGTTATTAAAGGTGCGCAGTGCAACACTCTCCTATATTGGAATCGCTGGCTTGGGGGAGCGTTGAGTCCGAAGTCCGTATGGCTGTCCAGAAAACCCGTGTCCAAGAAAATGTTAGTATTTGCGTTCCGACAGATTTTGTCCTCGAACGGACAGCTCGCATTTTTGACAAGGGTCGCTGGGAGCATCTTTTTAATGAATACGTTGCACCCTAATATATTAGATGAGTCCGAGCTGTAGCATTGATGCGCATAACTGGCTGCGACCTGGGTGCGCTCAAATTGGAAAGCGATAAGGGCTCCCAGGCTATCCAAAGTGCCGTTTAGATTGGGATCAAACCAGGTACAGTCGTTTCCTGAGAGCAGAACCTCAGTCCCTGTAACAATCTTCGAGGAGAATCCGCTAGCCAGGATGAACGCGGTAGTGAATAGTGCCGCAAAAATGAGAAGCGGCAGTATTCGGCCAAATGGTTCCCTTGCAGTGTTGCGCCAGGCCCATGGGAGTTCGATCAGAGTGACTAATCCAGAAGCAGCAGTAGAAGAATTGCGGAGGACGGCCTGGCGCTGGTGGTGGAGACCGTCGCATGCGTTATTGGATGCGTAGGCCTGGTGGAAGGCAAAACAGCAAATTCGCCATAGCCGATTTCCTATGATGCTGACGAACACGGCCATGAAGGCAACGAGGAGGTTGGCGTCCTCCCGGCGAAGTGTCAGCGTGGCTCCATAGACGGAACCAAAGCTCCAGTTCGTCCATATGCCCGTGTGGACGTGGTAGGGATGACTCGGGTTGATTGCCGGGCTGTCGCTCATTGTGTTGTGAAGAGAAAAGATGGAATTTCAGCTTGCTTGTAATCCTGCAAGCGCGTTGCTGTTTATAAAGATCAGCGTGCGGGGAGCTTTCAGCTCTTGTCCATGCAAGTAAGCAAGCTGAGTCGAAGGCAAAGTGCATGCCCAGCCCAGCATCCCTGTCGCCCCACGGTTGCACTTGCAATACGAGAGTGGAGAGCGAGGCTATGAGAACATCTAATTCATTATATTTCCAGCCATTATCGTACTATGCATTAGTTTAGGTATTTTACATTGCACCCGCTAAAGGAAGAGCGGGATGGCAATGGCGAAGACATAGGAGAAAAGCCTTCCTCTCTTCAGAGCACTCGCACTCGATCCCTGGTCCGAATCCGAGGTTGTCGTAGCCTCTGAGTTCCCTCCGCTCGTGGTGGAGTGGCCAGTTGAGCTCGTGGTAGACGACGCGCTACTACGGGTAGACGACGCGCCACTGCGAGTCCTGGATGTAGTGGACGTGTGTTCAGACCCGACGCTCTCCGTCGTAGTCCCGTCCACGACAATGCCGTCGGACGCCGCACTCAGCACCTCGCCTCCCGTGGTGACGGGTGCTCCGCCCACCGTCAGAGTCTGCGACCCGACGACAATGACACCGGTGCTGCTCCCAGGTATGGCCGCCGTGACGGTCTCAGACCCCAGGGTCAACACCCCCGCCTCGGTCGTCTGCGACACGGTGCCATCTCCGGAACCAGCGCCAGCGTCAACACTGAGCGTCTGGCCGTCGACCGTAATAGCACTGGCGCCCGCAGTCCCACCAAGCGTCTGCGACGTTCCATCAACGACGACAACGCCCGAGGGAGCCAGACTGATGCTGTGCCCATCGACCGTGGTGGCTGAACCACCCACGCTGAGGACAACATCACCGCCGCTGGTAGCAGCGCCAGAAGCACCACCACTCCCTTCCACTCCGCTCGTCGCCGACGCAATCGCCACCGTCGTCGATCCGCCCACCACCACCCCATCCGACCCCACACTCACCACCTGCCCACTGGCAGTCCCTCCCAGCGTAACCGCACCACCACCCGCCGTCAGCGTCGTCGTGCTCCCACCACCCCCAACGACAACAACCCCCGACCCCGAACCCGCAGCCGTCAACGTCTCGCCCGCGACGGTAATCACCTGCGCCGACGCCGTCGCCGACGCCGACACCGCCGCAGCCGACACGTCCGATGCTGCCGTTCCACCCGCTCCATACGCCTGCGTCGTCGTGCCGCTGCCGCTGCCGCCGTCGACGACGACCACTCCCGCACTCCCGGCGCTGATGACGACGACCTGGCTGCTGCTGCCACCGCTGCTGCCGCCAGCGTCGAGCGTGACGGTGGCGGCCGCTTGCCCGGCGCTGATGACGGTCGAGCCGATGGTCAGGTCTTGGCCGGGGACGGCCGTGTAGGGCGTGCCGTCGAGGGTGATGGTTGCTGCTGTTGCTGCTGATGCTGCTGTTCCCGTTGCTCCTGCTTCTGTTGCTGCTCCTGATGCTGCCGAGACGGCTGATGCTGCCGAGACGGCTGATGCGGGATCAGACGCATCGGTTGTGCTGGGGTCGGGGAACGCGATTGTCACGACGGAGGTGTTGTCGTCGTCGTTGTCGTTGGATCCGGTGGATGCAGCCGCCGCAGCGCCCGAGTTCGTGGGATCTGGGGAGGCGCCTTGGTTTGATGAAGTGGCGTCCGACGAGCCTTGGGCGGACGAGTCAGAAGACTCCGGATCCGAGGTTCCGGGAGCAACAGTGCTCGATGGAGGGTCTGCGGAATCCGCACCGGTGCTTGAGTCGGCGGGGTCGGTCTGAGTAGGGTCGGTTTGAGTGGTAGGGTCTGTCTGAACAGGGTCGGTCTCGGCAGGGTCGGTCTGAGCAGGATCGGTCTGAGCAGGATCGGGCTGAGTGGTAGGATCGGTCTGAACTGGTTCACTCTCTGTCTGGGTGGTAGGATCAGTCTGAACAGGATCACTCTCTGTCTGAGCAGGATCGGTTTGAGCAGGATCAGTTTGAGCAGGATCGGTTTGAGTAGGATCGGCTTGAGTAGGATCAGCTTGAGTAGGATCAGCTTGAGTGGGATCAGCTTGAGTGGCAGGGACAGTCTGAACGGGATCACTCTCGGTCTGAGCAGGATCAGTTTGAGTAGGATCAGCTTGAGTGGCAGGGTCGGTCTCAGTAGGATCAGCTTGAGTGGCAGGGTCGGTCTCAGTGGGATCAGCTTGAGTGGCAGGATCCGTCTGAACTGGGTCACTCTCGGTCTGAGCAGGGTCGGTTTGAGTGGCAGGGTCAGTCTGAACAGGATTGCTCTCGGCAGGATCGGTCTCAGTAGGGTCACTCTGGGTCGCGGAATCCGTGTCAGTAGGGTCACTTTGAGCGGGATCGGTCTGAGTGGGATCGCTCGGAGAAGATTCAGTCTGAGTAGGGTCGGCACTCTGAGTAGCCGCCGCCGTCGTCGCCGGGCTGGTGTTCGTAGGCAAGGGATCGGACACAGTGCTACCGGGATCGGCGGCCGCGGTGGTGCTGGCGGGCTTGCTCGGATCGGCCTTGGTGGTCGAGGCCGGGAGGAGAGCGCCGGCGGTGGTCAAGGCGATGGGCGGATCGTGCATGGCGTAGGTGCCGAAGAACTGGCTCAGCGGGGTGCAGTTGCTCCAGGCCGACTGCAGGTTCTGCAGCTGGGTGCGGTAGAGCAGGTTCGGCTTGTAGTCGTCGTGGATGGTCGACGGCGCGCACGTGTTCTCGAGCTGGCCCGGGTTGTCCGAGCACGAGTTGGGCCACCAGTACGCGCTGCTGGGCACCAGCGGGATCTCGAAGCCCGAGACGGTCGTCTTGGCCAGGTTGGCGAAGTTGAACGACCTGGCCAGATTCGACGACCGGCTGTTGGGGAGACTGGACAGCTCGCCGGGCGGGACGGGCACCCAGATGTCGGACATGTCGTATCCGCAAGTCGCCGCCCCGTTGCTGATGCCGGCGCGTGCATACATGGTGGTGAAGTAGAGGTAGGCGGTGGGCGAAGTCATGGTGAAATTGCCCACCGTTGCCGTCACGGCCTGGCGTTTGTCGACCTGCCAGGGATCGGTGCGCGTGGCATTGGGGCCGCAGATGAGGTCCGTCGACCACGGCTCGGGCCAGTAATACAGGTCCACTTCATCCGTGCCGGTGAGCTGGCACTCCTGCTGGCACGTCTCGCATTTGGGCCTCCAGAAGCTGGGAGCCTGGAGCCAGATGTCGTCGTCTGCGGCAGTGTGTGATTGGGCCCAGCTCGATGAGTCCTGACTCCACACCGACCAGAGCTGGTTGCACTCTTTCGTACCGAAAGAGCAGCTGGGCATTGCAGAAGCAGCAGTGTCGTACGACGTGGTGACGGTACTCTTGGTGGTCTCGGAGCTGCCCCAGGACGTTTCGTAGAAAAAGCCGCCGCGAGGGATGCCATCGCACAGCGTTATCACCGGCGTGTCATTGTTGCCGTGGGCAATGCTTGTCTCGAACTCGGCCCAGTAAACCGTGGAAGTCGTGTATTCGGTGCCCGCCGTCTGGCTGTAATTGTACCACGCCACATCGCAGCTGCTGAGCGAGGTGAAGGATGGATCTTTGGTGCTGGTTGTATTCGACAACGCGAGCGTGACAGTTACGTGTGCCGGTGTTGTTATTGTCACAGTGCTGGGGTCCGGGGTGGCGGCTGCTGAGATGTTGACCTGGCCAGTACTTGACGGAGTCAACGTTGAAGCCTCCGAAGAGACCTGGCTGGAACTCGTCGAAGTCAGACGCGAGCTACTGCTCGACGGCGTCCGGATCAAAGTATCTGCCAAGTGAACCGCACTGCTGCTCTCCGTAGCATTCTGCCATTGAGCGCCTGTTTCAAGAAGTCAGCGGTATACATCAAGTTTGGAAGTACTGTACGGACGAGCAAATGGCACTGCTGCTGCCACAGCAACGTATTGCGAGAAGGACTTCATCGTCGAACGCTACCGGCCTGCCCTTGGCACGAGGGAGCGCGGATTTGTAAAGGATTTCATTGGTGTCGTTGGCCCCCACAGAAATGCGGAGAATAGTTCCCCGTCATGAGAGATGTTTTTACCGAACGCGCGTCGCCAACACGCTCTTCTCAATGCTTGTCCAGTCTTAGGGGATCTTGTGCCGGTTCCCGCTTGCCAAGCGGTCAGCTCTGGGGGCCATTTGAAGCAGGAACTGCTGCCTTGGAGGGATAAGTTTTCGCGCATCACGCAAAAGGTAGGTGAAGGATTTATTTGCACCCTGCACTAGTCCGAATCTTGCCATCTCTCCCGGTGTAGTGCTGTAACCGGACATGCCCCGACAGCAAAGTGCCAACAAAGCAAGGGGTTCACGACCCACCTGGCGCGACATCGGCCCTGTTACTAGATAAGACGGGGTCTGGAAACAAAAAGCACTTGCTGCCAAGCTACGGACCATGACCGGAACGTCGTCTGTGCGGGATCGATTAACCTACAGATGAGTAAGTTAGTGGAGAGGTTTGACTCAAAAACGAGTCATTCTCATTCCTTATAACCGACAGCAAAGGACTGTTCGTTAAAGCCGCGGGACTAGCGAGGGAAGCATTCATAAAAGATCTCCCCAGCCAGATCAAATCTTGACTGTCCCGCAAGGAACACACTTCAAAGCCCATCATCCTTTGCCGGGACCAAGACTACAAAATCCTTGCGCTCGTTGTCTTCTTCGCGCGTGATTTGCACCATGAACGCGTGCGAACGTTATGAGACCCGGATAATGGGCTCGAGCATGGTCGTCAGGTGGCACAATTGCGTTTGCCCAACATTGTCCCTTCAACCGGGTAATCAATCGACGGGTGTGGAACTGGGAGAGCTGTGTGCTGATAATTACCCGCGAACGAGCCTGAGGTAGAGCCAACAGATTTGACGTCCTCGATGGGACACTTGATTTTGCACCTCGAAGCCAACTTTACGCAAACAATATCCGATTAGCCGGTCGTGACATGAACGATCTGTGTGTTCGAGTTCGACAGCGCAACGGTAGATAGACGAAAGAACATTAATCCAGAAGGGGTTTAGTGTGTAAACCCAAAGATGCTATATAAATAGCATTCTCCCGCAAGCCTCTTAGAGGGACAATCCATCAAGATCATGAAATGCAAACACTATGATGCTCTAAGAGCGTAATATTCGCAAGGTCAACTATGGCTTGGAGGGAATTTCAGGGTAGAACATGAAGTAACTATAGAAGCTTGATGTGGTTTTATTACTATTCTATCATTTAATCTGGCTCGATTCACTGTTATCGCGATTCTTTACCATGGAGGGCACCCGCCGTCATACTGGTTGATACCTTCGGCTTTCTCCCACCCAGGAACATGGACGTTCAAGAACTTGCCGTTGTCCTCCTTTTTGACGCGGAAGATGATGTCTGCCGTGGCATTGGAACCCTGCTCGATAGTCAAATCGGCACCGGTTCCACCGAGGTCTGTCTGGATCCACTGCATGCGGAGACACGGTCAGTAAGTGCCTGAGAGAGAAGAATATTTCTACCCGAATGAAGTTTGAGAAACACCTTGATCACGGAGCTCGGCAGGTGCATGGGTTTAAATGAGACACTTACGCCTGGCGAGATAGCGACAACTGTGAAGCCCTTGTCGGCAAGCGACAAAGCGTACTGGACCGTGAGCATGTTCAGGGCTGCCTTCGAGATCTTGTAGGAAGGTACGGGCATTTGAGCGTAGGTCTTGGACAAGCCAATGGATCCCAGAGTGGTCGAGCTTAAGGTGGGCAGACTGTGAGCACGAATACCTATAGAGGTGAGATTGGAAGCTTACATGTTGATGATCTTCTTGAGTTGGCCCTTCTCGAGCAGAGGAAGGAAAGCAGTGGTGACGTAATGCACACCGGTGACATTGATCTTGAATGTCTCGTCGAGGTCAGACCTAATCGGTAACGTCAGACAGCGTCAAACATAGCAAGGTGGATAGAAAGGAAAAGGGAAATTACATGGCTGTGATGCCGTCGGCGGTATAGTTCATGACTCCGGCGTTATTGATTAGAACATCGAGACCCTTCCCGTCGAGTGACTGAGTGACATGGCTGGCGGCCTCCGTTGCACTTTCTTGAGAAGTAATGTCAAGCTGGACGAATTCGACACGACCGCTGGACTTGGCCACGAGCTCCTTGAGGCTAGTAGTCTCGCTTCGAGCGGATGCAAACACTTTGCCAACATCGGCAACAGGCTTCGACGCGAGCAAGCCCGCAATGGCCAGACCCAGACCTCGGGAAGACCCAGTGACGAAATAAGAAGCCATAATTTGCTGTAAGCTGAGAACGGATGGGCACAAGTTTGATGTATGTGGGCGTTGAAAGATAAGAGGGATAAAAAGCGTTCAGTCACGGCATTCAGCTGCAAATATATACGTCATAGCCATGCAGTGACGCTACGTCCATCAAATAAAGGGATGACAAACAAAACATATCTTGTGCTTAGAAATCGGTACCAATAATGGGGGCCAAGCAAAAAGTATTATAGCTGGAGTTGCACTACTAGAAGACTCCTACATCTCCGGATCGGTACTAGTGCTTACAAGGCTGGCGAACGCCATTGCGGAGGAGGTCTCGGCGTTAAGATATACTGTGCAACTAATCCCGTACTACGGAGGTAACGGGGCTGAAACTTGCCGAGACGGATCTAGCGACTTTTGAAATGGTATCAATCTTGGCAAGGAGATTTCTTTGACTGCACCTCCAGGCTGAAGGTTGGCCCCACGAAAGGCTAATGAGACCCTGGAAAGCAGGATGAGTGTTGTTTGGTCTCTCCATATCCCGTCTCGGGAGCTCACCGATGCCTTCTTCGTATGTACCTGCCACCCCAACCTTGGAATGTTGGACGCAGGCTGACACAGCTTCTGCCGCACATCCATCGCGGGGAGGGACTTACATGCATGCCGGCAATTCTTTGTCAATTGGAAAACAATCGCGGCGCCTGCAACCTCTGCTCCTCCATCCAGACACGGGTTCTACCTCTCTGGCATACACATCTCCGTAAAATGCGCCACCAAGGTACTTATCCGATGACAAAAGAAGAAAACAACTCAAACCCAAGCCTTATCCAAATTCGACACAAAACTCCCATCCTTAAACGGCGTGATCGCCTTCCCAAAATCCGTAACCTGCAACGCCTCCCTCGCCGGCTCGGTCATGGCGTCCCAATCCACCAACGCGTACGTGACCCCCTCACTCGTCTTGAACTGCAGCTCGTGATTCGTCGGGAAATTCGTAAAGTACTCGACCATCAGGCTGTCCCCGTTCCGCTGCGGGTTCGTCGTCTTCTTGTAGTCGCCGTGCCCCGACGCGGCGGCGCCGAGGACGGAGGGAGTCGGAAGCGCCGGGTCGTCCAGCCAGAGCACGACGTTCTCCCAGTCGTACCGGTGCGCGCCCGCGGAGACGCCGTCGGTGGGCTGGTCCTTGGGGAAGTACCAGGCGTACATGATGGCGTAGCGGTCTTTGTGCCACGCGCCCCGGGCGTAGGTTTGGCCTTTGGAGGTGTCGCGGCACCCGCCGGTGGAGGAGCCCGTCTCTTGCTGTGAGGGGCGAGTCAGCGCTTAGTTCTTTGGACATGTGAGATTGGAATGGGAAATGGGAAATGGCAACGGCAACGGCAACGGGATGACTGTTGTGACTTGTGCACGGAAGAGACTTACGAGACCGCCGCTGGTGTCCCCGGCCTCATTCACGGCGGTGTAGGGCTGGCAGCCGTGTGCGATGTGGAGCTGCGGATTGAAGCGCTTTATGGCGTCGCCCTCTGTATTGTTCCGGACGGTTACCGGCCACGGGTTGAGGGAGTCATGGGCCACGATTTTGCGGGCTTCCAACAGCGGGGCAGCGGTGACGCAGGATGCGGCGGCGAGGCCGAAGAAAAGGGCGCTCTTGAAGTGCATGGTTGGACGCTGGACGTTGGCCAGGGGGAATTACGTTCGTTGTTTTGAGGAAGAGGTGCGGGTGTCTCCGGTGGTTATAGAAGTACCGAAGCGGGCTGGGACGGGGTTATATAGCTCATGTCAGGGCTGGATAAATTTAGATGGTTGTGCTCAAGGACAGCAGAAGCAACAGTACGAGAACCGGAAGTGACAACGTGATCTGTACGTTTCGCTTGAGAGTTTCGGAACTGAAAACTGGGGGTGCTTCCTTGGCTGTGTGTGTCAAGATGGGCTTGGCGGACGCCATGTCGTACTGGCTTGAGCCGTGTGCGCAGCGTCTGTCATGATGCGGAGCCCATGTCTGTGATCGCAACAAAAGAAGGGTCCGCTTAGAACTGTAGGCGCCTAGCTTCATACTGCATTTAGTGGATAGTATCATAGGTGAGAAGTTTCAGTCTACACCTTACAATGTACTTGAAGCTAGTAGGTAGAAGGGTCCGTTCTTCCCCACCGGTTCATCAAGCATAAGGCTGGTGGTATTTCGAGATGATGGCTAGAGGCGCGTCCTGACCGTAGTTAGTGAGCATACTTTCTGCCGGCCCTCACGATGTTGGTTGCCTTCTTCGTTGGTTGAGCCCAAACTCGAGCGTAAACGGTCATGGAAAGCGTTACGTGAAATGACAGGAGAGTGGTCGAAACTTTGCAAGTGGTATTATTAGCAAGCTCGGAAACTATGATTGGGTCATGACTCGCATCGCATGGCGACTCGACCCACGTGGTGTAGCCCTTTTGGTGTGCTGGATGCGAGGTCCTCAGCTGGGTGGTTGTTTTAAGCTTAACGTCGGATCATTTGAGGCGAGTGTATTTGCTCGCGTCCTCCCTGCTCTGGCAAAGGTGGGGGCTGGCTTGGTCCAGAATGCGAAAGTGACGATACGCAGGTACGATGGTGGCGTTATGGGGCATCGTGATGCTGACTCGCATCATCACAGAACCGTACGTTCAACACGCATAAACGGACAGGGGGCTCCGAAGCGAACCGGCGCAGGGTCCAAGGCGCTGTGCGATATATATTCAGTCCTCCATCAGAGCAGCGGGAGCTCTCCAGACTCCAGAGCCCAGCGCCATGCAACAAGGAAAGAGCAGAGTGATGATGCAGAAGGTAATTCAAAAACACCAAAGGGTTGTGTTCCACATTCAGACGGAGGATTAGCGGTGGACCGTGTATCGGAAGCCGAGGCCATGTTGTTGTGCATATTGACGGCGTGGATCTTTTCTCGGACAGCGCGGACAGCGGAGAAATAGTTGAGTGACGGTCATGAAGGTGTGGCTGGGCCGGAGGTGATGCCGAGAGGATGGAAGTCTTAAAGTCTCGAGCGAGAATGCACACCGGTGATGTCCTGGGATTGTGAAGGCCGAAGCGACGCGGTACGGAGAGTGACGACAGGGTTTTTGGTGTTGAGCGGGGAAGGAAGGCGGGCAGCGCACGGACCAGGGCCTTCTGTTTTGCTTCACCTACCCAGCGACACCACCCATCACCACAACGTCATCACACCCGTCGCATCCGCTGTCTAGGTTCCTCCAATCGCTTTCTTCTTCGCACCGTCCGAACCGCGCTCGCAACAGCCCGACGCGCCATGCAACGCGGGTTCACCGCATCCGCGCGCTTGTTCTCGCGAGCCGACCAGCTTTCCAGAGCGCCAACACCGCATCGGAAGCCGCGGATAGGGGTTGCAGACTGATCTAAACCCTTGTCGCCACTCCATTCTAGCGTACCAATAAAGCTATGTTCACTGACACCGTCCATACGAATACGCAACCTCTTCGATTGGGCGCGATAACGGACGGCAGGGTCATTTCGGGGCCCGCGGCCCGCGCCATGATCACCACCGAAGCCCGAGGGCTGTTTGCCTCACTCAGCCCCGGCCGAAACTAGCATTTAACGTCGGCCTTCCAGAAGCTCGACTTTACACACTCGTCTCCTTTAATTATCATAAAAACACCAGAAAAAGGGAGGAAAGAAAGACCACAAAGAAAATGTGGCAGCGGGCAAAACAACAAAGCAAAGCCGGCTTCGACAAGGCGTGGGGCTGGGCCGACAAGCTGGGCGACCCGGTCAACAAGCTTTCAAACAGGCTCGGCTCCGAGGCCTTCTGGCCCATGACCATCGACAAGGAAAGCGACAAGGCCGCCCGCATCCTGTCAAGCTTTTGCCGTAAGTCCAACTTATTCCTTGGACACCCCCCGACCCTGACAGAATACAGAGGACGGTGTCGAGAAAGCACCTACCTCATCATCTCTCGACGACAAGCAATCGGGACCAAAGGGCAAGCAATACGTCCTTAGAAAGATCCCGCCAGAGGTACGCATGTACACACATACTTGAAACATCCCATCCAACACCACCGCCCAGGTCATCCGCAACGCCGTCGGCCTCGCCATCTTCACCACCATGCGCACCGGCCTGTCCTTCTCCGGCGCCGGCGGGTCCGGCATCCTCATGGCCCGCCTCCACGACGGGTCGTGGTCGCCGCCGTCGGGCATCCTCCTGCACACGGCCGGCGTGGGGCTGCTGGTCGGCATCGACATCTACGACTGCGTCCTCGTCATCAACACGTACGACGCCCTCGACGCCTTCTGCAAGCTGCGCTGCACCGTGGGCGGCGAGATCAGCGCCGCCGCCGGCCCCGTCGGCGCAGGCGGCATCGTCGACAGCGAGGTGCACAAGCGGCGCGCGCCCATCTTCACCTACGTCAAGAGCAGGGGCTTCTATGCCGGCGTGCAGCTGGATGGGACCGTCGTCGTCGAGCGCGCCGACGAGAACGAGCGCTTCTATGGGGAGAGGGCGCCTGTCGCGAGGATTTTGACCGGCGATGTCGGACACGTGCCGAGGGAGAAGCTGGAGCCGCTTTGGGAGGCTGTGGGCGTGGCCGAGCGGGGAGGAGAGCGGGCTGAGACCAAGTTCATGATGACGCCGGATGGGTCGCCGGTGGAGGGCTATGTCCCGCCGCCGAGGAAGGGCCACCGGGTCATGCCGAGTATTAACTGATTGCTGAGGTGAGGGCGTTTGGTGTTTTTGCATGTCTGGGGCGTTTTGGTGGCTACTGATTAATTGAATCTAGAACTTGAGGTATGTAATACATGGCGGGATCCTGAACCCCACAGAACACATGTTACGAGATCAGTGGCAAGAGCACCTTGCAGTGCTGTTGTTCGGGAAGCGTTGTGACAGACGACTGGGGGTACTGAATCGACGCCACCCGCGGACTCCACGTGTTGAATTCCGGCCACTCCCACGAAGAAAACAGCTCAATGGTACTGTTGTATCCCCTCGCCTCGAGATACGCCACATCGACGTTCGGGTTCCCCGCCCGCGCAAACGACGCCCACATGTCCTGCACGGCGTTCGTGAAGTAGATGTCTTCCGCAACCCGCACCGGCCGGTCGAACAGGTAGTAGGTGCCGAACACCTCGTACAGATCGCCCGAGTGACAGCGGTAGTACGGCGTGTCGGGCTCGCCCACGGGGAAGGTGCAGGCGTCGTACCAGTTGTAGTACGACAAAGCGTACGCCCGCTCCAGGCTGTAGACCCACATCGCCTCGAAGGCGGCTGAAGCGGCGCCGACGGAAGCGAACTGGCTGCCGCCGCAGGTCAGGACGAGGTCCGAGACGATGCTGATGCTGGCGTTGTACGCGTCCGGGTACGTCGTGCTCCCCCCGCCGGTCGACGACGATCCGTTGCCGACCACCCACAGCCCGGAGTCCAGGACCGCGTCGGCTTGTTCCTGGGTGGCTCGGCCATTCTCCACCAGGACGCCGAGCCCGTCGCTGAAGGTGGTGAGGTTGGGCCCGAGCTCGAGCTCGAGGAGCGATTGGCCCTCCTCCGGCATGAATCCCAGCATCACCTTGACCGAGTTGATCGACTGCCGGCCTTTGGAAACCTGGGCGATGGGTATGTCGAGCGTGTAGTCGTCGTCGATGACGGTCTGCCAGCTGCCGCCCTGGGAAGTGAGGTTGAACAGGGTGTCGGCCGGCAGCGCCTGGAGGCACTCGAGCCGGGCGGTGCCTGTCTGGTTGCACAGCGGTCGGATGTAGGGCTCGATGGCGGCGGCGGCGTCGGCCCGAGCCTGCGCCCACCCCTTGCCGCCGGACTGGATGATGGCGGCGTGGAAGAGGCCTTCGGCCCTGGGGGAGGCGATCAGGTCGATGACGGATCCGCCGCCGGCCGACTGCCCGAAGATGGTGACGCTGCTTGGATCTCCCCCGAATGCCGAGATGTGGTCCCTGACCCACTGGAGAGCTGCGATCTTGTCCGACGTCGCGTAGTTGCCGGGAATGGCGTCGTCGAGCCCCAGGTAGCCGAAGATGCTCAGGCGGTAGTTGATGGCGACGACCACGACGTCGGAGCGGCTGGCCAGGCTGGCGCCGTCGAAAGTGGCGTCGCTGCCCGTGCCGGTCTTCATCGCGCCGCCGTGCATCCAGAACATCACGGGCTTGAGCGTTTGCGCTTCGTTGGCGGCGGCGGCAGGATCGGGAAGCCCGGGGGTGAAGACGTTGAGGTACAGGCAGTCCTCGCTGTTTCCCCACGGATTCAGCCCGTAGGCATTCCCGTCATACCACCCGGTCTGGATGCAGGCGGCGCGGTACTCGGTCGCGTCCACGAACGATCCCGTCCACGGCTGGGCGTACTTGAGACGGAGATTCCCCACTGGAGGCTGGGCGAAGGGGACGCCCAGAAATCGGAAAGCCATGTGGTCGCGGAGACCCTCGAAAGTGGTGCCGTTTGCCGAGACGTTGACGCGAGGGTAGACGGAGAAGTCGGTGTCTACCTTGTCGACAATGGGAGCGCTGTTGGTACAGAGAAAGTAGTGCAGGCCGGAGTCGTTGCTCGCGGCAGACGTGGATCCGCCACTCCATGACACCAGCGATGATTCGCTGCAATCGGTCCAAAACAGCTCGTCGTCCTGGATGTTGCCAATGAACTTCTGGTAGTTCAGCTGCTCATGGAAATGCTGTATTTGACCACAGCCGAGCAAGGCTTCATCTTGAGAGTTGCATGTTGCCACGGCGTCTTCGAAGCTGGATTGGCGGTGAACCAGCAGTGCGCTCGGCTTCTCAGCATGACTCGTCCAATTGCCGTCATTTTGGAAGAGCACCGTCACTCCCCCCGACGCCGCAGCGGCGAAGGGCACCATGAAGACGGCAGCAAAGGAGTGCGGTAGCATGGCGTTGCTGGGAGAAGCGGGGAAAGCAGTCAGTGGAACATTTCATTTGATTACTGGGTAACGCGAGCATTTTGTACACGGGCAAAGAAAAGCCGATACGCAGATCTACCCCGAATCCGGGGATTCAGGTGCCGGAGCCGTGCCATCTTCAGGTACCGCCGCCTCTTCCCCACCATCGCTCCCCGCACTGTCGGCAAATCTGACTCACCCCGGATTTCTCCCAGGATTAACCTCAGAGAACGTAACGACTGCCTACACCAAAGGTTAGCACACGGCCACGGAATAAAGAGCCGAGGAGACATACAACGCCAGGTTCTCCCTATCTGTCAACAAGTCCAACTGCCTCGCATCGACAACTACCTCCACCTTGGTCCCACCCTCACCAACCCCCGCATATCCACGGTTCATTACCTGTGGCACCGCGAGAGTACTGGAATCAGATCGCCAATGCAGTGTGAAGAGCAAGTCCGTCATGGTATCCCTATTGTTACATAGATTAGATTATTATCACGCTAGATTCTGCGCTCAGCCTGCCCCGACAACCGCTCAATGTGATCAAACGACAACGACTCCCCCGTCGGTCTCCGACTCGCCGGACCAGGGGTCAGCAACCCAGCCTCGCTCTCCACGCTCCCCTCGGCCGACACGACCTGATGCAGCGAGCTCTGGCTTATGCTCGTCCTCTTGCGCACCGCTCCCAGAGGCGTCGCCTGCTCCGCGTCGGCCTCGCTCCCGTCCGAGGCCGTCACGATGGTGAGGGATTTGGCGAGCGGGGCTTGTCCGGGGATCTCGAGGAAGGAAGGGCGGGCCGCGTCTTGCAGCCGCGCGCTGCAGTTGGAGGCGCGCGATAGCCTGTTGTGTTCGGTGTCGGTGGTGGTGGTGGTGGTGGTGTTGGTGACGCTCTTTCCGGTTGCGTTGGCGGCGGGTAGGTCGATGGAGCCGTCGAGGTCCGCGTGGTCGACGGTCAGCCAGTGCACGATGCAGACGGACCAGGTGACTGTTCGTGGTGGAGTTGGTCAGCGCAGTTGGACGCGGGGAGGGGTCGGTTCGGAGAGAGACATACCATCGAGGGAGCAGATGGTGGAGCAGAGCCATCCCTGCTCGTGGTTCCCCAGCTTGAAGAGCAGTGCGAGATTTGCCGTGGTCGGCAACATGATCAAGAAGGCGCCGACGACGGTCTTGAGAACCAGCTTCCGAAGCACGCGCAGAAGGCGGTCGTTGCCGACATCGACGCGGACTTCGTCGTTTTCGCGGATCTCGATGTTGGGCGTGCGGGACAGGAGATGATCGAACCAGCTCACGGTGGCGTTGGGGCGGGAGCGTTTGGAGTGGAAGCTCAGCAACGGCCATAGCAGGCAGATGAACAGCACGGTGAAGCCGATGTTGATGACGATGTCGAAGGCGAGCATGGTGATGGTCACGCGTGGCAGCATGCCGACGCGACATTTGCCGTCGATTTCGGATATCTGGGCCACCGGCCACAGGAAGCCTACGACGGAAAGGGCTCCAAATCCGAGGTTGACGATGGACATGCCGCAAAGCCACACCTTGTCCGACAGCCGTCGTGTGCTGGGCGCCCGGATGACGTGGGCACGCTCGACCTGCAGGAACGTTAGTCTCGCTGGTTGGCTTTCGGTTCGACAGGCGACGTACCAGGAACAGATACATGAGGTACTTGCTTCCCATGTAGAAGGCCAGACACATGATGATGGCGGCGTGGCAGTCGGCATACGTCACCACGCCGCGGCCGTTGGCCATGATGGTCATGGTGGCAACGAACAGGATGCCGACGATGTACATGAAGACGACGAGTTTCCGCACGAAATTCATCCGCGATATGTTGTTGAGCCGTAGATGCCTTGCCCTTGACCCTGATGCCGTCAGCGTCTGTGCCAACGAGCTTAGGTTGCTGGGTACTCACCAAGCATGTAGGCGAGCGCCAGCATGCAGGTCGTCGAGGCGACGGTGAAGATTATTGGCGAGGTTTTGTCTGGTGCATGGCGAATGCCGCGTGCAGGCAGAGCGACCATAGCGATAGCGTTGGGCTGCACTGGGAAAAGCTTCCGGTAATGCCACGGGGGTTCCTGGCAGCCCGGCTCAGGGATTATATGTAGTCCTGGCAGGGCCGACCAGACGCGCCACTCCCGGGCTATGCATCCAGCCGGGTTCCAGGCGCACTGGACAAGCTTTCCACACGGGGGGACCGAGGCGTGCAAGTATTTGCATTACCCCATGGTTTCCCACGGAATCATACCCGACCAGGCCTTGGCATATGCTTTCGCGGCAGAGCCGCGCGCCGGATGCGGTAAGGCTGCGACCAACGTTGCCAACCCGATCTAGACGCGACCTATATGACGCTGGCTGTCTCGTCGGCCTTTGCACAGTACATCTCCGCATGGCGCCTTCCGATCGACGCTAACCTTTATATAGTAAATGCCTGGGGGACCCGCTCATCACTTAACACAGCTGGCTCTGGATAATCCCACGTGCGAGGCTCTTTATTCGCTGGCACAGCAGATACCGGAGCTTTCGATCAACGAAGCCACCATGTTCGGAATGGCGTGCAGGTAAGATGGGAGGCGTCGACGGCCCCCCACAAGCTGAACTGGTTCCTCCCCACGTTCCTTAGCATCAGCGGGCATCCAATCAGCCATTACCACACTTTGTCCTTTGAAATCATGCCACTTCAGTAGTGTGGCGTTCCTACACTATTCCAACCCACGATAATGACCATAAGATACCATTGGCTACTATCCAAACAGTCCTGCCCCTCACCATTCCTCTTCGCCGAGGTTTATAAACGGCCTACACCTCTCCGTCCTCTAATCTACTCACAGCCTCCCATCCGGCCTACACACTTGCTTTTCTTTACCCTTTCACAAAGACCAACACCACACCCACCAATCCCCCGGTAACAGCGAACTCACCCTCAGGCTTACATGTAGAGTCTACCGCGATACCAACCACGAGCACCACATGCGCTATTTCCCACGACGCATCACCATTGGGAGCAACAGGCTCGGCAAACCCCGCGTTTGTTCCCCAGGAAAACCATGTCCTTCTCGTTCAAAGTACGAATTTTGGTCACTCTCGCCCATACATCAGACGCGGCAAATTTTACATCGGTGCCAATGATATTGAAGCAAGTTAATTTGATATCGTTGCTGCTGACTTGGCCGAGTCCAATGGGAAAGCCATAGACATAAGCCGTGGAAGTCGATGGCGAACGACGGCAGCAGCAAAGCCTGAACCAGCACTTCAGTCACTTTGCCAAAATGCACTGAAACCATGACTTTCAACCTCGTCGAAGCCAGCATCGCCGACCTTCAAAATGCTCTCTCCTCCGGTGTCGTCTCTGATGTCGAGCTTTACATCAGCTACTTGTTCCGGATCTCGACCTACGACTGCCGTGGTACCAAACTGATGTTCTGAGTCTCCCCGGGTGTGATCTAAAGCGAGCGAGAATGCTGACACCCTGGTCCTTTTATCGTAGTAAAAGGTTTCCCAGAACCGACCAATCGGATTCGAGGGAGGCCAAGTGCTATGACGTTATCAGTTGACCCCGCGCTATCTTTACCCTCGCATGCATATTCACTGCCCTTTCGTTCCACTCTTGACGTTATTACTCTATTCTCCCTAGTGGAGCTTCAGGGGGAGAGTGAAGTGCTAGAGGCCTTTGATGATTTGGTCAGGTGCCAAATCATTGTCGACGGCGAGACCGAGGCCATGCTGTATGACGATGATGGATTCCCCGCAAGATCTGGCAGGGGAAGCTAAGGCCCCCGGTTCCAGTTCCGCGTCTGCCCTTCACTCCCAAGGAAACCACAGATACAAGACGCGCCAGACGACACCAGCCCTGCGCGCACCTTTGGATCGGGAAGCCATCCCGAGTTCGCTGACGACAGGCTCTTGGTTGCTTCTATCAACGACACTCATCACCTCATCTTGGCCAAGCTCTGCGCCTTCCGGCGGCAGTACGCGCCGCTCACCGCTGACTCTTATCGACGCTCGGACGAGCCTCTCAGCCTAGCCGACTTTGACGCTGTCTTGGCTGCCTGGGATCAGCTGTCGGCATCGCATTACGCTCTGTACAACTGCATGGAACTGGATTCTTCCCGAAGTAAGCGTATGCCCTCACAACGTCGTACTCGCCCCAGAGTGGATTCTGGTTATTTCACGGAGGAAATCGAATGTAGATGATGCAGGCCTGCTTGGGTCTTTGTCTCAGCTTGGTATCCCACGGATCGAGGGAGCAACTTCATAGGTCTTGGGTGTACATCTTATCACAGGATCAATCAGCTGATCCCGTGAATCCTCTAGCCTGAGAGACGAAGAAGTACATAACGGAGACGGAAATGGCGGAGCTGTCTCATCTCAACTCAGGCCATATTTCTCCCAGAAGATTATCATCGGACGCCAACATTACTTTGCTCATTTCAACTACATGGATTTGGAACCCAGAATATCCTCGTCCACGATGGACCGAGCTTTGTTTCCATCATGACGGAGAGTTCGCCAATCGGCCCCGTGGGAAGTGCGCCATGTACCCACGCATTTCCCTCTGTCATGTTCCGACCGGGATACTGAGGACACTCTAGAAGATTCCGACCACATCTTATCTTCCAATGTTTCACGGCAGCACGCAACTCGTCAGATGTATCGGCGGGAGTTTATGGATGCAGAGCAGGAGTTGCAGCTGCCAGGAAAGCCACTGAAGAGCTCGATTGCGTCTTTCCTGTATAGACCTGCGTCGAGAATCTAAGCCATTTAGATGAGATCAGCGTTTATCCCGGGTAGGAGAAAGATCTCAAGTATGAGGTGGTGCGACTGCTGAATGGAACGAGGGGAGCAGTCCGAGAAAACAATGAGATTGCAGGGCAGGCTACATGAACCCAAGCACCTTACAGGTTGCTCCGTGGTAGTGTTATACGACGAGGCCCCCTGGAAGTGGAGCCTGGATGGTCAGAGAGCCCGGAAGTAATGGCAGATACTACATACAAGAGTTCAGATGCCAGGATGGATGCACGTGTCAGAATCCCTGGCCCACCCCCGCATGCCTTGCGCCAGCCTTCAGTTCCCCCACATTTTCTCAGCCCCCATCGCTTCCCTGAATGTCTCTACACTCTGCCTCACTCTCATCATGTGCATATGGCTTTGCTCTTTCATTACTGCAAGAAAGCAGATGAAGCATATCGAATCGCCGCGAACCGCCAGGTGGCTGGATGGAACGGCAAAAAGGGATTGCGGCGTGAGTTAACAGATGACTGCTGCGCATGGCGCATAAATAAACCCTGGACGAACTAGTTTCGCTTGTCGATTCTGCAGAAGCATTGCAGTGTTGCACTGTCTTTTGTGTACTAAAATACATCTGGCCCCCAAGATACAAAACGCCACCGGGCCTCCACTATCCGAAATAGGCCTTTGTCGCATGGAGAGGTTGCAACACCGACTTCGTTGCTTGAGACGGTTACCATGGCCACAAACAGATTTATCTCCAGCCAAAACCCACACTTTCCGATCGAAAGAGATTCCCAACCCAGCACAGCTTCGATGCATGATAGCGATGGGGAGAGCAGGCCGTGATTGGCTGCATTGGTCGTCGCGTCTTTCAAGGTTATCTCACAAATCTGTCAGCTCATGTTGAAGCAGCCCAGACAAGATGCCATCAACACCGGTATACTACGATGAATCAACAATGTTCGACGTAGTGCTGAGTCCAATCAGCCCTTCCGCCGGAGAGCAAATCCGACATCAGAATGTATCCCCGACTGGGGATACACTGGGAGAGCGGCAGAACGAACCCGAGTCGAGGCTCCTCGTCGAATCACCAAGTCCCCCGCTCTCCGCTCAGCAACAATGTCCTGAGAGTCCGCCAACACATCCGGATGGAGAAATCGTCAAGGTGCCACCGCTTCTTGCCTTGGGTCAGACCACCATCATCATGCTCTCTACCAGCACCATCCTCATCATTGCTGTCATGGCCCTGCTCACGTACCTGTGGGCAAATCAGAGTAACACTTCATCCGCAGGGCCTCTGTGGAGGCTGATTGTCGTGGGGTCTTGGCTACCGCAGGTGATCACGCTCTGCACACTGGTCCTACGATGGGCGACTGCTGTTCAGCTTTGTCTCTTCACGTCCATGCTGGCTTCGGTAGCCGTGGAGGGCTTTCAAGTCACGCTATCGCAGATCATGGCCGTCTCCATCATGCGGGCTACCACAGCAAGGCCGGCGGAGCTGCTGTGGGCCTTGTTGCAGGGGAACCGTTACATTCTGTGGGGCATCAGGACCATCGCACTAACAACCATGTTGATGCTTCTGCAAGCTTCCTTCCAATTCTCATCGACTATACTTCTCTCGGATCTTTACCCTGGAGTGGTTCGTGGAAATGCAGGCGCCCAAGAGGTTTCATATGGCCTCAGCGAGGGATTGCAAGCAAAGTTGGGTTCAGACTCGATGGGAAATCCGTGGACCTTTAAGCCCCCGTTCTGGCCGTCATTTGCAGAGTACGCGGAGCCGGCGATCGAAGCCCCGGGCATGGCAGATACCGGATTTACGCTGCGAGCATTCCTGCCATTCGAAACAGCTCAAAGCAGGTTGGCTGTCGGCAATTACTCCGGACCTGCTACAATCATACCGTCTCGGGTAACCTGCTTCAAGCCACCGCTTTCCAAGCTGGCGGTCCACATCGCCCATGAAGAACTGTCGGCGGGGTTCATCACCGGGGAGATCGACTTCGGAGAGGTGCAATTTGAGCTCCTGGGAGGCTGCAAGAGCCGGCCATGCAGAGAAACGCCGGAATCGACGCACGCATTCAATTGCACCTTCAACTACGGTGCCAGCAGCGCCTACAGAGAATGGGCAGCGACCCTCTGCGTGGTAGAGGACTCTCTCGGAACACACCAATTCTCGCGCACTTCCAGCCCATACTTCGGCAACGGCTACCTCCTCATCAACGCCAGCGGCGCAGTCGAGGACTGGTACGGCTTGGGACAGAGAAACAGCGGTTCCCCATCCGACCTGACTCCCTCGTCGAGCACCGACGCAAGCGCCTGGACGAAATTCGACACACCCTCCCCCGGCGCTTCCGTAAGCTCGACCCTATGCTACTACAACCCCAGCCCGCTGAACTACCACGACGTCAACGCCTCCCGCGACGCACCACCCGCAGCCGAGCCCCGGTTCCGCTGGACCTCCACCAACACCACCACCACCACCCCCGCCCACTACGACACCGCCTCCGTGCGCAAGCAGCTCGGCGCCGCCACCCCCCCTCGCAGTCTCACCCACCAAGCCCGCGGCATCCTCACCCTCTCCCACTGGGCAGCGGCACCGCACACGCCATCAACCCCGCCCCCACCCCTCCTCTTCCCCCAGCAGCACCCCGTCAACGCCATCAACTCCTCCTACACCCTCTGCCAGCAATGCGTGCGCCAGCCGTCCCGGTCCGCCAACACCGACGCCAACACCCCCGTCCACCACACCCTCACAACCCTCTTCCAAGACGTGCTCCTCCTCGCCGCGACGTCGGGAGACGACGACAACCCGGCCCGCGCGCTGCAAGCCCTCTTCACCACCGTCGCGCAGGCGGCGTACTACGCGCTGGCGTCCGAGTTCGACGTCGTCGCGCGCAACGCGAGCGTCGCGGCGTTCATCGGCGGCGGTAGCGACAGCGGCAACGGCGGCAGTGGTGGTAGCGGCGGCATCGCCATGCCGCGGCGGTGGAGGGGCTTCGCGGTCGTCGCGGGGATGGTGGTCGGGCATTTTGCGTGCGGAGGGGTGGTGGTGGGGGTGTTTTTGGGGGGGTGTCGGTGCTCGATGGTGGGGCAGGTGTGGGGGTGTGTGGCGCAGGTGCGGGGGGGCGGGGGCGAGGGGGATGTGGATGCGGTGTTGGGGAAGGCGAGGCGGTGGGCGACGGATGGGGAGGTGAGGGCGTGGTTGGAGGAGTGTGGGTGGGGGGAGACGAGGGTGGGGGTTTTGCCGTGGAGGAGGAGGAGGAGGATGAGGGCGAGGGCGAGAGGGGGGGAGGAGGGGGGCGTGTAGGGTTGGGTTGGGTGGACCGGCATGTCGTGAAGCCTCGTCTCGAGCCGGTGTGGTGGGGGGTTTAGAACGGACGGGCAGGATGGCGGCAGTTGATTTGGGAGAATTGTATAGATTCGGGGCAGCTACGTGATAGCTACGTATATAGTTTAACTAAGGTAGAAGAGATGTTTTATCTAGTTAAATTTAGAACTACCTCTTCGTTATTCTCTTTGATACCCTTGACGGAGAAGCTGCTGGTAAGGTAAGAGGAATTATTCTAGACCGTAAATCTAACAGACGGCTACGTATTTAACAGAGGTGCCGATACTACTAACGAGTAACCGGAACTTATCGACCCGAGTAACGGAAGCGGCGACAGTGGCGAAATCACGATCCGTGAAGGAAGGGGATACCTGAAAAGCCGAGTATAATGATCTACGGATCGTGATCCTAAGAACCGCGATCCTACCAAGTATAGAGGATTTAAGGCAGGAACTCGATCCTCCCTGAAGCAGGAACCCGATCCTGGCTGAGGCGGGAACCCGATCCTGGCTAAGGCGGGAACCCGATCTACATCTAGAGATTCGTGCCCTAGACATCAACACTATCACCAACGAGAAAAGAGAAGAAAAAAATTAGTCGAAACTTATAAATTAGACTATCGCTTCGTTTACTACTATTATTACTACTACTACCACTACTAAAACATTACTAAACCATCGACCCCCCAGCCAAACACACATATAAAAAAGAACATCCACTTCCCCCCCTCAAACACCCGCCGTACACGCCCCCGCCCCCTTCGCCGTCCTCGTCACGACGCTCACGACCGTGCTCGTCGCCTTCGCCGTCGTCGTCTTCACCACGGTGCTCTGCCGCACGACCGTCACGCTCGGGGCCAGCGTCAGCGTCGCCGTCTTCCACGCGGTGCTCGTGCTCTGCGCCAGCGTCTGCACGACCGTGCTCGTCACGCCTTTAGACGACGTCTTGACGACGGTGGAGGCTGGGGCTGTCGTTGTGGATTTCAGCGTGACGGTGGCGAAGGAAGTGGTGGTGAGGGGTCCGCCGCCGGCGGCGGGGACGGTGGTGGTGGAGGTGCGGGTAGCACCGGCGGCGAGGGAGGTGACTGTCAGGGTGGAGGGTTTGAGGGTTGTGGGTTTGCCGGCGAGTTTGGTGGAGGTGGTGGTGAGGAGGGCGGTGGAGGCGCGGGCGGTGAGGGTGGAGAGCTTGGTGGCGGGGGAGGCGGTGGAGGTGGTGGTGAGGGTGGTGGGCTTGAGGGTGGTGGTGGAACCGATTGTCTTGGTGACGTAGGCGAGCGAGGTGGCTGTCGAGACGGCGCCCGAGGTCGCGGTCGAGGTCTTGACGTAGGTGGTGAGGGTGGAGAAGATGGTGGTGGTGGTGACGGAGCCGGCGGCGGCGGCGGCGCGGGGTCCCAGCGGGTATGAGCGGCGCTGGAGGCTGTCGGTGGGGACGCAGGAGAGGGTTGTGGTGGATTTCTTCGTTGTCGTCTTCACCGAGGTGACGGTCACGTAAGTTGTGGTGGCTTTGGTCGTCTTGGTTGACGTGCCGCCGGTGCCCGAGGTGATGGTCCGGGTCGAGGTGACTTGGGCGGCCTTCGGGGTGGAGACGCTGGTGACGTAGACGGTTGATCCCAGGCTGATGGTTGACGTTACGGGATCGAGCGTCTTGGTAGCCAAGCTCGTCGAAGTGACGGTACTCTTCACGGTAATCGTCTCGCGCGCCTCGGTCGAGGTGACCAGAACAGTGGTCGTCTGCTTGAGCACCGTGGTGACGGTGCTGGGCTCCGGTGTGACGGTGGTTCCGATGTCGCTGGTGACGACCACGGTAGACGTCTGCGTGACGTCGGCCTGCGACAGGGTCTCGACAATGGTTGTTGTACCCTTCACGGTGCTGGTCTTGTAGACGGGGTCAGGGGTAACGGTGGCGCCCATGTCCAGCGTGACGGTCTGCGTTGAAGTGACGGTCGAGATGGCGGCAGTGATGGTCGTGAAGAGGGTCTCTTTGTCAGTAGTGACTTTGGTGACGAAGACGGTGCTCGGGATGAGCGTGGACGACGAGATCAGGGTCGAGGAAGCAATGACAGACGAAGACGCCACGGAAGTCGGAACGACGACCTCGCTGGCCACGAAGGGCTGAACATCGATCCGGGTGAAGTTGATCCAGGAGGTCACGGCGAAGAAGCTGGCGAGCTGGAACTGGGCGGCGTCGGCCGCCGAGAGCTGCGTGGAAAAGCTCGCACGCTTCGAAGTGCCTGCACCCGGTCCGTAGTTTCCGTACTCGGCAAAAGTCACTCCGTCCGTCTGCGGGGTGGACTTGGACCACTGGCTCCAGCCTGCAGCCTCGACGCTGGAATCGAGATACGTCTCTATGTACGCGACACGGGCGAGGTTGTTCCACGGACGTCCGAGGCTGATCTCGGTGAAGGGGCCGGTGCCGGGGGCGGGCTTGACGGTGCACTGGTCGAAGACGAAACCAGCAGCCGTGGCGTTGGTCGCGCGCTTGCTGGCGGTCAGCGAAACATCGTCGGTGTTGGGCGAAATGGTCGAGTTGAGGAAGTAGCCGGCACCCGAGCCCCAGATCATGTCGATGTTGCCGACAATCAGCGACTTGAAGGCGAAGAAGTAGCCATTGATGAGCAGCGAGTCCTGGTTGCCCCAGACCTGGCAGCCGTACAGCGATGCGTACTTGCTAGACTTGACGCCGAATCCGAGCGAGGCGTAGTCCTCGGCCGTGCCGAACGAGTTCTTGAAGTTGATGTTGTAAGCCTGGAAGTAGTTGCCCGTGGCATACACGGTCGCGCTGTCCGAGTTGGACGCATCGGCCTGCGTGTCGATTCCCTTGTTGAAGTCGACCGTCACCTGGTTCTGCGAATAGTCGTCGGTGGCGGCCGAGTAGCCGATGAAGACGGTGGTGCCAGACTTGCTCAGCACAAGCTGCTCCGAGTACACGCCCGGGTAGATGAAGATGGTCCCGGTCTTGCTGCTCGAGGTGGGCAGCGCATTCAGAGCGCTCTGGATGGTATCGTACGTCGTCACACCGTCAATGGCCGTTTTGGAGACGATCAAGGCGCCCGCAGGCGGAGTGGTACCGTCGTAGACTGAAGTGCCGTTGACCGTCGTGGTGGTGTTTCCCGTGGTGGAAGCGGCCACGGTCGGCGTGGTGATCGAGTCCCAGTACGTCATGTCGATCCAGTCAGAGGGCGAGTCCATGACGGCGGACAGGGAGTACGTGTCGGACGTCAGCAGCGTGCAGTAGCCGAAAGCAGTGCGTGCCGCGGCGTTGTTCTCCCAGTTACCAGGCCCGGTGTTGTTGAACTCGGCGAAGGTGATGGCGTCGGTACGCGGGTCGGTGGCGGACCAGACCTTCCAACCAGCGGGCTGGATCACATTGTCCAGGTACGAGTTCTTGACAACAACGAGGGCGTACTTGCTGTAAGGACGGCCGAGGTAAACAGACTGCGTCAGATCAACCGTCGCAGACGAGGCGGCGGTGAACAGACACTGATCGAAGATGTAGCCTCCGACCGCGCTGGAAGACGCACGGCTGTGAGCCGTGATGGCCGACTTCTGCCTCTTGGCGCCGATGGTGCAGCCCTTGAAGTAGGCCTTGGAGTAGCCCCAGATGAAGTCTATGGCGCCATCGATGTAGCAGGATTCGTAGTAGTGGTAGCCAGTGCTGCTTCCAGTCAACAGCGTATCCTGCCAGCCAATGAAGCTGCAGCCGTAGAAGGCGATGCGCGAACCGTAGATGGAACCGGCCAGGGTGACGTAAGACGAAAGCGAGCCGTCGAGGTTGTCAGAGTTGATGATGTCGATGTTGTACATGGCAATCTTGTTGCTGGCGGTGGAGAAGGTTGCAGTTTCGGCGTCCGAATGGCCGGTCGGCAGCGGCGAGACGGACAAGCCGCGAGCCTGGGTCAGAATGACCTTGTTGGTCCTGTAGCTCTGGCCGGGATTGCCATCCTGCGCACCGATGATCTGGACGGGACCCGGCCGGTCAACCGCCGGAGGCTGCTCGTTGTAGGTTCCGGGGTACATGAAGATGATCTGCGTCGAGCTATCCGACGGCAGAGCCGCGAGGGCGGCGGTGAGGTTGCTGTACGACCCGTTGACGGAGCCTCCGACCGACACCAGGACGGCTCCGGTAGGCGGGGTGGCGCCACTTGACGGATGCGCCCAGGTGGCTGCGGCAGTGGCAGAGGCAATGGTGGATGAAGCTGACGCCGAGGGAGTCGTAGTCGATGCAGCTGCGCCGGAGACGTCGTACGAAGGCACGTAATTGTACGCATCCATGTCAAGCCACGAAGTGCTGCCAACCCAAGCAGATAGCTTATAAGCCGCCGCCTGGGACTCGGTCAAGTTCGTCGCGAAAGACGCACGAGAGCTGGACCAGCTGCCGGGGCCGGTGTTGTTGAACTCTCCAAACAAGACGTTGTCCGTCTGAGGGTTGCTGGTCTGCCACACGGCCCAGCCGGCGGGGCTGATGTGCTTGTCGATGAACGAGTTCATGTACACGGCGATGCTGTAGCTCGAGTACGGGCGACCGAGGTAGCTGGTGCCGAAGGTCGATCCGTAGGTGCTCGTGTACGTGACGTAGCAGCTGTCAAAAACATAGCCACCCGTGGCCGAAGCCGAGGCGCGGCTCATGGCCGAAATGTAACCGCCAGCCGTGTTGGACGCGATGTAGCACTGGTGGAAATAGGCCGTCGAGAAGCCCCAGATGTAGTCAATAGAGCCCTCAATGTAGCTGTTGGAGAAGACCTGGGTGCCCTTGTTGGCGAGGAGAGTGTCCTGGTAGCCGACGAACTTGCAGCCGTAGGCGGCCATGTTGGCGCCGTAGAAGTCGGCCGCAAGCGCAGCAGTGTTCTTCGTCTGCGGGTACGTGTTGACGAAGTTGATGTTGTACAACGCGAGGCCAGACCCATCGTTCTTCTTGGCGTTGATAACCGGCGTCAACTCGTTCTGGCCGGCGCTGGTGAGCACGCCGTAGGAGAACTGGATGGTGACCTGGTTCTGCGAGAAGTCATTGGGGAATGTCGTCTCGCCGCGGAGCGTGACCTTGCCGTTCCGCGTAATGGAGAACTGCTCCTGGTAAGTTCCGGCGCGAATGTAGATGGTGTATTCCTTGCTGTCGTTGGGAAGGGCCGCGATGGCTGCCGTGACGTTGCCGTACTCGCCAGCGGCAGGCGTGGTTGAGACAATGAGAGTGTTGGTAGCAGTTGCAGCTGCAGTGGCAGAAGTGCTGGATGCCGAAGCAGACACCGCGGTCGCTGTCGTGGAGTTTGCCACGGGAGTGGAATAGCTGGAGATGACACTCGATGAGCTGGAAAGAAGCGCACTGGCATAGACGCTGTCTGGGAAAGCAGCAACAGGCGCAACAGCGGCAGTGTCGATCGAAAGAGCGCCGAGAACGTTGCTGGCCGAATAGGCAGACGCATCCGTCACAATCTGCGAAACCCTAGATGCGGTGGACGCTCCGGGTCCGGAGTTGCTGGCCTCGACGAACGTGACATTCGTAGTCTTGGATGCAATCAACCATCCGACAGGAGCAATGTGAGCGTCCAGGTAGGAGTTGATCACCGCCACACGCGCCGACGCTGTGTAGTCGCGGCCCAGGTACGTGCTCGCCTTCGGCACCGTGCTGTCGGTGGGCACGAAAGTGCAAGTGTCGAAGACGAACTGCGAGGGGTTGTACTGCGACTGGTACGACTGTGCGGCAAGAGACTGACCAGTCGTGGTTCCGGTGCTGACGATCTTCGAGTTGTAGATGTAGGCACCACCCTGTCCCCAAACAATGTCCGTGGTACCAGTGATCTTGCAGCCCGAGAAGTAATGGGCGCCGTAGTTGAGCAGGAGAGCCCCCTGAGAGGAGGTAATCCCGCAGTTGTAGTAGTATGCCTTCAAGGCTTTGCTGGAAAGTGCAACAGCATTGTAGCCCGTAGCAGCAGTGTAGGCGTTCTCGAAGTTGATGTTGTAGAAGCTGATGCTCTTGCTGTAGTACTGAGTGGCCTGGAACGGGGCGGTAGCGGAAGATCCTCCGCTGCTAGAGAGCACACCAGCAGAGGACCTGAGAGTCACCTTGTTGCTGGATTGGTCGAGCTCGCTGGACGTCTCACCGCGGAAGACGGTGGGGCCTACACGGCTGAAGGTGATCTGCTCGGCATAGGTGCCTGCGAGAATGTACACATACTCGGTCTTGGACTGGTCTGTAGAAAGGTCTTTGACGGCATCGGCGATGCTGGTGTAGTTGGCGCAGGACCCAGCCGGACCCACGACACGTGCAGTGGTAGGCACCGAGGAGGGAAGAGAGCAGCCAGAAGCCGAAGTAGATGCAGCGGTAGTGGAGCTGGCAGTATCCACCGAGGCGCTCTCGCTGGAAGAGGTCGAGCCAGTCGAGAGTGCGGACGAGGTACCAGTGATGGAGCTCGAACTCACTGTAGTGCTCGTGGATGCTGTAGAGTTTGAGGAAGTACCAGATACCGACGAAACGGGAGTAGCACTGGTGGAAAGCGAAGATGCGTCACTGGCAGAGGCGGACGTCGAGGACCCAGAGGAGACCGAGCTTGATGACGATGCGGACATAGAAATGCTCGATGCGGTGACGGAGCTGCTTGATGTCGAGACGGAGCTGCTCGATATGAAGACGGAGCTTGTGATGGCCGAAGAAGAGGCAGTGGACGACACCACACTCGCCGTGCTCGCCTTTGCGACTTGAGATGCATCCGAGTCCTGGATGATGGAGATGACTGATGAGTCGATCCAATTGGTGTTGGACGTGGCGAAGACCTGATCAACGGAGAATTGGGAAGCCTGATCAACGCTCAGGCTCTTGACGTAGGACGCCCTTGCGGCCGAGTTCGAAGAGTAGGATCCGGCACCCGTGTTGCCGAACTCGCCATAGAAGTTTCCTGTCGCCTGGGTCTTGGCGTCAACGTGTACACCGGCGCCGAGGATGAAGCTGGGCAGGGCCGAGTTTCTGTAGACAACAACGGACCCAATACCGTTGGCTGCAGCAAGCGAGACGCCAGTCACGGTGGTGCCAGACTTTGAAGTGACTGCGCAGGAGTCGAAGACGACGGTGGAGTTGGTAGTCACCACCGTACCAGAAGACACACCCTTGTTGTAGACCAAGAGTGCGTTGCTCGCTGTAGGCGTAAGAGTAGAGCCGTAAATGTACATGTTGGGCGTGTTGTAGATGAGCTTGGAACGCGCTTCGATGTACGAGTTGTAGACAAAGGAAGTACCGATGGACGAGGAGATTCCCAAATCGCCGGCGGAGATGAATTGGCAGTCATAAAAGGCGTTCTTGGAGCCGCTCAAAGAGGCAGCAGCAGCGGTAGAGGCCGTGTTGGAAGTGACGAAATTGATGTTCTTCCATGTCGTGCCCAGACTGGCAGCCGTGTTCCAGGAAAGGGGAATCCCTGCATTCGAGACGACCACCTTGTTTTGCGAGTAGTCACTGGAGGAAGAGGATTCGCCAACGACTGTCACGGCAGCGGTAGCCTGGACGATGATGGAATCCGTGTATGTGCCCGCCTTGACGGAGACGGTGGGAATGCCACTGTTCTGCGCATACGAAAGGGCGGGGCTGATGGCAGTGAATTGTCCGCTTCCATCGGTGGCAACGGTAATGACGGAGCTTGCAGCTGAGATGGAGTCAGTGATGACGACAGAAGGTTGATTGGCGGTTTAGAAACTTACCAAGCACCGAGGAGGAAGAGGAAGAAGTTGAAGGCAAGGAAGAGGAACTCAAAGCCACAGAAGAAAGAGTCGAGGACAAAGAAGAAGTCGAAGACGAAGAAGCGAGCGGGGTGGATGCAACAGAAGATACAGAGGTAGACGTAGATGCGGTCCCCGAAGAGACAGGGGCAGGTGTCGAGGTTGCAAGGTCGGAAGAGGTATCGGTGCATCCACAAGGCAGGTCAGAGGAGGAGGGGTCAGTCTGTGCAGAAGCCAGGCAGGCAGCTGCAAGAATCAAGAACCGCCGCATGTTGGAGAGTCTTCAGGCTCACAAACTGGTGACACAACCAAGGGACCAGGGCAGCTGCTACAGAAGGCGGCCAGCGGCCGGCTACGAGGTCAAGATAAAGCATCCTCAAGAAAGCGCCGCTCGGCGGGCTGCGCGATGGGCGTCGCCATGCTGTCTGTGGCGGCTGCTGAGCGTTGCTGGCCAGACGCCCATGGCGTTTCGGTGGCTGACAGTTGGAGAAGAGCCGAGAGAGTTTTGTATAGAACCAAGGGTTCTGGATGCTCAATGGAGCGGAGTGGGTCGGCCAACAAGTCAGGCAGCTGAAGAATGAGCCCATGGAGAGAGCGGCATCTCGTGTTCGGCATTTCGATAGCGGGAAAAGCTCATACGCGGGATGGGGTTGACGGTAGGCTAGAGCGGAAAGCTCCGGCAGGGAAATAAGATGCGGGCGTGCCGCTCGTGTGCATCAGAGGCTTTGCAAGCGCGACTCGCGAATGACGCGGTGGGCTGTCCTCGCTACGTTTCAGCCATCCTACCGTTGAAAATTGAGCGGGACGTCGGACAGGCAGGATGGGAGACAAGTGAAGAAAAGAGTGCAGAAGCAAGGACTGGCGGAGAGCGGTAAGGCCAGATGCCGCGAGATCTGGAAGACGAGTCGAAGGGCAGCACAGACGTCAAAAGCCGAGTCATTATTCGGGCGCTAGACGGATGTAGGTACGGTTCGAGGCGATTGAGCGGGTTGCCACGCGAGAGACGGCCTGTTTAAGGATGGTGTTGATGAAAAGTCAACGGCTCCGGCCGTAGCCGCCCTCTTGGCGCCTGCTGGATTCCACCAATCGCTGTCCTTTGCACCGTCTAAGCCTTCGCTCCCATCGATGCGCTCTAGGATCTCGCCCATCATCTTTCCTCTTCCGGTCCCTCACACCCGTAAAGAATCCTGCATCATCAGACATGCTCAGAAAGATCATCCAGTCGTGTCCGTTGAGATGAGATGCACCAGATTCCCGGGACTTCCCCGGACTCGCCTGCGTCCGGCATCCATCGCTTGGTCGGCTGATGGATACAATAATCAACCACAGAACTGCGACGATTCATCAAAAAGATGGCGCAAGTTGCTTCACTGCACGCACGATGACCAGGAGGGAGGTATGAGCAGCTCAGTAATATTTCACTACAGAAAAGAAGTTGAAAAGGTTTTTACAGGTTCAAAATCAAAAGGCTCTGCTCGAGCAACCAATGGAGTTTTCAGAGACCAATCCCCCGTAAGTTCACGACGGACGGCGGCTCGCGGGCTGTGTGTTCTGGCGCTTGGAGCGAGGCGCTTAGCAAGAAGCACCGTCGGGGACACCCTCGCACTCGGTCGAGGCCTCGCCACCGGTGACGTCGGCCGACCACGTCCAGTCGCTGCAGGCACCGTCGGCGCAGAGGATGTAGACCGGGACCGCGTCGTCCTCAACGGAGCCGGTGACGCCGTCGATGGTGAGGCCGGTGATGGGGACACCGTCGGTGGGCTCGCCCGTGGGCGAGCCGTTCTCGTAGTCCTGCTCGATGACGATGCCGTACTTGGTGATGCCCGAGAGGGTGATGTCCGAGTAGGTGACGTCCGAGACGGAGCCGGTGGCGTCGTAGACGGTCTTGATGCGGACGCCGTTCTGCGAGTTCTTGACCGTCATGCCCGAGATGGTGACGTTCTTGACGTCGTTGTCGTCACGGCCACCAACGGAGCCGATGGACAGACCGTGGCCGCCCGAGCAGGAGCCGTCGGTCATGGAGATGGACTCGCTGGGATGCAGTCAGCAATGTGAACAGGAATGTGAACAGGGAAAGAGGAGGGGCAGACTCACCCAGAGTTGATGGCAAGGCAGTCATCCTGGTTCTGGACGTTGGCACCGGAGATGTAGACGCCGGTCGAGGAGCCGACGTCGAAGGCATCCGTGTTGTGGCCAAGGGCGTCGCCGTCGTCGTTGGTGGCATCGCCGTCGGTGTTGTCGATGGTGATGTCCTGGACGTAGAGCTCCTCGGCGCCGTTGATGGACATGCACTGGACGGGCGTGTTCTTGATGTTCAGGCCCTTGATGGTCGACTGCTTGAGCGAGTGGGCGTAGAAGAACTTGGGCTTGGTGACGCCGCCGTTGGAGCCCTCGCCGTCCCACCACTTGGCACCGTTGCCGTCGAGCACGTGGCCCGAGGCGCCGGTGATGGTGATGCCGGTGCCGGAGAAGGAGACGAGCGGGCCCTCCCACTCGTCGTACTCGAAGGTGGTGGTGCCCTGGAACTCGACGTACGTGTTGTCCTCGAGGTCGGTCATGTCGAGCGTCTCGCCGGCCGGCACGGTGATGTCGCTGAGGATGATGGTGGCGCAGGAGGCCTTGGACGCGCTGGCGGCCGAGGCATCGGTGAAGGTGCACGAGTCGGCGCGCTTGCCAATCTGGGCATCCTTGAGGTTGGGGGCAGCGGTGGGGGCCGGGGCGGGAGCAGCAGCAACAAGGGCGCCAGCGCCGACGATGATGCCCGCGAGGGCGTTGTTGAGTTGAACCATGTTGGCGGAAAAGAGGGAGGTTGCGGGTGCGGTTGCGGGTGAGGCAGCGAGCTTGAGATGGAGAGCGAGAGCAAGAGCGAAGAACGAAGGACAAGGCAGTCAATGCCTGAAGAGGTGTAGTGAAGAATGAGAGGAGCTGATGGTTGCTGGCTAAGAAAACCAAGCTTTGTTGGCGTCTTGGGACTTATATAGCCGGGCTGACGACTGCATGTTCGCGGTGAAACGAGCAGCGGAGAAACGGGCGGTGATGGCAGCCGGGTGAGGTGTGAGGCGCAAACACAGTGCAACGGCGACTATACTGGTGATTGGTGCGGGCGGGCGCACTGGCCGGAGCTTGTCTGTCTTGGCTGGCTGCCGAGATGAGAGGGCGTTTCGAATACAGAGCCGAGCCCCCGCCGCCTCGCCGCCGCCCATATGTAAACACCCTGCCTGCCGCTCCCATGCGGTAGCTGACGCGTCTATCACTCTCCAGGAACCCTCGAACCCCCCGTCCCCGTCGCCTGCACGGCACGCCTGAACGGGACAAGACGTGCCCAGCACGCTTGACTTGGCCTGCGCCTGCTTCATTCGCACACTGCCAGCCTGCACAGCTTGGCTGCGGCACGAACGGCACCGGGATGCTTGCGTCAATCGCTTGGCCGCTGGAACAGACGGCATCGACGGCACGACGGTATTGACAGCATTGACAGCATCAACGCCATCACCGCCATCAACGACAGGCCTCGTCGCGCTCGGGACCGCAGTGCCGACACCGCTCCACGGCCGCCGCCCCTTTCCTCCGTCTCGAGGCGCTGTGCCTGACGCAGCAGTCAATCAATATTCAACAGGGTACGGCACTTCAACGGGAGCATCTATTTCCGTCCAATCGCCGCAGATGGGGCGGGGAGTGAGCGGGGCGGCTTTCTCAAACGTGTTTCTCTTGCGCCATCATTTCACCCAGGACGGCACTACTTTCTCCCCACCACGGCCTGTTTCCAAAACAAAGTCGGCACGACCCGTTTGGGTCGAGACTCGAGACATCCCCTGAGACGTTGGCTATGCCCGAGCTTGCTCCCGACCACCGGCTTCTGCATCGGAAAACCCTCGCTGCCTTTTTCCGATGGCTGGCACGATAAGACTGCCCTCCGCCCCCCTTGTGCTCCCCTCAACCCTACTCATGCGTTCCCTCACTATCGCTTGAAACACCGGAACTTGCCGCGGATTGGCGGAACCGGCTCTCAATGCAAAAGCCGCCAACCAAGGCTTTCAACTACTGGGATAGAGGTGAGCTCGTCGCAATACGAACCCCGGACGTCACACCCTCGTCTCGCCAAGACCATGCAATACTGCTGATCATCGCACGGCAAAGCTTGGGAGTTTCTCCGGAAAGCTTGATATCCAAGCGCCAAATCGTGCTTCTTGTGTTACCTTCCTGAATTGCTTCACCCGGCCAGAACACCATGTTTCTCCAGCGAAGATATGGCCCAGGGTGAATATTGGATGGTGATCGTCTAGCGAACGCGTCCTAATGCATGTACTATGTAAGCTACAGGGGTTGGGTTTACTCCATCGTCACTCACATCGCCAGCCGCCAACATCAACCTCCAAGTGTAGCCGAGCATTGACCTTTTGGCCTTACTTGAAACAATACGATGGCAACAACAAACGCCGCGTTGACTTTAGACATCTACAGCACGTCTTCACCAATTAGCCCCCACGGTAACGTTCCACAAGTCATGGCTCACGCCGTGGCGTGCCACGACTGCCTGGAGGCCCGTGCGTGCAGCCGTCTGACAATTGGCATGCGACTTCACTTCCTGCACATCGTCACTCTATTCTTTGCACCTCTGCTCGCGTATTGATATCTACCCCAGCCGTAATTTACAGGAAGGAGCACTAGCCGCCTCACTCAGCCTTGACGTCTGCCCCCCAGCTCCATGGAGAATCCATTCACACTCGTCGAGTATTCAAGGGAAGAACTGTGCCCAGCATGCAGAGACCTGCCGCCGGTCAAGCATCTCCCAAGCTACGAGCATGTGCTTCATGACAACTTCAATTCGTTTCTTTCGTGTCCCTGTCTGTTCTGTGTCTGGCTTCAGAAGGCCCAAAAGGCCGACCTGACATCCCGTGACCGCGACCGTCTGATCAAGGAGAACCCGGCCGTGTGTTTGTTCGGGAATCTCCACGCCACCCCGCAAACCATCAACCTGGGAAATCAGCTGTCTGATTTGCCCGAAGTGTACCTTCACCTCTTTGCCGATCCCCGTAGGTTGCCCAAAGCAGTGCGTGGAGGCCCCGACTAAAAGGCAGACAAGGCGACCCATGTGCAAAGCCCATACAGGGCAGGGATCCCTTCCCTGACACTCGGTCGGATCAAGCATTCGAGGCCATCAACGGCTGGATCGAGAATTGTGCTTGCAACCACGAGTCATGCAAGCCACCCGATGATACACTCCTGCCCTCGTACATTGTTGATGTCGGTTCGTCTGGGCACGGCTGCTGCCGCCTCCTCGTGACAGGCGGGCAACAGAAGGGACGCTACGCAGCTCTGAGCTACGTCTGGGGCGTCTCGCTGCAGGACCAGCCCGTCTACTTGAGCAAAGAGAGCCAGCCGAGGCTCACGCACGAAATCCCCGAAGACAAGCTGCCCCCGACGATCAAGGACGCGGTTTTGGCCACACGGAAGCTCGGGATCCGGTATCTCTGGATCGACGCGCTCTGCATCCCCCAGGATGACGAGGCCGTCAAGACGGCCGAAATCGCCAAGATGCACCGCATCTTTGGCGATGCCTTTGTGACCATACAGGCAGCTCGCGCCAAGTCGGTCAAAGAAGGTTTCTTGCACCAGATGCCACCGCCGTCAGACCTCCCTCACCAGAAACTACGCTACGACGGAGTCGACGACCCGGACCCTGGATTCGTTTACATGAGAGCCGCGCCGGTCTCGACCCAGGAGGGGCCGGTCGGCACGCGCGCCTGGTGCTTCGAGGAAGGCGTGCTGTCGAGACGCGTCCTGCAGTACGCCAAAGAGAGGATCACCTACGAATGCCTTGCGGGGAGGAAGTCCGACGACGGGAGTTGGAGGCCGAGAGGGACCTACACTGCCTCCGGGCCCGGCTTCTTCAGCCCGGCCTCGTGGCATCAGGGATCGCCCATTTCCAACGACAAAAAGGTCAAAGATCCCCGGTTGGACGTGCTTAGGGCGTGGTACATGTGTCTGGACAACTGGTACACGCCCAGGTTCCTCACCAAGAAACGGGACCGCTTACCTGCGATTGCGGGTGTAGCACGCCGTATTCAAGACCGCGTTGGTGGCGGATTTCTGGCCGGGTTGTGGGAATCGGACATGATCTGGGGTCTCTTATGGTCCTCGCGCCGCCTGATTGGGGTCAAGTTTTTGAACAAAGATATTGAGAAGGAGTGGAAGGAGAGATGGGGGGCTCAAACGCTTATGGTGCGTCCTCAAGGCGATGCTCGCGCACCTTCGTGGTCGTGGGCTTCTTTGGACGGGCCAACGTTCCATCCCACACCTAGACGATGGAGTGGAAAGCATTGGTCTGTTGCAGAGATATTGCATTATCCAGTAGCAGCCGTTGGAAATACCCTAGGGAAGTTGGATGATGACAGACTTATACTCTCCGCGCCCGTTCGACGGGGACATGTTGTCCTGGATGGAGAGCGGAACACGGAGTTGCAGCTCCAGGTCAGATCATCTCCACAACAGGAAATCAAGGCCCTGCTGGATGAAGCCAGCGAATCGTTCATCGCTCTCGGGAAATTCGACATTGAAAAGAATCTTCCGCAGACCGTCTGGTGTATTCTCATTCTCAACTCCATGGGTCTCATCCTTGTGCCGCACGGTGGCAATGAAAGAACTTTTAGGCGAGTTGGTACTTTCGACCCAGTGGTTCCCTGGGAGACTGAGAGCAAGATGGAAATATGCATTCGATGAGCATACCCGTCTCAAAATCCCATGGATGTCTCATTATACGCTGCTACTACGTGGTGTTCGTATAGGTGAACGAAAGAAGGGGTACCCAACAAGGGTGTTGTATAAGATAACACGTTGCTAAAGGTTACCCTGTTGGGTTGATGATGACGATGAGCCTCGACGCTATTGAATATACGTGATGTCCAACAGGTTTCCATGTCAAATTCGAAAGTCGGGCGTGCCTTGTTTTCCGCTGAAAGAGACTGGCGCAAGTTAGGTCGGTCATTTCCACTCTACGGGGTGCGAAAATGCATTGTTGTCCTCCTTGTCTCGTAATTCCTCTTATGGTGAGGTTTTCCGCCACATCGTCATTGGCATTTAACTCTGGCTGAGCAGCCGACCGACTCCTTGCCATGATCTTCGCAGCTGTCCTTTTTACCGTCATCATCACCACCCTCTCTGGTGGAGTCTTCAACTGCCCTGTGCAGTAAGTGTGGTGTCTTTAGCGGGCCACGAAAGAGCAGAATCATCTGCAGCCCACAGTGCACGCGGCACCTATCTGCCACCAGAAAGAGCGGGTCTGCCAGCGAGAAAGGGGACACTGCGTTGAGTGTAGCGTTGAGGAAGTGAAAAAGTCTCAGCGAAGTTCTTCGCGGAACAGTTGAGGTCACGGACATGGCTTTCTATCCATCTGCCAACGGAGCTCGGAGAACGAAATAAAGTTTGGGCATGCTCGGGGTCGATTCTTGCGCCCAAATCGCGCAGAGGCGTTGGGTCCGGGCGCTCGGCCGGCCACCGGGAGGGACCCGGGCGACTTGGCCACGCTCTCTGTGGCCGGTGAATCGACGGAAGCATCAGGTGATCGCCATCCGTGCGGCGCGAGCACTGTCCGGCGCGGGACCACGGCGTTTTGGGCGTGAGTTGTGAGATGGCCGGTGTCGTCGTGGTGCTCGGCCGATCAGACCCTGGCCGTGAGCGAATTAACCTGGTGGATTCGCACCATGCGCGCTCGGTCCGTACAACGAGCTGCAGACTGGCCGACAGGTGAGCACTTGAGGTAGCACCTGACCAGATCGGGACGGCTGAGTCGTGGGCTACCGGAACATAATCCACTAACCGTATCCGGTATGTGCAACTAGTCATGTCCAACATCTCCCGTGGAACACATATGAAGATGTACCGCTACGATTGAAAATTGGCTGAGTATTTGCCTCTAGCTTAGCAGGGACGTAATCTCTGCAATGTCGCCTACTTCAGGCAGTCTCCACAAGGCCTCCGAAGCTTCTTTGGCCTTTGCATCCCCAAGGACTGGAGTGCATTGATCCAGGAACTTGTCCTTGAGCTGGGAGTTTGTCATTTTCACCTCGAGACTTCCGACAGCATGCTCAATATGCTTCTCCTGTACTGAGCCGTCGTTGAACTCAACCCTCACATGAGCCTCGTCAGGACGGAGACCATTGTCGATTGTTGCATTGACCTTGTCCCGCAACTCCACCACGACCGGGTCCTGCACGACGGCATCCTCGTACTGAGCTGGAGTTGCTTTCCCATAGAGTAGTCCTACGGCAGCGCCATGGAAGACGCTGAACTTGGCTTCGAGGCCCGTTCTTGGCCATTTCTTTCCGGTAAGCTCCAACACGAGGGGATGGACGGAAACCTCAGTTTTACGGATGTTCGAGACATCTTTTGCCATGTCCTTGGAGAAGTCTTGCCTCACTTGAATGCAGCCATCAATAATGGGATGGATGACGATGCCTGATCAGCAGTCAGTGGCTACAACCGGAAAGGCTTGGCGTACCATCATCATGCAAATAGATGAAGTAAAACGAGCACTCACCACAGGGGAAGGGTTTGAACGAGTTCTTCTCGATCTCCCACGTCTTGCCCAGGCCCTGCATCAGAGCGTCAACATCGTTGGAGGCGCTCACCACGTTGACCCAGCCGCGCTTGGCCTCCAAGGACTGCAGCGAGCTGTCGTATCCGTTGGACGCAAGCACAGCTGCCAGAAGGCCGTTCTGAGCAGCGCGGCCAGGATGGAAGGACTTGGTCATGCTGCCAAACTGCTCTCTCAGGCCGGTGACTTGGGTGGCAGCAATGCCTACCGCCCACTGCATCTGCTCGACGCCAAGGCCCAGGAGCTTCCCGACGGCCACGGCAGCGCCAATGGAGCCCGCGGTGCTCGTGATATGCCAGCCGATATCGTAGTGGTCCGGCCACACAGCGAGCCCGGCTTTGCATTCCGCTTCGATGCCGGCCACCAGGGCCAGGACGAAGTCGCGGCCCGCCACGGGCCTCTTCCACTCGGCGGCAGCTAGCAGAGCGGACGCCACAGGACCAGACGGATGGATGATGGTATCAAGGTGGGTGTCGTCGTAGTCATGGACGTGGCTGCTGACTCCGTTGAAGAGGGCGGCTGACTGAGCATCGGCACGCTCTTGGCAGCCAAGAACCGACGATGTCGGGGCGCCAGCGAAGGGCGCCAGCGAGCGGCGGGCAATGGCTGCGGCGGGGTGGTGGGCGCCGCCAATGGCGCAGCCCGCCCAGTTGTAAAAGCTTCGCACCGCAGCATCGACGACGGGCAGCGGCAGGCCGTCGTACCGCAGGGCCTGGGCCCAGGCAGCCAGCTGCTTGGTGGCCATGTCGAGTTAGATGAGGCTCGGAAACGAGATTATTAGAGTACAGGGCCGAGCTGAGCGGTTCGCGGTGACGCCAGGCGCTCCCGGCTGTGTGAGACCAGGCCGCTTGCGACCACTGCGCAGCGGCGGCGCGTGGTGATGTCGAAGGCTGCTGGACGTTGAGCCGTCGTGGATGACGCAGTGGCAAAGATTCGGCCCCTACGGCAGAGTGAGAGCGCAGGCGGGTGCAAGGCGCGTGAGGTCGCGGTGCCCCTGACAGCAGCCCGACCGGCGACGGCACATCGCGCATGCCGGCTGCTGCAATTTGCCCGCCGCCTCCGCCTCCACCGCGCGCTTCTTTTTCTACCCAAGCAACCACCACGAGAGCCCGCTCCAGCAGCTCCAGTCCGGCTGTCCGCACCCTTCTCCCGCACCCAATTGACGCCGGAGCGGTCGCGCAGCCAGCCCCAGCCCGAGCAGCGCCCCGCCTCAACCAGCAGCCAGCAGCCAGCAGCCGGCAGCCAGCCGCGGCGCGTCGCAGCAGGGCCGTGGACGAGCGGTTGCCCCGACGCCCACTCGCAGCCATCGGCCGCACCTCTCCCGCGCATCCGCAGACAGACTCCTGCACGGTTGCTGCACGCCGAAGGTGAGTGTTCCCTTCCCTGTGATACCCGCTTGTTCTCCGGCGCATCCGGCCGAAGCGCGTTTTGTGCCGCCCGCCCCTTCGCCGCCGCCGTCCCGCATTCCCTCGCGCCGAAGCCCTGCTGACCGCACCCTCTCCTCCCCCAGACTCTCCACCCAAGCAGCCCTCTCTCGCACCGCTCCGTCCGACTGCCTGCGCGCCTCGCCCACGCCCTCCAGCGCAGAGCTCGACCGCCCCCTCCCATCACCTACCGGTCGCCGATAGATTAGAATCATTTGCAATGCCTGCTCGATCGATAAACCCTTTCGCCAACAACTCCTCCATCTCCACCTCGCTCGACGAGAAGGCCTCGCGCCGCTCCTCCTTCTCCAAGGCGAACAGCAAGTTCTCCTCGCTCTTCTCCACCTCGCCCAAGCCGTCCGCTCCCGACGCCATCGCCGCGCTCCGCAAGGCCGTCGTTGCCCAGCAGCAAGCTCTTCTGGACAACCCTTCACCGCCCCCCGGCCAGCCGGTCAATTCGCCCTCGCTGTCGCTGCCGACCATCTCGCTGTCGACCGCGACCGGCGAGAAGTACAACAAGATGGAGGACTCCACCGCCACTACCACAACCCTCTTCCAGCCACCCTCCCAAGACGAGAAGCGCCGCCTCGCCAAGCAGCATGCCGAGTTCGGTCCTCTGGGATCCAAGTCGCATCTGTACTCGAGCAAGTTCCTGGACGACAAGTTCCCTGATCCCATCGAAGACGAGCCGCCGTACTACTTCCTCCTCACCACCTACATCAGCTACCTCGTCCTGATCATATTCGGCCATGTGCGTGACTTCTTCGGCAAGCGGTTCAAGCAGAACAACTACAAGCATCTGAGAGCGCAGGATGGCTACGCGCCTCTGAATAGTGATTTTGACAACTTCTACGTGAGGCGGCTGAAGATGCGCATCAATGACTGCTTTGCGAGGCCTACCACCGGCGTCCCTGGCCGCTACATCACCCTCCTGGACCGCAAGTCTGACGACTACAACCTGTCCTTCAAGATGACTGGCACCACCTCGGAGACCTTGAACATGAGCTCTTACAACTACCTCGGATTCGCTCAATCAGAAGGTCCGTGTGCCGACGCTGTGGAGGAGGGCATCAAGAAGCACGGCATCAGTGTTTGCAGCACTCGCGCTGATGTTGGAACTACTATCCTGCACACCGAAGTGGAGGATCTCGTTGCCAAGTTTGTTGGGAAGCCTGCCTCGATGGTTTTCTCCATGGGTTTCGTCACGAACGCCACCACCTTCCCTGCTCTGGTCGGCAAGGGCTGCTTGCTAATTTCTGACGAACTCAACCACTCTTCGATTCGTTTTGGCGCTCGTCTGTCTGGCGCCATGATTGAGATGTTCAAGCACAACGATATGCGTGATCTGGAACGCGTGCTTCGCGAGGTCATCGCCAACGGTCAGCCTCGAACCCACCGCCCGTGGAAGAAGATCCTCATTGCTGTTGAGGGTCTTTACTCGATGGAGGGCACCATTTGCAACCTTCCCGCTCTTCTTGCGCTGAAGCGGAAGTACAAGTTTCATCTGTTCATTGATGAGGCGCACTCGGTTGGCGCGCTCGGACCCAATGGCCGTGGAGTTTGCGATTACTTTGGCGTCAACCCTGCTGAAGTTGATATTCTTATGGGCACTCTTACCAAATCTTTTGGAGCCAACGGTGGTTACGTGGCGGCCGACAAGGCCATCATTGATAAGCTGCGCGTCACCAATGCTTGCAACATCTTTGGCGAGTCGCCCGCTCCTCCGGTCCTTGTTCAGATTCAGAGCTCTCTCAAGTTGATCATTGGAGACCTTTCGCCCGGTCAAGGTGAAGAGCGTCTGCAGCGTCTCGCGTTCAACTCCCGCTATCTCCGTCTCGGACTCAAGCGCCTGGGATTCATTGTCTATGGTCACGACGATTCGCCCATCATCCCGGTCTTGCTGTACAACCCTGCCAAGATGCCCGCCTTTTCCCACGAGATGCTGAAGCGCAAGATTTCGGTCGTTGTCGTCGGCTACCCAGCAACCCCGCTTGTCTCGTCTCGCGCTCGTTTCTGCGTTTCTGCGGCTCACACCAAGGATGATCTGGACCGGTTGCTTGCTGCTTGCGACGAGATTGGCGATATCCTGCAGCTCAAGTTCTCCAGCGGCATCGCGGGCGGTGCCGAGCCCCTGCCTGAGGGCCTTACGAACCACATGGAGCAGGAGTACAGGAAAGAAATGGAGATGACCGGGAAGCTGCCGCAGGTCACACCGCCCAGGTGGAAGCTTGCGGACGTTCTCAAGCGCGGCGCGCAAGACGTCAAGGTGCCTTTGAGATAAGGCACAGACGCCCGGCTCCGCTGATTCAATCAGCCTTGTCAGCCCGCCCTCAGCGCCCTCCACTTGTGGCCCCCATCACGATCAGATCACGCAGCGGTACGCGTCCCGGCGTCCCGCTTCGGGACCATGAATCTGGGACATACAAATAACACAACGTCGCGCGCGTTTTCGCACTCAATGTAACGATATCATCACCTCGGATGAAGCGTGGGGGCCAGCCAGCACTTGTCGGCCATCAACCCCCTGCTTCACATTTCGCTGTTCCCTTCATGATGTGCAGCCTAGTCGCATGGACTGCGCTATGGATAATTACTAATATTTTAATGAACCTTGGACAGATTCCAATGTACATTGAGACGGAGGTTGAAGAGAGACTATTATTTAGACCGCCCCATTTTGGACGACGGTGAATGAAAACCAAATCAACACAAAGCTCTATGCGAGTTGTGGAGCAATGAATCAATTGAGAAAATTATTTGTTATCAATGGTAGATGCTGTTCAATCTTTTGCTGTGATGTTGTTTGTCAATTCACTCCCGTTCCCCGAGACTGGTTCCCTGCTCGACCCCTATCCTTGCACGATCTTGCGGACTTGCCTGAAACATCCCATGGCAAGGCACATTAGACGCGGCGCAGTCATCTCACCAGGAATCTCCCGATTATGCAGTACGAGGTACGCAGTTGCGTGCTTATTCTGAAACGCTCACCACCAAGGCAACCTTGACCTCAGTCATTTGGTGATTGGAAACACCACTGAAATAGGTGACCAACTCTATTGTTTTTTCTCCAGTCTCTCAGCCTACCCCGTCCAGAATCTCTCCAGCAAATCGACGATGAGGGAGTCAGCCATGCATGTGCATAATCTGCAAGCGCGTCCAAAGGAACGGGCTTCTTGACCGGTCAAACCCAAGGAAGGCCACTCCTGCCCTTTCCCTTTCCCAAAACCGACTTACCGTAATCCCCCACACACAGCTGGGCCGTGATCCTTCTCGTCGACTACCTACCCTGCTCTGACAGAACAATCGTGGCCCCCTCCCCCTGTCCACACCACTAGGCAGCCGTTGCCAGCGCATAGCCTCCTTCCTCCCTTACTGCATCTCGCGCGCGTGAGAACGAAGACGCATTTGGAAGGGGAGGGAGGGGGGGAAAGCTATCGGCAGGGAAGCACCCTGATTTCGTCCCCTCTTGCAGCAACGGAGGATCGGGGGGCTGGCTTGCATGCATGCATAGGTCCTCTCCCCGACGCCCGACGGCCGCCGCCCGCCGCCGCCTCGCTCGCAATCGCGTTTCGCTTAGCGTCCCGATAGGGAGGGGATGATGAGGGCATGGTAGTACGTATTTTTATTTTATTTTTCGGTCCGTCGCCGCCGTCGCCTCCGCGGATGACGACAAGCGTCAGGTACGTACTTTAGCGACTTGCATTGCGCGGGAGTTTTTTTTTTTTGAGGCTCTGCTGCGGGGCTTCTAGGGCTGGAGGTTGAGTTAATATTTCCGGTCCTGGGCTCCGTTGCCATGCATATGCGCACTTCTTCGCTGCTGAGAGATGGGACAGCAGAGGGTCTTCTTGGAGCAAATGATTCGGTCATTTGTTGTGGAAGGCAAGGCAAGGCTGAGGCTGAAAACAAAGAGGGGGTGTAGAGGAAAGCAGCTGGAGGGTCGGCTGCGGAGTGAGCGTCATCATCGTGCTGCTCGCTCTGCTCCCGCATCTCGTCGGACGGCATCTAGCTCGACTCCAGGTCTCGTAGTTAGCAGTGCTTTATTCAGCAATCCCTTTTATCCTCGATTGCGCGAACCTGCTCATCGCCATTCTTTTGTTCTTTCTTCTTCTTTTTTTAAGTCAGCCAGCCCGCTCCGCACCCACGGCCGATGTACGTGTGCGTAAAGTTCCCCCCCGGCTCTCAATCCCTTCCCCACCTCAGCCTTGCCGCCACCCTCCCCACTTTTTAAGCCGTTATCCACAACGTGCCGCGCCGCTGCCGCTTATGTCTTCAGTCGGGGGGCGTTGTTGTACGTGCGTTGGAATGTCTCAGCTCGGCAAACGACCTGCCGCGCGGACAGGGCTGGCAGGATGCGGTGCGAACAGGATGGTCGTCGTGGGCATGGAGCTGGTGCTGCTGTCGTCGTCGCTCCTGCAGCCGCCAATCCAGCTTCGCTTCATCCCGATAGGTTGCCTAGAGACAAAGAATCAAGGCAACGGCGCTAAATTGGGGCGCAATCGCGCGCGTGCGCAGTCGCGGGGCGGTGCTGCGTAGGAAGGAGTTGCGCGCTACACTCTTTCGTTGCCGTCGATCTGACGGAGCCAAAAGCAAAACCTCGCATGTAAGCGGCGCCTCTGTATCTATTCCTTTTTCTTGTGTTGTACACATAGACACTAGAGAGCTTTGTGTACCTTTGTTCCTTGGAAATGTAGGGCGGTTCGTGCAACACCGTTGTATTATCGTGTAGTACACAAGCAGAAGCGTTATTTATACGTCTGTTGGGGCGCAGTCATCTTCAAAATCTGCCTTTCCATTGCACCAACTTTTATTTCGCTCATGTCTCGCAAGATTTGGAATCAGAACAATATACAAGGCGCAGAGGGCAACGTTACAGCAAAGGGCGTCGTCAGGGATCAAGGCAGCTGGACCAAGAGCCGAGGGCGGGCTACGCGGCTGCTGCCTAAATGGCGTTTCTACTGGCCTTCCTCGGTGAGCCAGAAGTGAGCTACCCTGGTCGTGACAAGTCTGATTCGCGAGCGAGGTGATTACGCCGATTCTCTGCGCGCAATCGCGCACATGCGGCGGCGGCTGCGCGCAATCGCGACTTTGCGCTGGCAGGCGGGCTCTTCCGCCTTGACTACCCTTTTCTCTTTCTTACTTGCCCGGTTCCTCCGTTCATTCTGCTATTGGAAGAAGGGGCTCGATGTCTTTCGCGTGGCCGTCTTGTGCTCAAACACGTGCGTCTGTGTTGGATGCTTGGAGGCGGTTCTTGCTGCGTCTACGCCCCGTTGGGTTATCATTTCCACCTCGCCCAGAAACAAGGAAATCCGCCGCGGCTGGCGGCGCCGTCAGGCAACATTGGCACCGTCTAAGCTTGCAGCAAGGCCGCATCCCAAAGTTGAACTCATGACCGCGCAGCCAGTGACTTACCCCGGGCGCTTGCTGTGAAATCTCCAGCTCGCCCTTCTGTCGTATCATTGCTATCTCTGGCCCTTTTAGTTAGCAACAAGGGCAACAGGATAAGCCGCGATCATTGGCCCATGACTGACCGGTGAGGGGCGTGCGGCTCTTAAGCAGCCTTGTTGCTTGCCGGCTTTTGCAGATGGAAGGACGTTTTGCCACCATCACTAGCCGGACAGGGCTGGTGACCCGGTTCATTCTGCAAATTCCTTTCCGGGCATAAGGCAAATGTCTTTCAGCTGCCGCTCACCGGTTCAGCGCCATCCAGCCCCAGTAGCACGGCAGATTGGTTCGCAAAAGCGTGCAACTTCCAGGGCGAGGCTGTCATGGATTCCGAGTGGTCCGCTGGCTGGCTAGCTGACTTGCCGGCGATCGATTGGCGTACCCAGGCAGGGCCGGGCCGGGCGCTCGCGATTGCGTAGGATTGAGGAGATTGTTGTGGTCCCCACGAAAAAAGGAAGTGATATAGCGGTACCGCAGTTGGGGGTGGAGGAAGAGCCGCGGAGAGCAGCTATATAACCCACCTGAATCCGTTGACGCCCGACCAGCCAGGAAGCCTTGCTCTAACAATCAGCCTCACTAACCTTCGATGTGAGGCGAAGCACACATCATCATCCCTGATATCCCGTCCTTATCACACATACCTTCGATATCTCCATCCTCATACGCCGCATCCCTCAGAGATCTGCCCTCTAGATCCGCCCTGCAATCAACCTTACCTTCCGCCTACAATCCTTTTATTGTTTTTTGTCTCCATCTTCTCACCGGTGTGGTTTCTCTCCCGCATCGTCTCATCGTTGCCCAACTGCGCCCCGTCTGCCTCGTTTGCCATATCAAGGCACCGCGGCTTGAGGCACATCATCTTCCGTCATGGCAGCCGTCTACGGTGACGGGCCACCACCGCCACCTCCACCTCCGCCCCCTGTCCCTGGTCCAGGCGGACCCGCGCCCGGTTTCGGGGCCCGCCCACCACAACAAGGAGGCGGAGCAGCAACAGGCATGCATGGCGGCCCTGGCGGTCCCGGTGGGGGTATGCCTGGCCGTCCGTTCGGGGGTGCAGGTGGCATGCCACCAGGAGGCGGACCAGGAGGCCCCGGAGGCCCTGGAGGTCTAGGAGGAGGATCAGTAGGACTGCCCCAAGGCCGGCCGGACGCCAACACTCGCCGGCCGATGGACCACCAGCTGGCCGGCAACGCGACGGGCCCGGTCAGCCTCAGCTTCCACGGTTGGTCGTTCCGCAAGGACCGCGAGCCGGGCGTCGAGGCGTCGTGGGCGCGCGCACGCAAGACGGCGCTCCCGTACTCGGGCGACGTGCTGCAGCGCATGGTGAACCGAACGACCTCTCCGTCGGGCTCGTCGTCGAGCAAGAAGGGGAAGGGGATGACGGTGTACGAGCAGTACAACTCGCTGCGATCGCCGCACCAGCGGGCCCTCATCGACGGCCTGCTCGAGGCCGTCAAAGGCGAGGAGCGCAATCCGAACGCCGAGTGGAGTCTGGCGTGCATCGAGCAGGAGGTCGCCGAGTACATCCGCAAGGGCTTCGGCAAGGTGCGCGAGGTGCGCGAGATGCGCGTCGTGCTGAGGAGGGGGGGCAGGAAGGACATGCCCGCCGCCGGGCCGCTTGCTGGAGACGGCTTGCCTGGCGAAATCGTCGACTTGATTCACGGGCAAGGGCAGGGGCCTCATCGGTCTTCACAGCCTTCACAGCCTTCACAGCAACAGCAGCCGATTGGGATGGGCATGGGCATGGGCATGGGCCGCGGTGCTGCTCCTGGAGGCGGAATGCCGTTCGGCGCTGCCGGTGGTGGCGGTGGAGCAGGTGGTCCTGGACCTTTTGCAGCTGGTGGTGCGCCGGGAGGGGTTGCTGGGGGACCGGGTCCGATGGCCGGTGGGTTCGGACGCGGGGCTGCCATGAATCCTGGAGGGCCTCCTGGTGGTGGTGCATTCCATGGTGGTGGCGGAGGTGGCGGCGGGCTTCCTGCGATGGGACCCAACATCAACATGGCGCCTCCACCTCCACCTCCACAGCCAGTCCCTCCCATGGGCCCCCCTAGAGGCGGCGGTTTCGATGGGAACGTTCATGCTGGTCATGATCCCTATAAAGGTCAGAAAGCAGGGAAAGGGCCCAAATCGCCACGTATCATTCCCGAGAGCGACTTCTCTGACGAATTCGACGACTTGGACATGCGTCCGGAAGTGGTCTACACCAAGCCGCACAAGGCCGGTAAGGGTAAGAAAGGTGTCACCATTCCTCGTCCTCCGTTCCCCCCGAGCCGCAGCCGCTCAAGAGAGGGGGCAGGGAAGTCGCCCAAGAACCGCGAGCCCGAGCTTCACCGTGTCCCGACCATCATCAACAACACGATCAAAATCCCGCGGGCGCACAAGGGGGACCGCTTACGCAAAATCCACAGCCGTCCAAAGTACGAACACCACTACAACAGCAGTAGCGACGAAGACCACTACATCCTCACCCCCCGTAGCAGCGACGATGAGACGTGGTCAACATCGCGGTCCTCTACGTCGGGCTCGTCACCTGGACGTTACCGCCGATCCCGCAGCAAGGAAAGGCACGGCTACCCTCCCATCAGGACGATGCGGGAGCACAAAAAGCCAGCCCCACAGCCTCGGTCTATCCTGCGGGAGCACCATCGGCCATCCGGGAACCACCTGGTGGATGCTGAAGGGTACTATGAGCACGGCGGGTACGATGTCATGGAGCATCGTCTTGAGGATCACCGGCGGTACCGTCCTACGGCCCGCGCTCTACCGTCGAGAGACTACATGGCGTACAGTCCACCGAGGAGAGGGTACCATGAGAGGTCTCGGTCGCGGGAGAGGGCGAGACTGCCGCCAGCGCCAGAGGTGAGCACGTATGACCCTCCGTGGAGAAGAGCAGCGGCGGCAAGACGAATAGAAGAAGAGGAATGGCGCGAGAGGGAGGAGGCAGCGCAGGCAGACTTGGAGATGCACATGCGGAGGGAGAGAGTCCGAAACTTGGAGGCGGCGGCGGATGAGGTGAGGGGAAGGAGGTATGGGCGGAGAGGTGATTGGTGGCCGTGAGATAGAATCGTCAGAGAGGTGACAGAGTGGGAGCAAATTGGCGTCGAAGAAGACGGATAGTTCTGGCACCCTTCGGTTCTTGCACCTTCTTAGTCGAGATAGAAACGGCCTGGCTCTTTCGTTCCGAATGCGATTTGCTGTCTTCTTCCAGACATGAAATGACGAGACGCTGTTGTTCGCCCGTTGGAGCATGCAAAGGCGGAGCTCCCACACGACATATATCTGCTGGCAGTCGGAAAAAGATGCATCATATCGGACAGCAGTCCACAGGACGGGTGCCAGCTCATGCGTACATGCTGTTGGCTGGTAGGCGAGTTGAGGTGGCGCAGGCGAGGCTGCAGGGCCGGCCCAAACAGGCAGAATGAGCAGCGAATGAGCAGCGAACGAGCAACACGGGCAGGGCGGATAGACGCAGATGCTGGGCGGCCCAGCGGACTGCCGAGGTGATGGATGGGCGGACTTCGCAGCGAGGTGAGTTGTTCGGAGCTGGCAGAGGCATCGGGACGCAGCTCCTAAAAGGCCCGAGACCGGGCTGCCCCTCCCTGCCAGGTGCCCCGCCATGACGCTTTGCAAAGCCTCAGGCCCAGCTGATCTCACATCATAACAAAACCACCGCTCCAGCACCACCCTCTCCCTATCTCATTTCCCTCGCCCATTTAAGCTCCATCTGCCGCCCCGCCATCCATCGCCCACTGATACCCCTACTGTTTCCCAGCAGACCTCAATCACACACAACCGCCAAAATGACTCGCCAATTCTTCGTCGGTGGTAACTTCAAGATGTGCGTCCAAGTTTTCCCTCGCTGCCGGCATCGCCCGGCGCTGGCTGCTGCTGCTGCTGCGGCATCTCGCTGACAATGCCTCGCTCGCAGGAACGGGACCAAGGAGTCCATCAAGAGCCTGGTCAAGAACCTCAACGACGCCAAGCTCGACCCCAACGTCGGTGAGTAGCTCGTGCCACCTCAGCCCACGGCCGCCCGCGCCGTTTTCCATTGACCACCATCCCCCACTACATCCGTGACGTGACGAACAGCGGCTGATTTGCATCGACAGAGGTCGTCATTGCCCCTCCGGCGCTGCACCTGCAGCTGACCCGCGAACACCTGCGCCAGGGTCTTGAGGTCTCCGCCCAGAACGTCTACGACAAGCCCAACGGCGCCTTCACCGGCGAGATCTCCGTCGAGCAGCTCAAGGACTCGGGCATCACCTGGACCATTCTCGGCCACTCGGAGCGCAGAGTCATCCTGCAGGAGGACGACGCCACCGTCGCCAACAAGACCAAGGCCGCCCTCGACGGCGGTCTCAGCGTCATCCTGTGCTGCGGTGAGAGCTTGGAGCAGCGTGAGGCCGGCAAGACCATCGAGGTTGTCGTCAACCAGCTCAAGGCCGTCGCCGCCCAGGTCAAGGACTGGTCCAAGATCGTCATCGCCTACGAGCCCGTCTGGTGAGTTTCTCCATCGAACAACGCCAGATGATCCAATGCTGACTTCTGCAGGGCTATCGGCACTGGCAAGGTTGCCACCACTGAGCAGGCCCAGGAGGTCCACGCTGCCATCCGCGAGTGGCTGAAGAAGGAGGTTTCCCAGGAGGCCTCTGACAAGACCCGCATCCTGTACGGCGGCAGCGTCAGCGAGAAGAACTGCAAGGAGCTGGCCAAGCAGCCCGACATTGACGGTTTCCTCGTCGGCGGTGCCAGCTTGAAGCCCGCTTTCGTCGACATCATCAACGCGAACCAGTGAATGCATGGAAGAGGGAATCTGTAATGACTGAACGGAGATAAGCATCATATCATGATAGCCCAAAATATGAATCAAAATATTCTTTGCCAGATGCTTTTTTTCTACTTTTTTTTGGGGGGGGATGAGCTGTCAGCGCTCTTCCAGTAGCATTCCGTGATCCATGAATATGTGTATATGTACAAGCCGAAATCCAAGTTGATACGCCGCCCATGCCGTTGTACGAAGTTGTCTTCCGTGCTTCTCAACCCATCAACAATCCTCAGCAGCTCAGCTCTTCTTGCAAGCCCATTATATTTGGTACTTGGCGCCGTGGAAGGGACTCCAGATACCCCTGACGCTCTCGTTCATACTCTTGACGGGCTTGTTGATGGTACGGCGGTTCCGCTCGCCGGAGGCGTCCCGCAGCAGGTTGGCCTTTTGGAGGATTTGCTCCTTCTCGAGCTTGCGAACACAGATGGCCTTGATACGGCCGTTGATATAATGACCCTTGATGACTGGTTCCTTGCGCGGGCGGGGCGACACGGTTATCTCGATGGACGGGTTGGCTTTGGCGAACGAAGGGAGCGTCTTCTCAAGGAACGTCTTCATGCCCTTGGATGAACCAGACCAGTCGCAGTAATGGAAGTCGAGGCGCTTGCACTGCCGGATGAAAGCGCCGACGCCATTCTATAGACAGAGCAAGGTCAGCTACGCGGTCTGAAATTATCGTCTTCAGGATGCCGGAAACATTGAAGAGCGATTGGGCGCGTGCGCCCAGCTCCAGCATCCTCAAGGGCGGAGCAAACGTACTTGACCCTTGGCCACGGTGTTCAAAGCAGCGAGAGGCATGGTGGGCGGCGTGAGGCGGTCGGATGTTGCACTGCGTGACGCTGGCGTGGTGTTTTCGGGCGACGGCGACTTTCTGCCGGCGGACACCGCCCTTGGGAGCTCGCGCGTCCTGTTCTGTCGTCTGCCTGTCGCGCCAACAATCCACTTCAACCACCTTCATCGCCCCCACAACCCTCACCGGGGCCCCGCGCAACGTCGACGATCTAGAGAGTCTTCACTCTCACCATTCAGTCGCCAACGCGCCTCTACCGCAGCCACAATGACGGACAAGCTGCCCCCCAACCTGCTCGCGCTCTTCGCGCCGCGCCCGGCGTTGCGCTACCTGCCGCCGTCCGACCATGCGCCCGAAGCACGCAAGACGATGCAAATAGATGGCGTCGGCGGTTACCTGCAGGCCCTCAAGGACTACGAAGACGATTATAAGCCCACCGAGAGTTGGTTGCAGCGCAGGGACCGGCTAAAGCAAGAGAAAATCGAGAAGATTGAGAAGACTCTCACCGATGGCGTCGCCAACTGTTCGCCTCACCTGTCATGAGTGTTTGGAATGGGAGCTAACCGACATCCCAACAGTCAAGCCTGCCGATGATCCCAACGTGCGCGGCGACCCTTTCAGGACGCTGTTTGTTGCCCGGTTGTCTTACGACACTGAAACCAAGGACTTGGAGCGTGAGTTCGGTCGCTTTGGTCCAATCGAAAGGGTAAAATTGCATCCACTCCTTTTGCTTTCCATTGTTCCCGTTACCGACAAGACTGGCAGATCCGCATCGTACAGGACACAACCAAGCCTGAGGATGCGCCTTCTAAGAAGAAGAATAGAGGCTACGCATTCATTGTATTCGAGCGCGAGAAGGATATGAAGGGTAAATCCTCCCCCACTACATTTTCCCCTACCTTCCAGACCATGTTCCACATATCAAGGTAAAACATGTAATTGTTCGACTGACACAGTGGCCACTTGGTCGTCTTATCATGCAGCTGCCTACAAGGAGACCGATGGAATCCGTATCAAAGATCGCAGAGTCCTGGTCGATGTCGAACGTGGCCGTACCGTTTCTGGCTGGCGTCCTCGCCGCCTTGGTGGAGGACTTGGTGGACGTGGATACACCAAGGCGCTGCCTGCCCGCCCTTCGGGCCCCGGTGGATTCGGCCCTCCATCAGGGCCCGGTGGCGGCTTCAGAGGAGGATTCGGCGGCGGCTTCCGCGGCGGCCGCGGCGGCTTTCGTGGAGGTGGCGGCTTCGGCGGAGGCGACAGAGGTGGTGGTGGATTCCGTGGCGGTGATCGCGGATACGGGGGTAGGTCGGGTATCGGCTATCAATCGAACGGCTGGGGTGGCCAAGCGCCCCCGGAGGGAGCACCAGCAGGCCCTCGCGGCGGCGGGAGATCGGGCGGCTACGGCGGCCGCGATGGCCCTGGCGGTGGATACGGCGGCAGCCGCTATGGCGGCGACAGAGGTGGAGGCGACAGAGGCGGAGGCGATAGAGGCGGCGGCGACAGGTACGGCGACCGGGACCGCGGCGCCAGCGGTAGCAACCGCGAGCCGGTGGGATCGAGGCGCGAGTACCGCGACCGCGATCGCGATGGTGGGTATGGCCGCGACGATTACTCATCCCGCAAGCGCGGTCACGACGGCGGCGACAGCTACGAAGACTCCAGGAGCAAGCGGAGGTACTGAGCACGGCTTCAAGCCCGTTCCAGCTCAGCTGCTCATGGCGCTATGGGTTTGTGCGAACAAAAGGTTATCATTTCCTTCTTCGAACTTTTGTCGCCTCCATCCAACATCTACCCCCCTTCGTCAACAAGGGTAAGGCACCATCACCTGGAGACTCATGCGCACTGCGTCAAGAGGCAGCCATTTTCTACGGACCAACATGCTCTCAATCGCGTTTGTGTTCTGCCAGTCATTCAGGGTAAGGCGTCACAAGGTATTGCTACGTCTGAACGCCAAGATACAGAGGCGCTCAATGCCTCCTGTTGCCGAACCATCCTTTGATACTGCAAAGGACCAAGAAAAGAAAAAAAAAACTCCCCCCGGACAAGTCGTGGGACATGACTCTGTTTGGGTAATTCGGCTGCCAGTTCTCAAGCGCTGCGCTCGGCCCCCAAGGTCTTCCCTCTTTTTCCTGGGCTGTCTCAATAACGTCCCTGCCGTCAGCTTCAGAGTCTCAGCGCATGACCTACCGCTTTGGTGGCCTACATCACGATTCTTCAAAAGCTAGTTTCAACTCTATTTTTTCTGGATTCACTGCCTCGATTTATTTCCTCAATGCAGAGAGCGGTAGGTATGATGCTGGTTGGCCGTTTACGTGCCTAGTTGGGTAGGTAGTCGTTGTGGTAGTGATATCCCCAGGGTACTGCTTTTGTTCAATCGTGCTCATTAGAGAAGGTAAGATCACTAAAGTAAGTCAAGTATGCATCTAGCAGGTCTTTCTTGCGCTCTAGATGTGTTGTTTTCTTGCTGGGACGATCTTACCTACTGCTGGGTGAATTCCCCTTTTGCTATCCTGTGCTTCGCCTCGTTGATCTAAAGGCTGGCTTTTTCTTGCGTGGCATTGAACTTCAACGCAATCCTACCTTGATGAAGAGGATTTGTGTCGCTGGGAAATGCGAACGAATGTAGAATAGGTTGGGCACAGACTAATCAGGTAGCGCGAATGATACCGAGTCTTCTTTCTTTCTGATCATCTTCACCACCATGCTTCTGGGCTTTTATCGACACTTTTTCCATTAAATATTACAATCCAGATACTCCCCCTTCGTCTGGCAACACCTCCAGACGTCCTAATCATACAACTCCTCTCCCCCCTCCCCTTCCTTGCCCCTTGCCCCCCCACACTCTCTTCTCAATAACTGCACCTCACACTGCTCGCCCTATGCTTCTGCCCGAACTCCTCGGTGTTGCGCGAGCCGGGGTGCCTGATGCGGAACGTGGGCTCCGCCCCGCCGCAGTCGGGCTCGCTGTGCAGCACGCAGTAGTGCGGGCCCGGGTCCGGCCCGAACGACTGCACGTTGTTGTCCCAGCCGCCGGCGAAGTTCATGCACTGGCCGACCTTGAGCCACGTGTGCGCGCACGGCGCCCGCCAGTCGGTGCTGCGGCAGTAGTAGATGCCCGCCCAGCCCGTGTTGCGCTTCGACTTGTGGTTCGGAATGCCGGCCGGTGCTGCTGCTGCGGAGAAGTCGGCGGGGATGAGGGCGACTTCTTCGAAGTGGGTGGTGTTGGTGGTGGGGATGGCGGTGGTGAGGGTGGCGAGGAGGGGGAGGTAGATGGCTGCAGTGAACTTCATGTTTTCTTTTTTTTTCTTTCTTTGGATGGTTGGTTTTGGTTCTGGATTCGGTGGTTTGGATCTGGTGAAAGATAGACTTTGGTAAGTGTTGATTGGTGTATTCGAGGAAGAGACGTTAGGAAGCTATGGGGACGGGAGTGGGATCTATATCTATAGGAACACACAAAGAAGAGCAGGTCAAAGAGATACGCTCGAGAACCGAAATTTGGTGGCAGTAGCAACAATGAACTATCACCGCCACCATACAGAACAATACTAAGGACAATGGAACGGGAGCCTTGGCGGCTTACCACGGTATGACGCCTACTCTAGCTACAGCTGTGCACTCGAAAGAAAAGCAGTGAGAGTAGGTGGACAAACGATCCAGTTCAAAATGGTCCAGTGTCGCCAACGACCGTCATTTTCGAATAGCAATGGTGCAGTGTTTCTATGGCTACATGCATGTCTATTTGCAAAACATGGGCCATAAGGATCCGAGATGATAAAATGATTGGGGATCCGTTTCCAAGATAATTATCCCACAACGCTCTGAAATTCATGTCGCTGCTTGCCAACCGTGCTCCTCATCTTCTCACCGATCCAGCCCATCGAGTTCGACTAGTTTTCTCACGATTCCCACAACATCGCTGTTCGCCAAGTCCGTAGTTGGATCGTCAATTTTCCTTGCCAATGCCTCATCCAGCATCATGCGTAGCCTCGAAACCAAGACACCGATGCGAGCCCATCCACGCAGACGCAACCACCCATCGACGACGATGCCACGGCCCAAGGTATCAAGGGTAATTGGGCCAGAGAACAGCAGCAAGGAGTAAGCATTGAATGCTGTAACCGTGTGGTTAGTGGAGTGAACTGTATCAGTGGGAAAAGCATCCGTGACCGAAACTTACGCGTCAAATCCCTCATGAAAACCTTGCTCGTTGCCATCTTCGTGAAGTAACTCATGAACGTCGCACCACCCGGGAATCCTTGGGCATCGAACACGGTCGAGCTTGGGTGAACAAAAACTCTACCGTTCTCCTGGTTGAAGTACTTGATCGTCTTGGCTTCAGGATCGAGCTCTACAGCACCTGAAACAGAGGCTGCAAACTTCTTGTCCGGAAAGTCAATGCGCGCGATCTGGGGGTTGAAAGCACCAGCAACGAGGGCGCGGACGAGGGCGTCATTTGCACTGTGGCGATTGAGTGAGGCAACTTCCTGTGCGCCAACGTCACTGTAGGATGAGTAACGCAGCGGGATGAAGCCCGTTTCTTGTAGGGAGGAGAGATATTGCCGCCGAGTAGAGGTAATATCGTTGAGGGTCTGAAGACTGAGGAAGTTTTGTTCACAAAAAGCACGCAGGTCGCGGAACGAAATGCCCTTCTCCTTGAAGCCGCTCCACTGCTCGTAGGCACGAAGGTCGGCAATGAGGTCACCTTGGCCCTTACCGAACGCTGAACGGGCTGCCTTCGATTCTTCTCGCTTAGCCTGGGGCGAGACGAAAGGACTGCGGACGGTGAGAATCGATGCGATGGTGAGGCAAGACTCGAGACAACCAAACGTCGCTCCGTACACCATAAGCTTAGCACATCGAAGGTCAGCAGGGACAACAGCAAGATGTCTGCCCAAAGCAGTCATTTCATCGCCATCAATGGCTCCCATCCGTCCGAGAAGTTCCAAAGCACCCTCCACCGCTATGCTGTCAGGTGGTGTCAGAGCGCCTGCGAGGAAGCCCGCTACGTCTTTGACGCCCATTGCCTTGACGGACAGACAGAGTTGCTCGAGAGGGACTCGTCTGATCTCAGGATCAGGTCTCTCCATCATCTTGTCCCTCTCGACGTTGCGTGTGTATAGTTTGTAGCATGTTCCAGCTCGGACACGGCCAGCACGGCCGCGGCGTTGCTTGCAAGCGGCACGAGATGCCCACGTCTCCGCAAGCTTGACCATGTTGTTTGCTGGGTCAAAACTCGTTTCTTTGACTCTACCAGTATCGATGACGGCCACGACATCCTCAATGGTAATTGAAGTCTCAGCGACATTGGTGGATGCAATCACTTTTCTCGTGCCTTTAGGTGGCGCAAGGAAAACTCGGCGTTGTTCCGCCGGAAGCAGAGATGCGTGAAGTGGAAGCGCATGTACGTTTGGCATGGAGCGGAGAGCCTAGTGTACATTGTCAGTGTACAGTCAACTTATGTAGGTACGTTCCTGTGCAGCTTACCTGTATCGTTCTGTCGATCTCCATTGTTCCAGGGAGAAAGATAAGAATGGCACCGTCTTGGGCTCCCAGCTCCGCGTCAATGTGGTACACTGTTTGCGCGATCAAATCATAATTGATCCGCATGCCAATACTCCTCAGTGTGCCACCAATGTTTTTCTGGGCCTCTTCGTCCTCCCAGTCTTCGTCTGCCGTGTGGCCATTGAAGCCAGACATTCGAATGACATCGTCAACGTAGTAGTCCGTTACAGGGTGCGTACGGCCCGCTATCTCCACCATCCCAACCTGGCCCACGGCAGGCTTGAAGAAAGATGCAAACACTTCCGCATCAAGAGTAGCACTCATGAGAATGACTCGGAGGTCGTTCCGCTTTTTCAATACATCCCTCAGCAGAACGAGCAGGAAGTCCGTGTCCAAGCTCCGCTCATGGACTTCGTCGACGACAACATGAGTAATGTCGGCCAAGGAAGCTACCACATCATCAGGGCGGCCTCCCGACGTTTGAAGCCGGCGAAGGAGGACACCAGTAGTCATGAATGTCAACTTGGTGACTCCAGGCTTTTGTCTAGACTCGCCACGGATTGAGTAACCGACTTCGTCGCCCACGACAGAGCAACGCTCATCGGCAACTCTGTCCGCCAAACCGAGCGCGGAAATTCGCCGCGGCTGCGTACAGACAATATTGGCTGATTCGCCAAGCTGACGTTGAATCAGGTCATCGAGGATGAATTGAACTGACTGAGTGGACTTTCCAGACCCGGTCTCTCCCGAAATGATGACAACTTGGTGATTCTTGACTGCTTCGACGATGTCCGGCAGTAATTTCCAAGCAGGCAGATTTTGCCGCGCGCGGAGCATGCGCTGTTGGTCCGGAGAAGTCTGCTTGATTCGCCACTGCTCGAGCATGCGTTGACTAGCCTGAGAGCCTGGCCGTAAGTTGGCTGGCTTAGGTCGACGCTGTCTCCTTTCCTTCTGTTTGATCGCTTCAGCATGAACACCAGTATCCGCCGCAGATATGGCGGAAGAAACATCTGTAAGTCTTCCGGGATTGTCAATGATGGAGGGTATTTCATGTTCCAGCCAGTCCACAATATTGAAGACCATTTGCTCGCCGAGAAAGTTCTCCTTGGCGTGACCTAGTGCTTGTCTGATGATGCTTAACCGGATGTAAGCCGGAATTTTTGCGTTGATCGAGATGATTGGTAGGGCGTTCGGATACAGCCCTACAGGCTTGCGCACGTTCAACAAGAATTCGGTCTTGGTCCCATTGACAATTTCCAGTCGGATTTGGCATTGATCCTGCCCAGCTGTGGAATACTTCTCGTCGTAAATCGAAGCCAGGATGATCTGCTCTTCAGCCCAAACGTCCTCTTCCGGCCCAGTCTCGTCAACAATGGCTGCACTAGATAACTGCTCTGCAAGCCCGTCATCACCTAAAAGTTGTGCTTGAAGTAAGCCTGCCGCTTTAGCCTCATCGCCGTCGAATGTATCAAGAGCTTCTTCACAGAGCTCCGTGGCGTAACCAGTGGCCGCAAGGCGCTTGATAGCTGCCTCCCGCTTGAGATTTCCGCTAGCCATGCTGATGCCGGCAGTATAGCCCTCAGGTAAACTCCAAGGTGGAAGGTCGTCTTCTGGGACATGGATGAGAAGCCATTCGAGAATTTCTTCCCGGTCTTTGCAGATTTCCGCAGCTTCGTCAACGTGGCTTTTGCGGAATCCCAATTTGACAATCTCATCAACGAGGGCAGAGCGTTCAGCGGATGATATCTTAACGCTGTGAGGGTTCCACACAGCATCCCGCCGAATCAAGCGCTCAATCTCTGCTCGAATCCTCTTGCCCATGTCGAGCTTCGGAACACGAGTCCAGCCGCGCATGATGTTGTTCGCACCACTGGGTTGTCCATTCTTCGCCTTCTCCCGCTGCTTCGCGACTTCCTCCCGCTTCTTCTCAGCCTCAGCCTTGGCTTGTTCCCTCTCCTTCTGGGCCACGAAAGGGTCCGCTTCGTACATCCAAGCTTTGCCGTTCTTGGCGTCTTCCTTCTTCATGTCGGCAAATGCGCCTTTCCACAGGTCCTTGTACGTCGGAGGCATCATCATGTGGATATTCTTCATGGAAGCGATGCGGAACAACGTATACGTGGCAGCGAAGTGGCGGGCTTCGAGAGCGGTTGGCTGCACGGCAAGGTCTTGCTTTTCGATTGGAAGTCTGATGGGAGGTAGGGTGGTAGTTTCGTGGGTTTTAGGGTTGGTAGCCTTGAGAATTACATGGGAGACGAAGCCATCTTTGACCTTGGTCTGCACAATCATCAGCAATCCAAAACACGCGACCGCACAGGAGAGCTGATATCTACCATTGTATATTCGGGCTTCGCCCATTTCTGCTTCTGGCAATGCTCCGAGAGCATGTTGACGGGCAGCTTCCCGGTCCATGACGCGCCACCGATGACGGTGCGCACGTCGGGTTTTTTAGGCGCATCCTCAGGCTGCTCAGGCGCGCCCTTGGACTTTCCCTTGCCCTTATCGCTGGTGTCGGGCTTGGCGGCGTTGTCCGCCTTCTTGCTTTTCTTTGAGTCGCCCTTCGAGTTGGAGAAGACGATAAAGCTGGTATCTTCAGCGCCCAGCGGCGGGGGGGCGGATTTTTTGGAGCTGCCGCCTCCACGCGGAGGGTGAGGATTTCTGGGCATCCTCGCGAGTGTAAGGCAGACCGGGGTGACGAAGGTGCGGTGGTGCAGCCATCTTGGTGCACGGCGTGGGGAAAAGCTCAAGATCGGCAACCCCGTCAACGAAATTCACGGCCCGCACGCGCCTTTCCGCGTCGGGTTGCCGCTTCCGTCTCGCTTTCTCCGCCCCGGCCGCACCAGCGGCATAAACCCCTCCGGCAACCATTTACACAGTCCTTGCCCGAGCTCGTAGGGCTGAGTGGGCAACCCGAGCAACAGCCCATGACGCAAATTCCGTTGCTCACCCCATTTTCTTCTCGACAAACACCGTCCTTGTATGACATAGAGACACTACCGCTGACGCGAGCGTCTCATCCAACAACACCGCTCAAGCCCTTCCAACCATGGCGGGCGCAATTGGCAAGGAACAAGAGAATCCCGCCACCGGCGAGGAGGTGAAGGGAGAGGCGGTGGTTGACGCCTCCAGCTCCACCGGTGGCAAGCGCCCTAATGCTTGTAGGCATCTTGGAAATACTGCAGAGTTCACATTCTGAGTGTTGACAGTCACAGAGCTCATGTCTCGCAAGCAGCCCAAATCGTCGAGCAAAACGGCCAAGGAGAGCCGCAAGTCAACATCCGTCGGCACCAAGGTATTTCCAGGCATGTATGGGCTGGGAGCATACATCGAACACCCTGAGCAGTTCGAGAAAGACCGCGTGATTGACTACAACGACGAATTCGTCATCATTAACGACCTGTTCCCAAAGTCTGTTATCCATTGTCTGATTCTGCCACGGGACAAGACAAAAACACTCCTGCATCCGTTTGATGCGTTCGAGGACGCGCAGTTCCTTGCAGCCTGCAAGACCGAGGCGGAAAGAGTCAAGAAGATGGTTGGCAGTGAGCTTCGCCGCAGGTACGGACAGTTCTCTCGGCAGGAACGGGCGCGCATCGAGGCCATGGAGTCGGAAGATCCGCCAGACGAGGACAAATTGCCGCCAGGGCGGGACTGGGCGGCGGATCTGCTCGTGGGGATCCATGCCGGCCCGTCCATGGCCAATCTCCATGTCCACGTTCTATCTCCAGACCGGCACTCGCCCTGCATGAAGCACCGGAAGCACTACAACAGCTTTTCGACGCCCTTCCTGGTCCCGCTGGATGCATTCCCTCTCGCGCAAGACGACCCGAGACGATTTCCGGGCGAGGAGGGCTACCTCAACAGCGAGTTCCAGTGCTGGCGGTGCGAGCAGAGCTTCGGCAAGAACGTGCAGAAGCTAAAGGCGCACCTGGCGGAGGAGTTCGAGCAGTGGCGGGGCAGGTAGTTTCGATTACCCCACGGAATCAGCGGAAGCCGCGGGGTGGCTTGCCTCCTTGCTTGGATCGGTTCGGTGACAACAACACGGGCGGGCTCACGATGGGCGGATGCGGAGAGGGGCACGGGCGTGGGCGACGGCGGCTACTGCATGGAAGGGCTTAGACTGGCAGCGGGCACATCACGATGGCAGCATTGCCCAATGGCCGGCAGGGGCGGCTGGCTAGAGCATCCTGCCATCTCCAGTTGACTCGTCACAGTGTGCACCTGCCTCTTTGACGGGCGAGGAGAGCTTACTTCGCGCATTCCGCTTGTTGCCACGCCTTGCCCGTCTGGCCGTCGCGTGCATAAGGCGGGCGGGCGCACCAGAGCGACTCGTGACTCGGCGCTGACCTGAACACACCTCCTTGTTTTCGCCATTCGCGTCCTCAGCACCGCTCACAGCACGCAATTGGCAGTGGGTGCGCGGTTGGGGCATTGTCGATGCGCCGTTTCTACCCTCGGGCGACCCACCTGTCGGCACCGGCGATCGCTGCGAACCCCCGCCTTCGCAGCCCTCTCTCTGGAGCTTCAGCCCGCTGTGCCGTCGCAAACCGAGTCGCTGAACCTCGACGCCGCCATGTCAAACTCAACGCCCTCACACAGCGCCCAGCACGACAGCGCCTCGCCGCCTGCGAAGCCAGGCTCGCAGCAGGGCCAGCATACCCGTACCTACCAGGCCTGCATCCCCTGCCGCCGTCGCAAGGTGCGCTGCGACCTGGGGCCTGTCGACAACCCTCACGACCCGCCATGCGTGCGCTGCCGCCGCGAGAGTAAAGAGTGCTTCTTCTCCGCCACCCGCCGCAAGCGCAAGCCCCAGGATGGCGGCGAGGGCTTCGAGGACGAGGAGCCTGCCGACTTCGAGGTCCACAACGGCCGCAAGCGCCTCCGCGAAGATTCTGAGACGCCGCGCCGCCCCAGCTTCGTCCAACAGCCACCCATACCACGCCCGCTGACACCCGGAGGCTCGGTTGGCCGCCTGCAGCCCCTGCGCCGTCCCAACGCCAATCAGCAGTCCTCACACGATGATCAGCAGCAAGTGAACAATGAGACCACCGCCATCCTGCAGTCGAAAGAGGTCTTCAGTGGCCATGACGCCCTCAACCTGCTCTTCGAGGCCGCCGGCCGCACCGGCGACATGGAGCACCACAGGTCCGACAGCAACACCATGCACCAGCGCACCATGAGCACTGCCTCCATGACCGCCACCACTCCAGGCTCCCAGCCCAACTTGACCAGCCCTGGCGTCAACAGCTCTCAGCCATATCCGAGCCCGGCCGCCCACTCCACCGCCGAGCCTGCGATAGACCCGGCCATCGCACAGGGCCAGCCACAAACCGAAGCGAACAATCAGGGTGGCTTTGAGCAGGCTATCAAGGCGTGGTCACGCTTCCGCTTTGTCCGTGCAGGCTGGTTCACCGCCAGAGAAGGCATCGCATATTTGGACTACTTCTACAGGTACCTGTCGCCGCTAACACCCATTGTCGTGCCCAACTTCGAGAAGTATGAGTCCCATGGCATTCTGCTCACCGAGGAACCAATGCTCGTCGTCACCCTCCTGACCGTGGCCTCCCGCTACATGTCCTTGTCTGGCCCTGGCTCCAGCTCCCGCCCATATGCAATTCACGAAAAGCTATGGAGCTATCTGCAGGGCATGATAGACCGCATGATATGGGGTCAAGAACAGTTTGGCGGCGGATTCTGTGGTGCTGGTGCCCAACAAAGCTGTGACGTCAATCCACTGTCTCGAAAGGGTCTCCGCACTTTGGGAACCGTTGAGAGCTTAATGCTCCTCACCGAGTGGCACCCCCGCGCTTTGCACTTCCCTCCAGGAGACGATGACGACGAGCTCATGGCTCCTGATGAGGAGACGATGGCTAACATGGTCAACGGCTGTTTGTCCGAGGCGGTCAATGACCAATACAGAGGACTAGGCGGTCAGAGGATCGACAGCTGGCTGGAGCCTTGTTGGAGGAGCGACAGGATGTGTTGGATGCTGCTTGGAAATGCTCTAGCTTTGGCCTATGAGATCGGCGTCTTTGACGACAAGAGCGAGACCGACTTCCACGAGGAAAACAAGCACCTTCCGCCCACGAAAGTCGAGGCGTACTATCGACGGAAGAACCATCTTCGCGAACTCCTACTGATCTACATTACTCAAACCAGTGGTCGGGTCGGGCTTACCTCAATGCTTCCGCGATCGCAACGAGACAAGACATTCCTCAAGAGCCCTGATGACCGCTTGCAGGATCGATTCTCGATGCTCAAGAGAACCGGGAAAATCATCCGTGAGGAGGCTGGTAGTTCGCCGAGCACAGAGAGAAGGATTAACAGCCAGGAAATGGTCTTGTATTTCTGGATGGAGATTGCCGTCATCATGGAGAAGGGCAACCAGGACATGTTCTCCAACCGCCGCCGCACGCGAGAGCTGATCAGGACGCAAGAGTACAAGAAGCTCTTGGCCGAGTTTCAGCCAATTCTTCAAGATTTTCGCTTGCATTTGGATAGGTATAAGAGCATTAGTGAGTAAGGCGTTTCCGCAGTCTTCGTACGCGCTGCTGATAAGACAGTTCCCAAACTTATGCACGACGTCCTGGCGATCGAATACGAATACAGCAGAGTGTACATCAACTCCCTGGCCCTCCAAGCCGTGGTGGAGAGATGCGTCACAAATACACATGCTGCCGCCGCCGCCGCCAATGGGGCGAATGGGTTGGGCTCGTTGCCGACTGGCACGATTCCACCTCACATGCTTGTGCGATGGTACGGCGATGACCGCCACTTCATTCGGGAAGTCATTGATGGCTGTCGAAACGTGCTGCAAATCGTCACCAAGGGTCTGGAACCTGGCGGCTATTTGAAGCATGCCCCGGTACGGACGTTCTTTCGCATCATCTCTGTCACCATTATACTGCTCAAGACCTTTGCGCTCGGCGCCACAGAGGACGATGTTGCGCTTTCTCTTGGTCTGATGGAGGAAGCCGTCTCAGCATTGCGCAACTGCATCGTCGACGATGTGCACGTTGGCAATCGTTTCGCAGGCATGCTGATTACATTGATTACCCGTATCAAGTCCCGCTTTGTGCGCATGGCGGGATCAGGCTCCGGGAGAAACTCACTGCAAGCTAGCCGCGCCACAAGCCAAAGCCCAAGCCTGCCCACTGCAGGTATCACGTCCAACCAGCATAGCTACAACAATCCCATGATGCCACCTCCCCACGCTGGCGGCCAAGGATACAACCCCAACAGCAACAACGGTAACAATCCCCAGTGGCCCAACTACAGCTCTAGTGGCCTAAGTGGCCCCGCCAGCCCTGTCGCTTCCAACGGTCGTGCAACACCAAACTCCAACCACCCACTTTGGGGTATCAGCACTGAGACATATGATCCAGGATCGAACAACATTTCAATCATGCCGCCACCGACATTTGGCTCGCCTTACAACTCGCACAACCAACTGTCAAATAGCAATGGCGGGAGCGCGGATGGCAACAGCGGTAGCAACACTAACAACAGTCAGTTCCCTGGGTTTGGTAGCGACAATGGCGACTACGGCGGTTTCGGGAACGGCGGCGCCGACTGGTTGGCGCTTCCCCTGGACCCACTTCTGAACTCATATGGCGCAGACGTCAACAGCAATGCCTATGGACCAGATGTTGGAGGCTACGACTTATTGGACGTGCTATTGAACGGGGCAGAGAACATTGGTTGAGATCCCAGGAACATGGCACTGTCACGACGAGAATGAAACCAACCAAGAGGGTTGGGGTTTGATAACGACATGTACGACACGAGCTTGGCAGGATGATCGCATTCGTAGGATTTGGTATGAGCCTCAAAAGAAAATGGGATACTTTCACAGATGGCTTATTCGGTTTGAGCTTTATGGCTGGCTACTGTTTGTATTCAACAACTGATACCCCAGGGTGGCTTTACTCTTTTTCCTTAAAAGACTACCCTTGGATTGTTCGGAGGAACCCCTGCTTTTTGCTTTGGGTGTGTTCTTTCGCCGTTTCGTTATCTGGCTTGGTTCTTTTTTTTTTTCCCTTCTCCTTTATTCTTCACACGGCGGGCAAATTCACTTGGTGTAAGTTCTAAGAGATCAGTTGCACGTTATGCTTGCTAGAAGAGATCTCCTTCTGTTAAGCTCACTACGAATATTTCAATGAGATCACTGCGATATACCGTCTCGTGTGTGACTTTGCTAGCGTACCCGCCCAAGACGAAGAACTGAGAGCGCAGTGGCATGATCTCCACCCCCGACCAGGAAGAACAATACAAAAAGCATGTCTACGTCACAAATCATCCGATGAACAACAAATGCCTCATTGAAAGCAAAGGAATATTAGAGAACTGGAGCTGCGAAAAGCACCATCAGTCGACATATTCTCATGCGCCATGTTGCGGTTCTCTTTAGCTGGTTACTTTTCCATCTTTTACTTTTTCCTTGCAATTTCCTTTTCATGTATGTATGTACATACATACCATTGATGCAAATAATTAGCTCAGCGTTTTCCTGCTCATTGCTTTATCCGCAAAAAAGAAATTGGAATAACGTTAAGTGTTTTTTCTTCCTCGTTTATTAAATTACATGCAGCAAATACATATGACTTTTGCTTTTGCATCTATGCATGCTGCATAGATGTGGGTAGCCAACTGCAAGCCGATATCTTTTTTTTTCTGCTTTTTTTTTTGACACTCGCTGTTGAACTCGAACTGCAAAATCTTCCCTAGTACGCCATGCCGTCACGTTTTGTATCTTTCTGAGTGATGACTACCCTACGTAGGTCTGTTGAACAGAGCAAGGGCAATAGTAGACAACCCTTTAGGCAGTGTAGTGGGATAAGTTGCCGAAAAGAACAAAATATGATTGCGAGGTCAATTGATGGGTTTTCCAACCACAGGACTACAAGACTTGCCCGCTATACCTTAAGGTCCAACACAATCTACTTCCCGTACATGGCTTGATAGCTGCCCGACCTCAATAGTCACTGGGCTTGTCCGTGTGCCTACAGCGCCATCGACCGTCGAACCCAAACAAGACGTCTGACACGCCAACCCAATAACAGCGGTTAGTACGTACAGCCCTAACGAACGTCCAACTTAGCGTGTCCGCCCGCCAGCCGCCCTCGTCCTCATGGCTCTGGGCCCACCCCCGTCCGCAGCATGCGCAGCCCTCCCGACCGGCTCCACCGCCCTCGTACCGTCAGTAGCACCGCCGCCGCCGCCGCCGCCGCCGCCGCCGCCGCCGTCTCCCTCGGTTATTTTCCCGCCCAGCCGCCTGATCACCTCCACTCGTTCCGCTTCGTCAAAGTCGTTGCCCCACATGATTGCCTGGCTGGCCGCGTGTGCCTCGTCAGTCCAAGGCGGCGGGACGGCAACCGTCTCCTCGCCTTCAGCATCGGTCGAAGTTTTCCCGACGGCCGAGGAAGGGTTCTGTGCGGATAGCGAAGATGGCATAGACCCGTTAGACGTCGTGCTGGTGGCGCGACCGAGCTGGCGGCGGCGCTGCCGCCGGTTGGTGCGGGATACGCCGCCAGCGGCATTGTCGGAACCGGCGGATGCGGGGCGGGAGGGTTCCTTTTGCTTCTTTTGAGCTAGCAGTGCAGCAATGGTGTTGTTGAGCTCAGTGTTCGACCGGCTGCCGGCTTGTGGAGGAGCGGCAGCAAACGACGGCGTGATGGTTTTACGGCCGGTGAGGCTGTCGGAATGCTGCGACTGCTTTTGCTGATCTGCCGGTGATACGTCTGTGGGCCAAGGGCTTTGGAGTGCGTTAGCGTCCGAATGCGACAACTCCTGCAGATGTTTTGGCTGTGAGGCGGCGTCATCATCGGGATAGGGAGGCGCCGGATCGTCCGGGACAGCCGCTCTAGTGGTGCCGGCGCCTCCAGCCTCGTCCTCGCTTGCCGATTCGTACAACGGTAGAGCTGGTCTGCTCGTACGAGCTTGTTTCCGTGCACCAGGTTCCTTGATCTCTAGTTCCGAACGGCTTGTTTGTCGTTCCAAGCCGTGGCGATCTGGCGACGCGGGTTTTGATAGTGTGAGTTTATTGTGACGACTGTGCTCTCATTCTGCGTCAGCAACACTTCACGTATGGATGACGTATAAGCCGGGTGCAACACGGACAATTAGAGTTGACCATGAGAGACGCAATTGTGCCCTCAGAAGTGCATCTCCATCGTAGAGACGAACACCGTCGACCAAAATCAGCTTACCGTTCTTTGGTAGAGACGTCCGCGCTTGTTGCAGAGCTCTTTCGCGTCTGTGGCTGCTGCGGTGACTCCCTGAATATTTCGGAAGGCAGACGCACCGCATGCGCTTCAAATGGTTGCCGCTCGCCCGTGGAGATGCAACTCCACAGCCAGGACGGGGTTACAACGGGGATAGAACGCTCTAGACAATACTTGGCTTTAGGGTTCTGGGACGAATCAGAGTTGCAGATCAAGACCGACACGGTTTCTTTTAGCACTTCGTCATAAGTGGCACCTGGTCAGGATTGGGTCAGTGCACCTGACTGACAACAAGAAGAATGAGACTGACCAATCAGTTTGACAGCTTTCGATACATGCAGGCGGTCGTAATCAGCAAACGAAGTCGAGGATATAATCAGGTTTTCAAAGCCTACTAGACGTCAAAGATGGTCATGATGAAGTAGCAAACGGCTTACCTGGAATTGGAAGCTGGGGGAAAGGCTTGCAAATCACTTCTTTGGCAGGATCGACGATCTTCTTCTGATAAAGACATTTCTCCACCCACCACTCATTGACGCGCGTGAGGCCCTCGGCGATAATTGGCAGGTCCTCAAGCGCATCGCGAGCAATATCTGAAGGAGTAATCAAAAAGCCAGTCCCTAGTTCCGAGTCCTCGTATGAGCAGAGCTGTTCTGGCGTCACAACAAGCTGAGCTCCATTCTGATGAAGATGTTGCTGAAGAATCCCGGTCTGTATCCTGGTGAGCAACGTATCCTCAAGCCTGCTCGGCAGGGGGTTAACAAACCCTGACGCGGCCAAAGCCATGCACGAATACGATTCTGCCATCGAAACAGCCGCCTACGTTTCGCTGGTACCGAGGTGGCTGATCGTGTGCACCATCCGATTGATCCACTCTTGCGCTTCCGTGCATGTCGACTTTGTTCGTGGTAGGGATCACCTCATTACAGCCCACATTGTCGGTTGCAGATTCCTGCCAGGAATTGTCTTCTCGCTTCACACCAAAACTTCCACTTGTGATGTCGTTCCAGATAGCCGAGCTCTGACTTCCCAGCTTGGTGCTTGCGGTCCGCCTCAGTTTTCGCTTGCCCTCTCCCTCATCAGCAGCAGGTGTGCGTAAGCGCTTGCCTAGTGGCGTTGTTTCGGGCGGTAATTTTTTGAACGCGCCCTGTCCACGCATTTCTTTCGGCAGGAAAGGGTCGTAAAATGCTTCATCAAGGGTCATTCGACGTTCGATACTGTCTGTGAGCCACTCCAGCGAAACGGTCTTGAGACCCCACTGTCGAGCAAAGTCGAACTTCTTGCCCGAAGGGGCTGCCGCGATAAGGTGCGTGACGGCTCTTGTTAAATCGCCGTGGTACGCCCCGCCATGAGCGGTGACGGTCTCTTCGAGGTACTTTCGTTGTTGTACTGTCTACCGTCAGCACCTGTATCTCCATGATAATGAGGCTGCTCACAGTCCTCAAACCCGGTTATGCATATGCGCAGGCCATTGAAAGTAGGCACGCGATACTCCTCCTCCAGCTTTTCCACGTCTGTTTCCCCGCCTTGTAGCCAGGACTCTCGCACAGCTGCAATCCAGGCAGGTAAGACGACCTTGACATCGGGACGCTCCTTGGCAACATATTTGTACTTCTGGGTATCTATGTGACCGACGACAAGGTGGGTTACGTCGGAGGTAAGATCGTACTTATGGACGGCGCCCATGTCGGTTGCCCAATTTGCGAGTTCATTCTATCAAACGTTCAGGATGAGCGATTACGATTGGGAGGGCAGCATGGGATATGTCGTACTCTCTGTTCGAGGCCAATGGAGGTGCAGCAGAGGACGACACGCAGGAGGGGCGATTGCGCCCGAGCTAGCAACTATTAGCGACCGTGCGGCAGAGGAATAGCGCAAAAGCAAAGGAACAGCAGGAGCCTACCCTGATCTGCCTGGTCCGGCATGCTGGCGCCTGTGGGAGAGTTTCAGCGTTGGCGTTGCGGACGGGTTGGAGTCGGCTGCGACGCGACTCCAGCCCTGACGCGTTCGCGCCGCGGGCACGTGAGAATCTCTCACTGACCACCTGCACGCGCTGGCCGTTCGCCGCACCTCGCCGCTGCGGCACGTAACACGGCGCTGTCTTTTCCCGGACTGGCTGCAGCCAATCACGACCAGCACCGGCTCGCGTGCCATTATCAATGCGCGGCTCGGATTGGTCGTCATGCGGGCTGGGGAACCCCTCAGACTGCCTCTTTTGCGGAGAGCGGAGCAAAGGGCAGGCTGCCAAGCTTCCGCCATGGCAGCCAATGTCGTCAGGCGCAGGAGATCAGTCACGGTGGCTAACGTTCCCCACACCATGTGCTTTTTCATCCTTCGTCCCGAAACGAAGAAAGGGTCCACGGGCGACGTCAAGCCCACGCCGCGCTACAGAGGGTGGCGGCACAGCGGTCAGGGCCACAGGGCCTGACAATTTTCAGGGCGCGCAGAGAAAGGCGAGGCGGGTGTTGCGCGAGTCGGCGGTATACGATCCGATGCTCGTCATACGGGGCCTGGCACGCTGGGTCGAAATTTTTCATGCAGGCGGGCGTCGCGACACCTGCTCCTCTTGAAAAAGGCTTCCGATCGCCGGAGCTGCTTCGAGAGCCGTCTGCTGAGCACACATCTGGTTGGGTTAATAAGCGCAGATCCGGGCGTGTTTGGGATGGCGGAGGGCTGGGGGACAGCATCCATGGGGCCTGGCGCGCCAAAGATCGAGACAGGGGCCGCTGGTGCCTCGGCCGCACTCCGCACTTTACGCTGTCGCATCATGCTGCGTGACGTGGGCCACTATGGACGCCGGCCAGGCTGCTTGTCAGGATAGCCTGGGCTGGCGGCAGCGCAGCGCTTCCGTCGAGCCCTCCAGCTTTGGGCCGTAGCGTCGCCAGCGTGGCTCCGGCGCAGCACGCCTCATGGCGGAGCGTGTGCGTCCAAGACATGGCAGCGTCGTGGCCAGAATGCAGCACCCGGAAGGCTCGGATGGGCGGCCGCGGCACTGGCAGGCGCGCGTTGATCTTGTGGTGAGGTCACCGTCCTAGGCCGTTCTGGGCTGGGCGCAGTGCAAGAGGGAATCGTCGGTCTTATTAGGGAGCGCGCTGCCGGGGGATTGGCCATCAGAGCCCTCTCTCACATCTTGCGACAGTGCACTGGCACTACTGACGCCGCCCGCCCTCCACTCGCGATCTGCCGCCGACTTGCCTGTTCGGCACCGCAAAAGCTTCGCTACCCTGCGTCGTCACTATCCTGTTTCCCGCCGCCCGTCGCCCCAGTCATTTTAAGCAGGGAGCAGCGGTCCCAGTAGTGGTTTTTGCGTGGACCCGCGCATGACATTCCACGCCGAACCAGCAAACCCTTGACCGCCCGCGCAAAAGGCACTCTGAGCTCACCGGCATGCTGCATGCCTGTCTCCGTAGCACCGTTAGTCGTTTCCCATATCGTCTCCCCAGATCTGTAAGTTCTCATCAGCCCCAGCCCCAGCCCTCAGCCGCTGTCCTCCCACTCTTCCTTTGTCCGCTCTCGTCATCTCGCACCGCGTCGTGCCCGCTCTCACGCGTCGCCTGCGGCTCACCTGCGGCTCACCTCCGCCCACCCTCCTCTTATTTGCTCCGAAACCCACTGTCGTTGTCGTTTGCGTCCTTGTCCCTGCTGCCGCGCTCTTGCATGCCTGCACGCGCTGCCCTCGCGCACGATTGACGCTCACGCCAATCGCCATCATGACAGAGTATCTCCGAGTCCACACCGAACGCGGTCGCCTCAGCTATCTGCCCGACGAGCCTCAGCGCAGTAATCGCCACTCAGTGTGCACCTCGACTCCTTCGGCCTACCTCCAGACCCGAGGTCCCATCTTCAACCCTCGCAGCCGCCGGCCCCAACGCATCCACATTGCCCGCGTGCCTCCCGATTTCTCTGTCATCCGTCGCAAATCAAGGAGAAGCCGACCAGTGGTCATAGAAAAACTGGCAGGCCCACGAGAGAACGCAAAGCGTTTCCTGCGCTCCTTCATCGCCTCTCACGGCGACAAGGACAAGACCTCGCCCTCTCCCACCCGCGCCCCCAGCTTCGGCAGCGGAATCAACGAGCCCTCTTCGGCCGAGGGCCAACGCGCTGTGAGCTGTGATACCATGCGCACAATGCCTCATCCCGCCGTTGGTGGTCCAGTCAGCGGCATGGTTTCGAGACCGGTGCTTGCGGAAACCGTGCGTTCGGCGTCTGGCCGATCCATTGGCAGCAGAAAGAGCGTGGTGTCCTCCATCACCCAGACCATTCCCGATGACAAGCCCCTGGCCTCGGGCAACGGAATTAGCGTCGGGATCGCGTTAGCCGAGCCCGTCCTCTTCTTGCAAGGTTTTGAGCAAAACGAGCATTCGGAGAGAAGCACTGCCATGCTGCGCGGTAGCCTGCATTTGAGGGTCACGAAGAGTGCCAAGATCAAAGCGGTGACGCTCAAATTCAAAGGCAAGGCCACCACCAAATGGCCCGAAGGTACTTCCACTCCGCGCTGCAATTGACAGACCCGCGAGACTTACGCAAGGCAGGCATCCCCCCGAAGAAGACTGACTTTGAGGAGACGGATCACATCATGAGCCATACCTGGCCCTTCTTCAACGCTCAATTCCCCACCGCCGAACACGGCAGCTGCGCCGATCACGTGGAACTTCACGAGCGGAAAGAGAGCACTCTTCAAGTGCCCATAAGTGGCAAGGATGGAAAGCTATCCTTCGACTTCTCCCGTTCGCCCATGAACTCAAGTACGAACCTCAGCTCCAAGGACGCGAAGCGGCTCTCGTTGCAAGTCAATCAGTCCAGAAGTTTCGGAAAGGGAGAGTCATCATCTGGCGGCCCATCCGTAGCCCAAAAAGGTTACCGAACCTTCCAACCGGGCGACTACATCTACAACTTCGAACTGCCGCTCGACAGCCATTTGCCAGAGACCATTGACGTCGATCTCGGCTCTGTGAAGTATGAGCTCGAAGCGGTAATCGAACGGTCAGGTGCATTTAGAGCCAACCTTGTCGGGACCAAGGAAGTGGTTCTCATCAGAGCACCTTCAGAAGGCTCTCTCGAGCAAGTTGAACCTATTGCAATCAGCCGGAATTGGGAGGACCAGCTGCACTACGATATTGTCATTTCGGGCAAATCCTTTCCACTCGGGTCGCATGTACCGATTGCCTTCAAACTCACGCCGTTGGCGAAAGTGCAATGCCATCGGATCAAAGTGTTCGTTACGGAAAACGTCGAATACTATTGCAACAACAAGCGTGTGCATCGGATAGAACCTACACGAAAAGTCCAGCTCTTCGAAAAGCGAGCCGACGGCCCGGCAAACAGCACATATCCAGGAAGTACCATGAGAATCATTACCGGGGGAGGTGTACCATACGATCAGCGAGCCGCTGCCGCAAGGGGGGACATGGACAACATTAACCTGCAAGATTCTACAAATCTGCTCGGCAACCTCGACGGTGAGAGCAATATAGGACCGACTGAGATGGAATTCAACGTGCAACTGCCGAGTTGCCACAACCAGCGCGAGAAGGATCAGAAGCTGCACAAGCTGCACTTTGATACGACATATCAGAACATCCAGGTACACCACTGGATCAAGGTATGTTCATTTTTCACCGCAGCGCAAGACGAGCGGCTACTGACATGTGTCCCAGATCGTCATGCGCCTGTCGCGGCCCGATCAGAATGACCCAGCGAAAAGACGGCACTTTGAGATTTCCATCGATTCGCCATTCCACATTCTTTCGTGCAGAGCAACACAGGCAAACACGGCGCTGCCGGCGTACACATCCCCTGAGGCGGGGGAGAACATCCACACGATGCCGGAGTGCGGGTGTCCCGGGGCACCCGTTCGGCGCGGGTCGCCTGCATCATTCATCCCGACGATCAACGCGCTCAACAGCGCGCGCACGCACAACAGCGTGCCAGAAGTGCCTAGTCCCCAGCTGGCTCGACCGCAGCAGGCCCACATCGGTGGACCAACGGACCCACGTCTTTCACGACCCATTCACCTCCTGCGCCAGCCGTCGTTCAATCCGCCAGCGTTCGACGACGAGCAGCCGCCACCGCCTCTTCAGACCCCGCCGCCGCAATACGACAGCATTGCCAGCCCGACGTCGGGGCTTGCCGACTACTTCTCGCGATTGTCAGACGCGTACGACGAGGACAGCGACGGTGAAGGGGAAAACGCACGGACGCCGGGGCGGGTGGATGTGCCGCTGACGCCAGGCAGTCGAATCAACCGCAGCATGGACGAGCGGCGCACTTGGCTGCCGCTGGACAGGTAGCGTGCACAGAAAAGGGCGTTGTACAGCACGATTTACGATTTTCTTCACGACCAGTAGACGATTTTGGATACGACATAATTTGGTTGGGGTTCATGTTCGGAACGAGGGGCGGGGATTGTGCCTGGCTTAGAAGGGGGGGGCGAGAAGGAGCCGGACACAGCATGGTTCAGCCGGGTGCAGTTCCGTTGGTTATGTTCTCTGTGCTATATTTGCACGACTGCACAGCTGCATCTTGGGCGTTGGATTGTTTCTAGACGTAGTCATTTCCACGAAAACGAGGGCGAGCGCGGGGCGTTGAGCTGGCCTTATTAGTTTTGAATCTTCAACGCATGGCAGCCGGCGTGCTTGGCACAAGGTCCACACCGCATGGCGTCGGGCGGGAATAAGGTAGTTCCAAGAATATATGGCGTGATTGGCTGGCTACTGGCTACCTAGCAACGGTGGGAGCTCGCATGGGTTGCGGCCTTGGATATTGGGCCTCGGATTTTGGGCCTTCGCTTGCAGACGCGCTGCCCAGGACACGACGTCGAGCACCCCGCGCAGTGCGCATCAGATCCCGATATTAAGCAAGATGGGCGGTCATCTGGAAGAGGGATGCAGCGATCAGCACGCGCTTGCTCTTGTCGTCGGGGCACGAGGCATGGGTTCTGTGGCTTCTTATCTGAGGCGGTCTGCTGCGGTGGCAACAACCATGGTAGCCGTCGAGCGGTTGCGAGTCACCTACCTACCAGGCGCCAGGCTCGAGATGCGCAACAGCCGTCTCGGCGTTCGAACCGAGAGCGCCTGGTGGAGCACAGGTCCGGGGCACAGGTCCGGAGCATCGAAGCTGCGAGGCGAGCAAGGCAGTGTGGGCGGCGTGGGCGGCGTGGGCGTGCTCGGCAGGCGGGGGATGCGATTTGCTGCGGCGCTGCAGCCAAGGCTTCGCGGGCTCGGGCTAAGAGCTCCGCCAAGGTGGGCGCGGAGACAGCGGTGGAAGCGCGATGGCAGCGCGGCGAATACAAGTAGGCGACGCGGCCGGGCAGGTCCACGGTATCCCACGGTATCCCACGGTAGCGGTCGCGTATCTCACCAAGCCAGCTTACCTCTTCTTTGCTTCTTTGCTTCGCTTCGCTGGCAGCTTGGCGCGGTCGGCACCAGCAAAAGGGAATCAGAGCGCGCGGTGGTGTGCCGCTTGAACCGTGGAGGAGGCTCTGCACCCCGCGCACAGAACAGCAGGCGGCGGGGCGCGTCTCCGTCATCGCCCAGCGAGTAAGGCCGAGCGGTGGGCTCCTCCCACTGGCCGTTGCTGCGTCACCCGAAGCGGCAAATCCATGTAAGTACGGCTGGAGTCCCGATCCTAGTTAAACATTGCGCGCCCGCCTCGAACGCTGCGCTCTCGCCGCTGCTGCTCTCCTGCGTCTGCACGACGACCAGCCCCGACTCCATTCCCCGTCGTGCCGCGCCGCCGGGCTCTCGCAGACCACGCAGCCTCGCAGCCTCGCAGACCAAACGCTCGGAGCTGCCCGCGCCCCTCCAGCACATTCGCTGCCCTACAACACGCAGCGCCGATTCTACCAGCAACTTCGACCGCCGTCACCGCCGCGAGCGCCGTCGATACCTACTCCCTGCCACACCGCCCGCGCGGCTGAACGGAGCGGCGACTGGGCGCAACCAGTGGCTACATGCAGTCAACCCCGGCACACCAACCAAGACCGTCTGAAGGCGTCGACCATACGGCGCCCTCCGTTTTCGTTGGCACATAACCGACCGCCCAAACCCGCGCACCACCTATCGGACGCCAGTCGTTACCGCTACACAATTCGCTTGATAGGACAGACTAGCCCGGATCAGTCACCATGGCCTGGGAACATCTCTCCATCACCAAGCCGCACTTGGTGTACATCATCCTGGGCGGCTTCACCTCGCTGTTCATGCTCTGCTCCTCCGTGATCAAGGAGCGCCTGTACATTGGTGAAGCCACCGTCGCCACCATATGCGGCATCATCTTCGGGCCCCATGCCGCCAACCTGATCAATCCGCTGGAATGGGGCAACACCGATCTGATCACCCTGGAGTTCTCCCGCATCGTCCTGGTCGTCCAGTGCTTTGCCGTCGGCGTCGAATTGCCCAAGGCCTACATGGAGCGCCACTGGAGATCTGTCACCGCCCTGCTGATCCCCGTCATGACCTTCGGCTGGCTGATAACGAGCTTGTTCATCTGGGCTTTCATGCGTGACCAGCTCAACTGGCTGGACAGCCTTTGCGTTGCTGCCTGCGTCACCGCCACTGATCCCGTCCTGGCCTCTTCAGTCGTCGGCAAGGGAAAGTTTGCCAAGCGTGTGCCCAAGCATTTGCGTGATCTTCTGTCCGCCGAGTCGGGCTGCAACGATGGCATGGCATTCCCTTTCATTTACCTGGCCGTCTACATCATCCGTTACAGGCACCATCCCGATGAGGTGGCTCTCCACTGGTTTTGCTACACCGTCTTGTATGAGTGCATCTTCGGTGCCGTTTTCGGCGTCACAGTCGGATACATTGCCCGGCGCCTGATCAGATACTCTCATGAAAAGGATCTCATTGATCGCGAGAGTTTCTTGGTCTTCTATTTCGTTCTCGCGCTCTTTTGCGCTGGGTCCGGAAGCTTGCTCGGTATGGATGATTTGCTGATAGGCTTCGCCTGTGGCGTTGGCTTCAGTAACGACGGCTGGTTCTTGGAGAAGACAGAGGAAGCTCACGTATCCAACGTCATCGATCTGCTTATCAACTTGACATTCTTCGTTTACTTTGGAACCATCATCCCCTGGGAGCAGTTCAACTCGGACGTCATTGGAACCAGCCCCTGGAAGCTTGTCGTCATCGCAATCCTGGTCCTTCTATTCCGCCGGATCCCCATCATGATGCTCATGAAGCCTCTAATTCCAGACATAAAAACGTACCGAGAGGCGCTGTTTGCCGGTCACTTCGGACCCATCGGTGTCGGCGCTATTTTCGTCGCCATTCTTGCACGTGCCGAGATGGAGACGGAAGAGACGACGCCACTGGCCGTTCTACCAGAACCCGGATTTCCGCATATGAATATCATCGAGCTGATCTGGCCCATCACGTGTTTCCTGGTCATTTGCTCTATCATTGTCCACGGCTCCTCCATCGCTGTTTTCACGCTGGGCAAGCATATCAATACCTTGACGCTGACCTTGTCTTACACTCAAGCGAACGAGGACGGACCGAGCTGGATGGACCGTCTGCCTCGTATTCAGTCTCGTTCCAAGAGCTCCATGTCTTTGCGCCGACCTGGAGAAGCCGAGACGGACTCGTCCTGGGATGAGAAGGGGGAGAAGGGCGAATACGGATCCGAAGGCTTCCTCAGCGTACCCCGCGGTTTCCTCGGCAGGAAGAAGGACGATGATGCTCAGAGCCGATCATCCAGCCGTAGGCCAACCAGAAGGAGGAGAAGCATGGGTCCAGGTGGGCCTATCAGCCAGTCTGCAATCACTCCTGCGCGTCGCGAACACGATGCCGCCGATGCACCCTCCAACGGCCGTGAAGATTCGGACACTACTGCTCTGAACAGCGACGAGTCTCCAGAGATCGATAAGATCAGGTCCCCCGAACAGGAAGTCTACCAGGAGGGTGACAAGATGATCTTCGAGGATGAAGAGGGCAACGTGTTAGATGTACGCGATATCCCGGACAAGTCTGAAGCCGAAATCCAGCGAGAAGCCAAGAGAGATGGTCGCAAGCTCATGAAGGAGAAGGATGTAGAGGGTGGTGTTGCACAAACCGAACATGATGAGAGTGCTGATGGAGGCCACCATGCGGCTCATGAGATCAAGGATGCCGCTGAACATCCGAAAAAGCACTGGCGTGGAATGCTTCATCGTCGGCACACAGGCGCCGAGGGTGAAGAGACGCATCATAAGAAGAAGCGTGGGCCCGCACTGGCCTACCAGTTCGGCAACACCATTATCGTGGAGGACGAGGACGGTGAGGTCATCAAGAAGTACGACATCCCGCCAGACGCAGCGAGACAAGGCGAGAAGGCCCCTGTCAGCGACAAGACCCGCCAACGTCTGGCCCGCATGGGTACCTACCTTGGCATGTCTCATAATGAGGCGGAGGCCGCTGCCAGCCAGGCGGATGTCGCTGGCGAAAGCAGCAAGGCCGCCGCCAAGCCGCGCGAGGAAAAGAAAAAGAAGAGGATCCAGGAGGAGCAAAGCGATGACGAGCGCATCCGCTTCACCGTCAATGCCGGTGGCCGTCGCATGAGCAAGGCCGAGTTCATCCAGCAGATCCAGCAGATGGACCCCAAGGCGCGCACAAAGTTCGTCGAGAACAGCGACGTCCCCGAGCCCGTCAAGGAGGAGGCTCGCAATGACGCCAAGGACCATGCTCGCCTGCAACAGCAACAACAGAAGGCAGCCATCGAGAGCGCTCGCAAGGACCGCGCAAGCGACTCGGACGAGGAGGGCGAAATCCCCTTCCACAACATGCGCGACACGCTGGGAGGCCGCGAGACGGCAGCAGAAGCCCGCCGCCGTCAGATGGCGAGCACTCCCTCCGCGTCGAACAACAACAACAACAACAACAACAACAACAAGGGCGGCGGCGGCGCATCGTCCTCGCTCTCGCCGGGCGCGTCGCCGGGGGGCGCCAGCCCGCTCAGCCGGCCCAGCACCGACGGCTCGACGTCGTCCAGCCACCGGGGGGGCGTCGCCGGCGTCAAGGCGGGGGCGGCGGCCGCCGGCGCCGCCGCCGGCCGCACCGAGACGGGCGAGAAGTCGCGCGCGCAGCCGACGCACCTGGACGAGGGCGAGACGGCGGCGGAGCGGCGCCGGCGCGAGGGCGCGCTCGGCCTGGGCGGCGCCGACGACGACTCGACGGACAGCGAGAGCGAGGAGGAGGACGGCAAGGGCATCCGCCGCAACATGCCCGTCGAGAAGAAGGCCGAGCGCGAAAAGCAAAAGGCCGTGGCCGCCGCCCAAGCCGCCGCCGTCGCCGAGGTCGCAGAGGTCGACGAGGAGGAAGTCGCGGCCAAGGAGCAGGAACAGCTGCGGCTGCAGCGGCAGATGGAGCTGGAGCTGGAGCTGGAGCTGGAGCAGAAGCTCGAGTTGGAGCGAGAGCAAGAGCGAGAGCGACAGCAAGAGCAAGAGCAAGAACAAGAGCAAGACTCGGAAGAGCCGGAACAGCAACAGCAGCAGAAGGCTCCTGGCATCAGATTCGCGGAACCGACCCGCCCGACGTTGCAAGAGGACGGCGGCGAACAGGGTGCAGGCAGTGGCGAAGGCGACGCCGGAGAGAGTGGAAACGGCGGTAAAGGGCACCACAAGAGGAGCTCGAGCGGGTTGAGGTGGTTCAAGAAGTAAGAGAAGGGGGCGGGGAGGATAAAAAAAAATAGCGAAACGGGTAATACGACTGGTACGAAGATTGAGGATTCTGTGGGAAAACGATGGGAAACCTGATCGACTGGGGATGATGGTTTTGACGACGATGACGAGGGGTCCGGCTGGGAAGGAAACTTTTCAAACGCTTCTTGTATCCTAATTTTTTTTCCGTCACTCACCTTTTTTTTTCCTGTATGGTTTACTATTGCTATGGTTCGTATGAGAACCGTATATGTAATGCGCAAGCTTTATTTCACACTCGGGTATCATGGGGAAGAATGGACACGTTTTCGATGGGACAGTCAGTAGGAAAGGAAGGGGAGAGCAATCAGGAACGAGGGAGGGCGGCGGTGGTGGTTGGTGGGGATCGAAAAGATCATCATCGATAATGGATTCGTCAAAAAAAATAGAAATTGAAAGAGTTGCGAAGTTTTAGATTTCTGGTTCGCATATAGAAGATAGATTTCGATTTCGATGATATACAATGCTTTAGCCCATCAGGTCATCTGCACTATGAGTGATGTTGTATTATGACTTAATGACGGAAGATGCGCAGAGGTCTGCCCATAGCTGACCTTGTGGGAAAGGGCTAGTGTTCTGGCATATCCCAGAGTAGGTAAGTGTTCAAAGCGAAGTCCCCGATGCTCGATTCGTCCACTCCCATAGCAGGAAGAATACAGACGGACAATCTTCAAGAAGGCATACGGATTAATAACAGAGCGGGGCAGTTTTCAATTGCTAATTGAGCTTCCAGGCCAGCTATTCGATCCTATTTGCTCAAGGCATCTCTTCCCTACTACAGCATTCCCGAATTTCTGCTGACATGCCATGTTGATACTTACGAGGGCGCTTTGGGTGTCCAATTCTGGTACGCAGTCTTCCACCCCCCTCCATGTTCCTATCCCGTTGTCGACGATTTTCTCGACGACCGCCGCTATGCATCACCCTGCTTCGCGATGATAGTCCTGTTCAGGTTGATCTTCTCTAAGATGGCGGCGGCGCCCTTCTCGACCAGCGCCGCGGCGACGGTCCTACCAAACTCGTCGGCGGCTTCCCTGGTGTCGATCTTGGCCGTCAGTTCGACCTCCGCGGCCTCGGTGCCGTCGAGGCTGGCGACGATGGCGCGCATGACGAGGTCGTCCCCGTCGTCGGCGACCCACTCGGTCTCGACGCCGATGGGCACGCTGCAGCCGCCCTCGAGGGTGCGCATGAGGCTGCGCTCGGCGAGGCAGGCGCGGGCGGTGCGCTCGCAGCCGACGCGCGCGAGCAGGTCTATGGTCCTGGAGTCGTCGGTGCGCACCTCGATGGTCAGCGCGCCCTGGCCCACGGCGTACAGCATGCCGCCCTCCTTCTTGCTCAGCAGCGCCGTGATGCGGTCGTCGAGGCCCAGCCGCTTCAGGCCCGCCGCCGCCAGGATCAGCGCCGTGTACTGCACCTCGTTCGGGTCGGTGCTGTCGAGCTTGGCCAGCCGCGTGCCGACGTTGCCGCGCACGTCGGCGAAGCGCAGGTGCGGGTACAGCCGCTTCAGCTGCGCTGACCGCCGCACCGACGACGTGCCAATCACGGAGCCGGCCGGCAGCGAGCCGACGCTCGCGTACTTGGAGGCCGTCGCCGGGTCGGCCGCCAGCGAGGCCTTGAGGACGAAGGCGTCGCGCGGGTCCTCGCGCGGGAGGATGGCGCCAAGGGACATGCCGGGCGGTAGCTGGGTGGGCATGTCTACGTACGGTCAGTGTCAGCTATGTGCGATTGGAGAGCCCCATGGCTTTCTCATCCCCGCCCGATGTCCTTGAAGAGAACAAAGAAAACCACGGGGGACGAGCAGAGTCTCAAGAGATTCCAGATGGAGCAAGCCCGCGTGCTCTGGGGGCGATAAAAGAGAAAACCAGTATAGCCCACCTTTTAAGCAATGCACAATCATATCCAGCTCCCCCTTCGCCAGCAGCGCCTCCAGCTCGTGTGTCCACAGGGCTTTGGCCCCGAAATTGTGCAGCGCCGTCGTCTGGTTCTTGTCGCCCATGGTCGCCATGGCATGGATGGCGTACTTCCTGTCCGGCCACGCCTCCTTCAGCATCGCCTCCACAAGGTCCGTTTGCACCCGCGCCAGCGCGGATCGCCGCGTACCGATGTTAACCACGGGGAGCTCTGAGGCGGCGGAGGACGAGGTTTGGGCGGCCGGCGCCGTTGCCGTGGCCAGTTCGGTGCCTTCGGTGGCCATTGTCGAGCGTAGGGTTTACCAAAAACTGCAGGGCCTGCGGAAAAGGAAATTGGAGTTGGCAGGAGGCGGCACGAAGGCGTTTTGGTAGCGGTTGAAGTGGTTGCGGGCAAGCTTACGTGTGAAAGGTTGCAGTGGGCAAGGTGGGATGCGCAGTTCGGATTGACCGCGGGGCACGGCTGTTCTTCGCCGCATCGCAGCGTCGGCCTTCCCGAAACAGCAGGTCCACCCTCCGAGTATCCGACATCGCATGTTTTATATCCCATGAACACGACTACGTTGTGCAGAACATGGCGCCTTGAAAGTTTTCATTTGAGCCGTGCCGCGACGTATATGCCGCTTAAGTGCCTCGCGCAGCCCCTTAGCTAAGCACGTGATTGCTATCCTTGATGACCACCCTTTTTTTCCCCTTCTCGCGACTAACCCATTTCCTCCTCTCAGTGCTGCTTGACTTCATGTCTGGTAGAACCTCCTGTTGCTGCGTGTTCTGACGGCGGAGTTCAGTCAAGCAATTACGTCGATGGCCCTGATACCTTCCCCTTTGGTTTATGTATTATGCATCCCGCGCTTTGTTGCTTTGAGCGTGCTCAGCGAGTTCATAACCGCCTTGATTTCAGCAACTCGATCCACTATTCATCATGCGATCATTCCGCATACCCGGGAACACAGCTCCTCAGCGTCTAGGTGCAAGCCACTTGTTCACCTCGTCCCAAGCTGCGCCATCTCTCACCAGGCCGGCATCACTCGCCTTCTTGATACCGGCGTACACGGCATCCCAAAGCTTGAAGGCAATGTCGAGATCGCCGATGAAATCAATGCTCTCAGGGAACCAATCACGCGCCGCGCGAGTCTTGGTGCTGGCCTTCGCTTCAGGAGTCGTCGGGTCGGGCTGGATGTGAAGTTCGTCGAGGTAGGACTTAACCGCAATGCCCATGGCGCAGTCGTTGGGAATGCCAAACGGCAGCTTGATTCCGAGGTCGATGTAGTCGCTGCGATCACGCTCGGCATCTCCGTTGAGAAGAAGCGTCGTAAGACTGACCTCAGCGAGATCACGAAGGCTGCTGCGTACCGAAGAGATGACCGAGTGGTAGCCAAGCAAGTGCCTGCTCAGTGGGCCGGTGAAGCCGATTGGCCTGTGGCGGAGCCTACCCAAACAGGCGACTCGAGACACGAGGAGGTTGTTGCGCTTGTCGGTCTCGGAGCCACGGATGGGCGGGCCGCCGTACGAAGGGAACATGTTTTTGGAGGTGAGGATGTTGAGGCGGGTGAGCTCCATGGCGATGAAGACAGCCTCTTCCAGCTCCGAGCGCCCATTGAGCGCCGTAATGGCCGCGTTGAGAGCCTCACCCCACGGCGTGAGGTTGTGCTTAGAGTCAATGAATTCACGCAGCTGCAGGAATCGCCAGACGGAGTTGTAAATCAGCTCGTCACTGGCGCTCAAAAGCTTCGACGTGTCCCTCTTGATCAGTGTCTTCGCAGCAAAATCGGCATCCTTCAGAGATTGGATCGCGAAGCCAATCGTCTCCGCTCCTTCCAACGACTTGACCTTCTCTTGGATCAGCGCAGCCTTCACATTCCAATTAGCAAGGATGGGACGGAAATCCGACATATCCCTCAGAGAGATGGTCTTAGCATTGTTGCGGTCGAACCATGTGTAGAGCGAGACGTGCTTGTGCTGGTAGAAGCGATGCAGCGACGACGAGAGGAGGGAGATGGCAGTGTTGCGAAGGGGAACAAGCTGGTCGCGCACGAGCTCACGATACTCTAGGGATTCACCGCCGTCCAGCGGGGCAATCTCAATAATCTCCGCGGACGTGCGTGCAGTGAGAACCCTCGAGCCAATGGCACCCCTGGAGAGGTAGAAGTAAACTTCATCGGGAAGACGCTGGCTCATGAATTCGTGGACATCGCTAGGTGCGCGGTCATTGTTGAGGACTTCGACCTTTCCATCGAGGGTGATGATGATATGGTGCTGAATGGACATCTTGGCCCGCATAAACTTGTCGGTGTAGTTCATAGAGCGGAGCTTCGGGTCATCCTGGTAGTTCTGGCAGACGGACATGCCGGTGCGACCTAGCGACATCATCATCTCGACGGCGCTCCTAATCTTGGGCTTGTTCCTGCGAGTTTCGAGCATGGGCAGGGGAGGCAGTAGCTCAGAGCCTGCCAACAGGCACGCGTCGATGAACTGGTCGGGCCCCAGGTTGCCCAGGTCGCTCATGCATTGCCGCCTGCCCATCCATGTAAACTCGCCGCGCTCCCAGTCCCACGCCGTGATCACCCTCTCGATATCAAAGAAGAGCAGCTCGGACGGACCAGCAATGGCTTGCCAGAGGTGCTTTGCGCTCTTCTCGAGGTATGCAAGCTACAGCACAGTCAGCTGATGGTTCATGTCCCGCCAATTGGTGCACATACCTGGGCCCACGCGGTGTAGGGCGCGACGATGAACTCGGCGCCAGCTTCGTTCAAGAGAAACTGGAAGTTGCGCAGGTAGTCATCGGTCCTGGTTGAAGCTATAGCACAAAACCCATGTCAGAATGCGTCTCTTGCGGCAGGGACATAGGACAACATACGAGCCTCCCCAAATGTCTGCACTGCGCGTTCGGCCTCACTCTGGTTGTAGAGCTCCCAAGCTTCGGCGGTGACGCGCGAGGCGTCGTCTGAGGTGCGGAATGATCTGTCGCGCTGGCCAAATTCCAGACCGTTGAAGACGAAGAGCGGCGTGATGTTGTGGTTCTTCCAGCGCTGCAGGTCGTCGAGCACAAGGCGCTTCATCGAGAATGGCAGACCGCCCAGGGCGGGGAGCAGCGGCTCCTTCCATTGCGGGTCGTTGAGCAGACGGGTGAGGTGGTCGGCGGCATCGATAGCGACAGAACAGCCGGAGAGCTCCTCTAGCTTGGAGTGCTCGGCCAGGTTGGCGGCCCAATCGTCCTGGGTAGAGATCATGGTGTGAGGCTAGGCAGTCCGGGGGAGGACAGGGCGACTGGCAATTAAAGACGGGGCAACTTGAAGGAGAGGATGCGCAGAGGGAGGACGCACTCCGCCGAGGGCAACGGGGCGGATGAGCAGCGGGGTGGTGGAGGGCGGCGCCTTGAGGCTGCTGCTTGGGGGTGGTTGTCGAGGAGCTGGCGCAAGCTGCGTGGTCAGTGTCGCACCGCCGAGTTGACGCCCGCAACCGCCAGCGCGCGCTACTTGGTAGGGACCGCCCGCCCGCGCAAACATGGCCCCTGCGCTCAGCCCTATGACCGCCGCCGCTCTCAACACCACGCATCCACCCCGCTTCGCCATGTCGTCAACCCCCGCCCTGATCCCCGTCATTGACGTCGCGTCGCCCACGGCCGAGGTCGCCAGTCAGCTGCTCGATGCCGCGTCCACTCACGGCTTTGTCTTCGTGAGCAACTACGGCGCGATCCTGCCGCCCGAGCATGTCCGATCTCTCTTCGAATTGGTAGCCCAGAAATCCACATCATTTCCAGGCCGCGATCTGACGTCTAAAGTCTCGTAATTTCTTCAAGTCGCCCCGCGAGGTGAAGGCAGAATGCTCCTACCAGAAAGGCAAGAACCAAGGTTGGGTTGGCATGCACACCGAGACTCTGGACCCCAAGAGCCAAAAGGTAGCTACTCCCACCAGCAGAGCCAGATGAGCTATTCACACTTCGTTCTGACTTGTGGGGGTCCGTCTGCCCGCAAGTGACTTTGACTTGTCCTAACAATCTTGCAGCGCGGTGATTTCAAAGAGTGCGTCTCGCTTCCCCCAAACTCTCCCTGAGCCAGCTCTTATCCAGCTATCAGAGCCTTCAACATCGGTGAATACACACTCTCGAACCAGGCCCCACAACCGCTCCCTGCGCCCCTGGCGCCCCACGAATCTCAACTTGGTGACTTTCAAGCGCGGTGCCACGCCCTTTGCAACCACCTGCTCCGCCTCTTCGGCCTCGCTCTACGCATTCCAGCGTCTGACGGCGGCGACTCCTGGTTCGCGACGCGGCACGATCGGTCTGCAGGCCCGTCCGGCTCGATCCTCCGCCTGCTGTACTATCCGGCGCTGCCACCCATCGACAGCACAGACATCCGTGCCGGCGCCCACTCCGATTACGGCAGCGTCACGCTACTGTTCCAGCAGCCGCGGGGCCAGCCCGGACTCGAGATCCTGACGCGCGACGGAGCGTGGGCACCTGTTCCTGTGAACCCGACCGGTGACGATGCGCAGCCGCCCGTGCTCGTGAACATCGGGGACCTGCTAAGCTACTGGACGGACGGGCTGCTGAAGAGCACAGTGCACCGGGTTGTGTTTCCGCCGCCGGAGGCCCACGAGGTGGGAGAAGACAGGTACAGCATCGCGTACTTCTGCCACCCGGTGGATGATGCCAAGCTGGTCCCAGTGCCGAGCGACGTGGTGAAGGAGCAGGGTGGGAAGGAGGGGGCAGGAGAAAGGACTACGGTGCTCACGGCCAAGGATCACCTGTTGGAGCGGTTGGCCGCGACGTATTGACTCTAGTAAGGCTTAGTTGCCCAACATCATCATGTCATCAATTTTGGGGGGAGGAGCGTGTTCACTCCGCCCGGGGCCGACATTCTCGGTTGCGTGCATTCTGAGCGGTGGCTGCCTTTCCTTGTGTATGGCGGCCGTTCCCCTCCCGGTGGTCCACAGCCCTCATTCGCTGATAGCTCGGTTTTCCAAGATGCTCCGAGACCGAGAGTTCTCATTCGCCGTAGCACTTGAGTGCCGCTGCCGAATGAGGATTGCCGCATCCTATGCCGTCTCGGCATGCTGCCGGTTAATGTGCACCACCCAACAGCAGCGTGACAGCCGGTAAGAACCGGTCCGGATTGAAGCGGGCCCAAGCCTCCAAATAGCCTGCACAGACAAATCTCACGAGATCATGAGAGGATAATCGCCCATTTCATCAGGGGAATACTTAACCCTCCAGATGCCTGTCGCTGAGCCGCTGAGCCCCGACCGTCTCCCTTACCCTGCTCCGTTTACCTCGGAGTTCCGTCCCTTCATACCGACAACCCTTCACGCTCGCACTTGAATAGGCTACGCTGCAAGACGCTCCTCTGAGACTGTGTCTGACCTACAAAGCTTACAATTCAAACAGGTAAGAGAGCGACATGACACGAGTCACGTTAACTTCACATGAAGGCCCACACGTATGCAGCCGGAAGCGTATGCGAACGCATCAGCCGCCATCTTGATAACGTCCAACCATCGTTTCGACTCAGGCGTAACAAAAGCTGTACGACCTACATCATCGACCCTGGCCAACCGTGGCTTCCGAGCTTGCGTTTACGTACCACTCGTACCACTACTGTCGTGACAATTCCAATACTATACCTCCCGACTTTCAATCTGCCATACGACCTGACCGAGTTGCTGGAACACCTGCAGAGCCGGATGCGTCAGAGGCCTTCCTGTGACAACACGTCAGCAGCTTGTCACCTCACGCTCGATCAGACCATCGACGTTGTACAAACTTCCGGACCTCGGTGTCGAGTTGTAATGCTTGGCATAGCAACCCACATTCATCTCTCCAGTGTATGGACTAGACTATGTTCGTACCCGAACGAAGGACCTGCAAATACCGACTCGACGAAGTAAAATCCAGGGAGTTGGAAACTCCGATGGCGAGCGGGGATAAATTTATGCTTTGCAGTAGTTGCTGACGATTCGGCAAGCTACTCCACTGACTAGGCCTTTTCATTCTTGCATGGGCTGGAATATGGATCGTCGCAGGATTGTCCGTGGACATGGCTCCAAGTGCTCCTTTGATACGGCGTCCATGACGAACGGTCAAGGATCGGGTACGTTGGGCAGCTAACAGTGCGGCAGGAGTTGAGAACTGCATTTTTCCAGGGCCGAACACGGAGAAATTATTTTTTTGGCAACTTCCTAGATTCATAGGAGATTAGAAAGGTCGAGACAACTCACAGGGCCCAGGCTGAGAGCATCATCATCACGCACCCGACAGTTGCCGATCTCCGCGAAGAGCACGATCACGACTCTGGCGCTCGGTCCTCAAAGGAGACGAAAACCAACCGGCGAAAGCATCCGCTGAAAGGGGAATCCTCTGGATCTTCGTCATCCGCTCGTTTAGCTCGATAAGGAACGGGCGATCTCCCGGGCGTTCACTGTTCTCCACAACCCCTGCTTGGGCTCATTCTGGCGACAACGGCGCCGAGCGGGATCTTGTGCCTGAGTGCACAAGCACATGCTTGTGTGTTCTTGTCATGGTCGCGTTGACTCAGAGGATGAACAACAAATCCCTGCTTGCGGGCCCGGTCATCTCGCTTCATCCTGGTTTCTGCTGCAGCGCTCAAAGCGACAGCTGCTCCGCTCCCCTCCCCCCAAAAATAAAGAGAAAAAGAGGGGAGAAAACAGCGCATAGGCAAGGTGAGAGTGAGGGAAAAAGCAAATGTCTCACCCAATGGCACTGGCGCGTTAAAAGCGGTGATTTGGCGAATCACTGGCCAAGCTGATATCTGTGAGCGGTAAGTAGGCATGCAAGGCCAATGTAGGAGGAGCCAACAATTTCGCGGCGATTCGTGGGCGGAGGACAGAGGCGCATCCGCTCGAGCCCTGACACGTATTGTCGGTGAAGTCTCGCAAACTCGGGCTCGTATCTCGACAGCTCGTTGTGTTGGACTGGCCTCAGACGTGGCGCGGCCAGAATAAGTTTTGCAGGCATGGGCAGAGCCGGTCAGCCGAGGATTGTGGCACAGTGCGGCGACAACAGGAACGCCCAGGGGATCGACGAAGGGCGTGGCCTAGACGCGGGCCGGCGAACGGGCGCTAGAACAAGGCACGAGGGCTTCTGGGACGAAAGTCGGGCGGGCTCGGTGCTGACAAGGCTTCGAAGGGGGCTCTGCTCTGCGCAGGGGGATGGGTTGATCGAATGAGGCAGCATCACTCCACCGACTACAGATGCGACACGACGGCTGGGGCTGGGGCGGCGCGCGATTGGCCGGGGAGGCGCGATACAGCTGAGGGCGGCCCGTGCGGGCAGAGGATCACCCTACTTTCTGGCGGCCCCGAGACGCGCCCGACGACTCCCGATTCCTCCCGTTGGTACACCTTACGCACACCTGCGTCGCACATCCCGATCTCACGCTTCTGTGTCTCTGCCAAAAAACCACTCACGCGATAAGCCAACAGCCTCCGAACACGCCACGGCCGTGCGAGATGCATGCGAGACGGCCCGCAGCCCTTGCTTGCTCCTATTATCGGCCGCCTTAGCACCACCGCAAGCCACCATGTCCTACATATATACGCCCGCCCAATGCGGACACTGCTACTTCTGCTCATCAGCAAACAACATCATCACTGCACACCAGTCAATCAATTGGCAATCAATCAAGCAAGCACTCAACCTTGGGTCTGAAAACCAACACCATCCATCATGGCCACCACCACCACCACCATCTCGGCCAATCAACAACAGCCGACCACCATGACTCTTCGCGGCGCATCACCACCACCACCAGCAATGCCCGAACAGCAGCAACAAACCTCGTCTTTCCTCCGCCTGCCGGGCGAGCTCCGCAACGAAATCTACGAGATGCTCCTCACGCCGCCCGACCTGACCGAGCAGCAACGCCGCGCCGCCAGCTACCACTCGTCGTCGTGCCGCAACCTGCCCAAGGCCGACATCCACCCGGCCATCCTCGGCACCTGCAAGCAGATCCACGACGAGGCGACGCGCATCCTGTACGCGCGCAACACCTTCTCGGCGCACAGCAGCCTCCTCACCAAGATGCCCTTCCTCATCGAGCCCAGCCGGCCCGTCCTCCGCAACTCGGTCAGCTCGCAGATCCGCAACTGGCGCATCAGCATCCGCCTCGACACGGACCCCTTCTTCACCGCCCAGGACGTCGCCGCCGCCTTCTCCGGCGCCGACTCGCTCGAGGTCGACTGCTGGCAGGCCCAGTTCGAGGCCTGCGACTACAGCGTCCTGCGCCTCTTCGAGGACGTCCGCGGCGTCGGCCGCGTCAAGGTCACCGGCAGCGTCGAGCCCGGCTTCGCCCACTGGCTCGAGCTCGTCATGGAGAGCCCAATCGAGACCGACGAGGAGATGATGAGCGGCAGCTCCACCCCCGCCTACGTCGAGATGGAGGGCGAGGACGGCAGGAGGGCCGCCAGAGGCCCCGGCGGCTTGCCGCTCTGGGTGTTCCACTAGAGAGAGAGAAAGAAGGAGAGTGCATGGAGAGGAGAGAGCGGAAACGGACGCGACTCTTTTGGCGATTCCTAGAGCAAGACGGTTGATTTTCCTTCGACGCGAGATACCACGGACTTTGGCGTACTGGCTTTAATTATTTTCGGAAGCATGAAAAGGGAAAAACGGCGTTCTATCATCAGGAAAGGGAATCCGAATGGGAATACTCATTGAGCGAGCTCTGGTAGAGAAAGATAATTATAGACGAGCCGCAAAGAAATCAACATTTCTTCTGATCAGTTTTGAACCATCTCCAGTGATCCACTGACGCCTCAACCGGGCTGAGCTAGCATCCAGTGTGAAAGCAGCAGTGGTCTTACAACAGTCGCTCGGTTAGACAGACTAGTTCGCACGGTTCGGAAAGGGATATTTGAGACTGGGTCGCGCCAAAAACATAATTCGAACTTCTTTTGATTGGAATGAGCTACCGTATATGGTAGCTGCTATATCTGGGTCGGACAGCCGTTCTTTCCATCTGATCGATACAGAAATGGCCCGCCACCAACTTTTTTTTCGTTCGCTGATTGTCGAAGCCCGAGTAGCAACTATACACAAAAGAAGCCCGTTACCCGACCATCTAACGCCGCGTGCGCCGTATCATTCCCATGATTTGTTGTGAGCAGCAGGGAGATCCTCGTTCATTCTCCACCCAACGCATTGTGGCCGACAAAGCGGCACAAATATGACAACGCTGCGCTGCATTTCAGCCCATCTGACCTCCCCCACGAAGACGCGAAGCAAACCCCACACAGCTGCTTCAGAGAGCCTGCCCGGTTCAACGCCTCACGCCCTTGGAGGCCTTGAGCACGGCCTTGACGGCGCCATCGTACGCTTCCTTGTACTCGGCCTCGTCGCCAGGCTTCTCGTCGGCAGCGCCCTTCTTGGAGCCGCGGTCCTTGCAAATCATGACCACGGAGGTGGGGCGCTTGGTGTTGCCGGCGGCGCCGAGCTCGGCGCGCGAGGTGACGAAGATGTAGGGGATGTTGTGCTCCTCGCAGAGGACGGGGATGTGCGAGATGACGTCCATTGGGCTGATGTCGGCGGCAATGACGACGACGGCGGACGGGTCCTCGATCAGCGACGAGGCGGGCGCGTTAGTCGGCGACTTGCGCACCGCCTTGACAACCTCCTTGACGCCACGCTTGAGAGTCTTGTGCTTGGCGGCTGTGTGTGCGCGAGAGCGAGTTAGCGGTGGGTTTTCTGCAAGGACGTGTGCGACGTGTTTGCGCTCCAATGGCGCAGCACACGAGCGGACATACCCTTCTTCACGGTCTTGAAGACCTTCTTGGTGGTCTTGTCGTCGGCCAGCGGCACGGCGAAGGGAACCAGGTTGGCGGCGTTGACGAGCGGGCTGATGGCGTCGTCATCGCTCTCGTCGACGGCGGCGGACCTGATGGCGACGGTGGTCTTGACGTCGGCGCCGGAGCTGGCGTCGCTCACGCTGGCGAGCAGGGCGTCGGCGACGTGCTCGGACTTCTTTTCCTTCTTGTCCTTCTTGCTCTTCTTGACGCCGCCGGACTCGGAGCGCTTCTCCTTCTTCTCCTTCTTGTCCTTGACCTTGTCCTTGGCCATTGTGCTGCGACTGGCTGTCCGGCTGAGAGCGGTGAGAAAAAGGGAGGGGCGGCGGAGGAGGTGGTGGTTGTGGTGGAGCTGGTTGCAAAGGGCCGTCGCGGTCGTGAAGCTTCGGTGCGGGCTCCAAAAATTTCGAGCAACTTTGCGGTGGTTCCGACGTTCTGCCGCCAAAGTCTCTCTCCACCTCACCGCCCGCCAGCCACCACTCTTCTGCCATCCAGCCATGCTCGTCAACGAGTACGGGCCTGCTACACGGACTCGGTCGCCGCATCTACATGCACATACTCCGAATGAGTATTTATCATTACAGCGACCATTAATCTATCTTCGGATTTGCCCTCCCCACTGTTTCCTCGATCTCAACCAGCTCGCGTGCCTCCACCAGCTTCTTGTCCGCCGCAGAGACCATGCTGAATCTGAGTACCACCAGGGAGCTTTATCATCATACAGCCGGAGGACCAGAACAATCGCAACTAGTGTGATGACGCTCACCACACAAGACACGAGCTCGAGGGCCCACCTATGAATTTATAAATCCCACCCTGTGGATTATCGCCGTTCTTCTCTCCCTTCCCTAAATCCGACTCTGTTGATATCTCTGGCCAGCCGGGTGATTCTCGCTCTACTGACGGTTCGGCGAGGGGATTTGCACTTGAGCTAAAATTCTAGAGAGCAAAGTATGACCCAGAATCTTCTTGCGAATCTCGATGGCGCATAAAATGTAACCTAGTTTACCATCAAGTAACAGGAAGAAGAAAGGACTTGGTGTTGTGATAATGACTGGCTCCGAACGGCAAGTGGACTGAGTGCTCACCGTTGAATGCAATCCCCGGTCGCGGCCAGACGAAAAGTCGAGGAGGGTGTCAGCGAGAGGGACGCGCTTTGGTGCCTTTAAAGGGTGAGGCTGAAGTGATTCCAACAAGTGATAATAATTTTATTCCAAGGCAATAAATAGTTCGCAGAAGGCCGTCCAAGTATTCACATCCTGAGACAACCAATATCCTGGCATACTCCTCCCATATTCGTACCCTACACACAATCGACACGAGTATACCCGTACTGGATCCTCCGACCATAGTTCGACACTTTAGCTCAACAACTCTCGGATATCTTCAATCCTCTGCACCTTCTTCTCTTCGTCGCTCATCATGCCCAAGCTGCTCGCGATGAACTTCTTCCTCTCCTGGATCTTCAGCATCTTCTCCTCGATACTGCCCCGAACCACGAACCGCTTGACGACCACCTCACTGAGCTGGCCCATGCGGTGGACGCGATCGATGGCTTGCGCCTCGACCGCGAAGCTCCACCACGGGTCCATCATGAAGACGTGACTCGCCGCCGTGAGGTTCAGGCCCACGCCGCCGGCGCGCAGCGACAGCAAGAGCACCAGGCCCTTGGGTCGGCTGGTGAAGTCCTGAAGCACGGCCGCACGCGCCTTCTGCGTCATGCTGCCGTCGAAGCGGACGAAGGGGATGTTGTCGCGGGCCAGCGCGGGCTCTATGAGGTCCAGGAAGCTGGTGAATTGGGAGAACACGACCGACTTGATGCCCGGCTCCTCGCGGCGGATCCTCTTGAGATGGGAGAGAAGGCTTTCGATCTTTGCGGAGGCGGCGCATTTGGCTCGTCTGAGGGAGATGCGCGGGGTGCGGTTGCCAGAATTGCCGGGGGACGAGTAGAGCGCTTCGTCCTCATCGTAATCATCGTGACGCACGACAACAAACACATCGCGCGAGTTGATGGGCTCCCGACAGTTGAAACAACGCGGAATCTCTCCTTTATCTCGCTGGTGCTCGATGAATTCAAGCAGGCACTGCTTGCAGGCTGAATGCCAACAGCCTGTCACGGCCTGCTCCTCCATCGGCTCTTCGGCGCAAATGGGACATTCAGAGTGCTGCTCTGCTTGAATCTGCCTCAAAACATGCGCACCGAACCTGTTAGCGTCTTGCTCGCCATTCTCATCTTCAGCCTCGAACTGTTGGATCAATGTGTCAAGATCCATGTCGTCAGCCAAGCCCTTTGAGAGATCCTCGGCGTTAGCGGCATCCTCTTCTTCCGCAACAATATCCTTACTGCGGGTCAGTATAGGATGACAGCAGCTCTGCCGCAGACGTAGAATCTGCGCAAAGATAGTGGTGTATGATTTCATGAGTGTTCCCGCCTCGACATTGGCCGCAAATGTCCGTTTCGCTCTGGTGTAGATCCAGTCGTAAACTTCCTTTTCAGCCTTGGAAAGCTCAATCGACTCCACCTCTATCGTTCGGGGCGGGAGTGGCACTAGTGCTTTGCCGTCTGGAGTTTTCATGTCCTTTGTCCGGCGCATGACGAGAGGTTCAAGCACCGTCTGAACGACGTCGAGAGCCCGGATGAAGTCTCCCGATTCGAATGGCACGGTGATGAAAGTTTTCCAGAACGAGAAGTTTGACCACGGCTCCACTTTAAGGAAGTGTACAAGAGAGAAGAGGTCCTCGAGGCGGTTGACAATAGGGGTGCCGGTCAAAACCCACCGGTGCTTGGCAGAGAGTTCGTAACAGGCTTTCGCAGTCTTGGACTGTCTGTTCTTAATGAAATGGGCTTCGTCGAGGATAATGCGGAAATACTCCACGGAGAAAAGACCACCGTGGGAGCCACGGTTACCGTCCATGCCTGCAACCTGGTTGAATTCGGAAAGGACAACACCGTACGAGGTAATTATGACGTTCGGCGCATTCGCCGCATTTGCACCGCAGCATAGCTTCTGGAGATTGGCAGTCTTCTCTGAACCGTAATATACCAGGGTTTTGAGGGTCCCAGGGTTTGAAGCTTTCTCGGCCTCACTTTGCCATTGTGCGAGCAGTGACATCGGTGCTACTACTAACGTCGTTCGAGGAGCCAGTTCGACAGACGACGAATGAGTTGATAAGCGCGGGAGGTTGTTTACTGTTGCTATGGCTCCGTCGGGTGTGGAAGAAGGGTTGGCAGTGTGAGAATGAATCAGACTGAGCATCTCAATAGTCTTTCCTAAGCCCATCTCGTCCGCCAGAATTCCACCCAAACAATTCTGTTCTTGCATTGGGAAGTCCAACGATAGCTCTCCAGAATAAGGGTTCACGTAGAACGCCGGTTGGCCAACGATTTCAGGCACAGGATTATCATCCGCATCCTTGGTAGGCCAGGTGTATTCCTCCCAAAGCGGATGCATCGACATTTCTTTATGGTCAGACTTCTGATCTTTTTCCTTGGTTATCATCCAGTGCAATGCCTGTTTTTGGTATTTCCGAAGATCCATGGCGAAAGTACTTGCGGGTTCTGCTTCGGGGGTATTGAAATCGAAAGACTGCGCCTTCTTGTACAGTGAATCCAGTTGGTCCTGCTCGAGCTCTTGGCCTTCTTCGACTTCGTCCAAGGGAGGCGTTCCCGGCTCGTTGTTGGGTGATTTTTGAGACTTTGAATTGGAGGCTCCGGGCTGCTCATTTTTCTCTGCAAGCTCGACAGCCTTCAGCAGACCCTGTCGCTTGTGCTTCTCAGCCTGAGCGTTCCCACGGGTAGGGTGAAGGTTGATTTCATCGAACAGCTTTACCAGGGCCACCTGGCGCAGGCGTAGGCCGCGCTCCTCGTGGGTTTCTTTCGCCTCATAGAACGCAGACTCACGGTTCGTGTCGGCAGGCCTCACAAACCCCCCTGCATCAAAAACAATTTTCAACAGATAGACTCGGAGCTGGAGGTAGATAGTCTCGTTGGTGCGTATCCTGTCCGGAGTATACACGCATGAGCCTTCGAAGGTACACACTCTCTGGTCAATCAAGGAGGAGATCCAGGCGGCAGACTCGTTCTCCAAGCGGCCAACCTCCTCTCCGCGCTGATTTGTAAACCGTACGACAATGTCCTGGCGTTTGTTTGCAATTTTCTTGCCATTGCGCCCAAGCTTCACGGTCGGTTGGGTTCTTGTACGTTCAATATTCACTTTCTCGCCGAACTTGATCAGGCCGGTCCCGCTTCTGGTTGCCCAACCAACGACACCAAAAGCGCCAATGTACCGCTTGTCAGGCATAGTTGTCTGCACTCGAGGTCGTTGAGGCGTGAGAGAGGCGGGATCGTCGGCGACCGAGCTTACTCGAGGTGAGCCCTGGGGTTTAGCGAAGGATTCCAGGGTGCCGTTCGAGCGAGGAGCCACAGAGGCGGGCGCAGACTCCCACGATCCATCGTAATACATGTTGATGGCTGCACGAGATCTCAATCAGCATTGTGGCACTTGGGCTGGGCATCTGTGCCTACCGCGCGTGATGTCGTTGCTGCTGGCTTCCTGCAACCGCCTCAGCTTTTCTGGCGGCACATGTTCACCCACAATTGACGCGAACAAGTCGGCGTCGAACAAGCCGGTGTCAACGCCCGCAATGCCTGCATTCTGTGCGTCGTTTTCCTTGTCAACGGCAGAAGCAGAAAGCGCGGCGGCTTCGGCGGGCTCGTCTTCGACGAAGAAACGGCGCTTCTTCGCCGGGCGCTCGTCGGAGTCTCCAAAGCTCATGCTTTGAGGAGGGGCGCGTCGTGGCGGTTGGTGGTCGAGCAGAGGCGACAGCAGGCGACAGCGCGCGACGGGCAGGTAGACACCAAGCGTGTCGACGCGCCGCGACGCGCCGCCGCGGACCATCTACTCGGGGCCCGTGCATCGCCCCACGTCATGGGTGCGCAGTCCAATTGCCGTCACGCAAAATCCATTACAGCTCCACCGCCGCCGCAGCCATGCCCGAGGGATCGCTGCTCTTCTCTTCCGCTCCCCGCACGCCTCTCTCCCCTTCTTATGACGCTCCTCCGCTCTTCCTGCCGGACAGGATGGCGCCATGCGCGCTCCACGCTCTGCCAGAGCTGTCGCAGAACATATGCTTCCCCGGCAACTTCGCAAGCTGAGATAGACAAGGCTCGCGCTTACTGCGCCAATCTTTTGCGGTAGCTGCCTGCCCATCTGCTCTCCTCCGTCAATTGCATGCTGACTGCTTGCTTGCTTGCAACCAGCCACTACGATTCCCCGTCCTTCACCCTGCAGACTTTCATCCCGCCCCACGCCCGCGATGCCTACCTTGCCATTCGCGCTTTCAACGTCGATGTCGCCCGCGTCGCCGACCAGACCTCGAACACCACCGTTGGCCGCATGCGCATGCAGTTCTGGCGCGATGCTGTGACTCGCGCCCTACAAGGCTCCCCGCCCAAGGAGCCTGTCGCTGTGCTGCTTGCCCATGCTGCCGAAGCTCTGGATGCTCGCACCCAAGGCCGTTCCCGTCTCGGGAAGTCATGGTTCTTGCGCATCATCTCTGAGCGTGAGAAGACGCTGGGAAATCCGCCTTTTGCCACCTTAGCTTCTCTCGAGTCGTACGCGGAAAACACATACTCGACGCTGCTGTATCTGACCCTGCAGACGCTTCCGCTTGCCTCTGTCACGGTCGATCACCTTGCCTCGCACATTGGCAAAGCAACCGGCATTGCCACCGTCCTACGTGGTCTGCCCTTGATCGCATTTCCTCCTCCACCGAATCACCACTCGAACCAGGCAGCATTCGGAGGCGCTCTGCCCGGCGGCCGACAAGGCGCCGTGTTGCTACCGTTAGATGTAATGGCTGAAGCGGGTGTGAAAGAAGAAGAGGTTTTGCGCCACGGAGCGGATGCGAATGGTCTTCGTGATGCCGTTTTCACCGTAGCTACCCGGGCCAACGACCATCTCATCACGGCACGGTCAATGCTGAGCAGCTTGCGTGCCGGCAGCGAAGTTGACCATGACTTCGAGCATGCCCATGAAGAGGAGCACCGGTACAGCCCTCAACAACTCAGCGCAGGTACTCAAGCACAGCTGCAGGACGTGGAGAAGGGCTTTGGCGCCCTGATACCCGCCGTGGCAACTGGACTTTGGCTGGACAAGCTGCAGAAGACGGACTTTGACGTCTTCAATCCCAAGCTGAGGACCACCGATTGGAAGCTACCATGGAAAGCGTACTGGTCGTTTAGTCAGAAAAAGATCTAATAGTCTCGAAGACGAATGTGTTGAGGCGAAATGGAAAGGGATAGCAATACGCTTGATACCGCTGCCGACCATCGGTGCAGGCATCATCCCTCATGAGCAGAATGATGCAGTGCAAGGTCTTCAGTCTTAAGGTACACATTCTGTTTTCCTGTTGGATTAAAGCTGTTTAGTCGAAAATTCCACCTTCATACAGGACATGAACATATTTACGGCGCACCATTGGCAGCCAACTATTCGCCTGTACCTTGTATTATAGTGTATAAAAGATAGAAGTCAGAGAGCGATGTTCCCAGCTCCAATGTACCGGAATTTAATGAGGACTCTGTGTGATGTGAAGATGAGGTCGACACAGTCTGGATTCACGGTTTTCAGTTTGCTGCCATGAGAAAGTAGACTACCATATTAGGTTATGAGAGTTTCTTTCGTCTTAGACGTATCTAGCAAAGACATTGATTGTATCTTTAAATTGTCGATGAGTGAACACTCGAAAGTGCACTTAAGAGTTGACATCCGACGAAATAATTCAAGTTGTATCCACATCAGATAGACGTAATCTCTCATATGATTCTGGTTGCAGAACGGCAGAGCTACAGTAAGTGACGGAAACCCCCCCCCC